CATCATCATCATCATCATCATCAACAGCGGTTTAGAGTAAGCACAATGAGCGACCCAGCGCTTATTATACAAAGGATCTATGGAACATCTTCAACGTCTCAGCTCAACTTTGCAGTGTCGCCAATGCATATAGCGTATATCGCTAGCGGAGGTGTTGTCGTCTCGCAGATAAACAGAGAATCTGGAGAACTGACCAACCAGAGGTTCTTCTGTGCAAATAACCCCCATGGGAATGCATTGCCACAGACAAGTGCCTACTCATACCTCAACATGGTGCAACAACAATCACAACAAGCGGAGGAGAAAGATCAGTACGGCATTCCAAAGCTGATGCATACCGTTCTGGTTGACGAAACCCAAGGAACCGGTGATCTCAGCAGTAGCTCGTCCCCTCCAAAGGCACAGCAGAAGGTCAAGACCATTTCATGTATTGCAATTTCGCCAGACGAGAAGTATTTGGCAGTTGGTGAGAGTGGAGCCCATCCACGTATATTGCTATTTTCGTTGGCCCCAGATTCGAACAGCTTCCCAGTTGTGAGTATATCGGAGCACAGCTTTGGCATAACTGCGCTTCAATTCTCTCCAGAATCGAATTACTTAATGAGTGTTGGTGATACACACGATGGGTTCATATACATTTGGAAAATCAGTGGTTGTAATGCTACGATGGTTGGTGTGAATAAATGTACTTCTCAGATCAACGGTCTGTTATGGAATGATGATAGTATCATAACATATGGCGTCAGATACATCAAGATATGGACATTTACTGAATCTGAAAGGAAGTCTATGATCCAAGGGAAAAATGTGATATTGGGGAACTTCTTAAATGGGAACTTTGTATCTGCAACACCTTGTTTTGATGAAACGCTCGAGGACGATATCTTCTTTCTAACATCACTAGGAGAGATCTGCGGATATAACTTCAAAACCAATACTCTCAAATTGAGGTACACCAATTTAGAAGACAGCAAGCTTGGTGTTGTGATCAGCGATCAGTACTCGGGTAAAATTCTCATAGCAACGGATCATATTGAAGAATTACCACACAGTGAACTAGTGAACGATATAGCAAAGGAAAATGATGTTCTTATTGATTCGCCTTCTAAGGTGAAATTTAACCCACCAATTACCTGTGTTAAGCAAGTATCGGCAAATATTTTCGTCTACATTACATCAAATGAGGAAATCCAATTGTACAGTGCTATAACTGGAAAATCAGTTCATCTCATAGATTCGTTATCGAAAAGTGTCAATGGTGTTAAGAAGACCACATCAGGTAAGGTGATCACCTGGACAAGAGAAGGAATATTGAAGTGCATTGAGGAGAAAACATTAGATATGAAGGATGTTATCTCCTTGAAAGTGAAACCAATACCTAATGTTGTGATCGAGAATCACATAACAGCCATAGATCTAACACCTAATGGCGATTTCATAGCCGGTGATGCATATGGGACATTGACTGTGTATTCTCCAGAGGGAGACGTCATCTTTTCTGTACAGGCTCACGAGTTTTCGATAAATGATGTGACATTTTTGGAGATTGAAAAGTTCCAATTCATCATTAGTATCGGACGTGACAGAATGATTCAAATATTTGCTAGAACTGATCAAAATCACGCAGAAATCACCAATGAATGGAGCATCTATCAGACTTTGGCTGACCATAAGGCAAATTTATTACAGATTATCTTTCATGAACACAAGCTATATGTCTCGTCTGCTGATAGATCTATCTCAATTCACAAATTTGAAGTTGACCAAGATGTGGTCTCCATTAACAAAGAAAAGACCATAACGGTCAAATCTACACCCACTTCCATCTCTATTTCCGGTGAAGAGATGCTTGTGTTTACCATGGATAAACAACTGACAGTTTTTAATCTTCATACGGTTGAATCCATCAGAAATATGAAACTCTGTGATGAAAACGGTGATTCTCTTTTGATTGACAGTGCAATTGTCACTCACGCAAATCAAATTGTTTGCTCTTGCTCTGATAAAAGCATTCGTATATTCAACTATATCACAGGTCGTCAGTTGTCTGTTAGCTGGGGACATTCTGAGGCAACAAAATTCCTAGTTTACTTCTCTGACCATTTGATAACATTGAGCAACAGTGGATGTCTATTTAGCTGGGCTCTAACAGAACCGATCCTGGACTCACCACTTAAAAGCACAATTCAGAAGTATAACGAGTTTGTCACTCCTCCAAAAGTCACCAGAAAGATCAAGAAACCTCTATCACAAACTTCCACTCCAGTCAGAAAAGCTTTGAATCCATCACCAACTTTTACCAGGACTCCTACAACGGCTAGATTGCAATCCACTACAAAGATGACGCCATCCAAGTTGAATTCTTCCTCAAAGACCAATTTATCACCTTCCCCAACGTCAACCAATATTAGAAGGGAATCCCGTGTTGCTATATCACCGAGATCGAGCCCCAGAGCTAGCCCAAGTATCGTGGCTAAGAAACCGTTAACAGTTACAAACAGAACCAGACTACATGGTGATTTGGTGAAAGACAGCAAAGTTGATATCGATGGCTTGATTCTTCAACTCCGTTCATTCAGGCAACATATGGATTCATATACAAGTGAAGAAGTCCACAACGTTAAAAGAGAAATCACTGGGATCTTTCAATATGAGGAGGAACTTCTGAATAAATACAATGGTGTGGTTCTTGATGCTGTGAAACAACTCATGAAGTTTGAAAAGTGAAATAAATTAATGGATCATCTTCTTGGAGTGATTGTAGCGTTTTGAATCGGAGAAGCATCCGATGACACGCTTTTTGGTTTGACTTCATCTTCAGCTTCTGAGGGGCTATGGGCATCCTCCAATCTTTTCCTTGCAGACTGCATCATCTGTACCATCACTTTATTGTTGCTCTCCAGCACGCTTTCATTTTTCCACCGTTGATCTGCTTGCTGTGCAAGCACTTTCATCACCGCTTTCCTCTGCTCTTCAGCAACGAGCTCCGTTAGAGACGGAGGGTTCGGCCTTGTGAATCTCATCCAGCTCGACCAGCGTGGACTTATCTCATTCTGCGAATATTGCCCAATGAGCAGACCGTGTGGTTTCAATCTGTAATCAACCATTCTACGAAGTCTCCCAGTGGCATTGGTCTTGAACTCCCAGTACGTATTTCCCTCCAAGTCATAGCCCACAAACCAACGTCTTCTGAATGGAACATTACGCAGAGACTTCCATTTGTAGTACAATCTTTTCCAGTTAGGCACCTTACCTGCCAGGGGATCCATCGTTCTCTTCGTATAACTGCTTGTCTATAGCATGCAGTTCACGGTCTGGAAATTCTGTTGATGTAGGCGAAAAAAGGGAGAATGTGAGGCATTGGGGGCGTCCCGTGAAAATTTATACACCAAACCAGCGTGGGTTATAACATCACATCTTCTTGATGAAGTGTTACCAGCATTTCATTGGAAGGCTGACCAACTGAGACATTTCTCTGGTTATAACACATTCACTACGCGGATGTCGTCTCATAACGAACCTGACCCAAAGCTCCAGTACATCCCGCCGGTACCCATAAAGCTAATCGATGAAGATGACGACGAACAGCACGACGAAACAACCATACCGGGCATTACAAAGCACAAGCTACGATCATGGGCTGTTGATGTGCATATAGGAGACTGCACCCTTGTCAATGGCAGCAACGGTACTGAGAAGTTTGCCGTCTGGACAGTATCGATACAGACAGCCAGCGGTGGGCATATCAAGCTATACAAGAGGTACAGCGAAATGGACGCTCTGAGGCGGAAACTGTTAACCGCATACCCTGATAGGGCCAACGAGGTGCCAAAGCTACCTCCTAAGAGGTACTTTGGTAACATGAAGAATGACTTCCTGATGAAGCGCCGTGGTGGGCTGGTGTACTTTCTCAGCTGCGTGCTGCTGAACCCGGTGCTTGCGAATAGCCAGGCGGTAAGGTCCTTTGTTACAGAATAGAGGAGTATAGCTACGGATATCGATGTCCTCCCCCCATAACCACTGCAAAACAGCAAACACACTGTAGTTCACCAACATCAGCGCCATCTCCCATGTCTGGTGATGTTGATGTTGACCTTTCCAATCTGCGCGGTGGGAAACCACGCGCAGGCAGCGTCAACAAGGAAACACGCCTAAAAACATGCTTCCAAGCACCTACAAACATCACCAAGAAATCCAACCTGTAAACAAGCCCTCCGAAGCCAAGCGCACTCCGCTCCTTTGGAATTTTGTTGGCTCATTTTTCCTGCTCCTTTTGCCTTTGGAGGTGTGTTGCTATTAATTTCCCCCTCTGGGCATCAGTCTAAACGAGCTTGTTGCTGGAATACTCAGTGTACGTGGTGTGGTTGGACAGTACAAGGACCACGATGGAGACTGCTAGTGAACTGGTGCGTAGTGCCGTTGACTACGTGGTGCAATGGGACAAGGACACGCAGCTGACGAGCGATGTACAGCTGATTCGCTTCGTGCTCGGAAGAGCACTGAAGCATATCTACAACATGGCGAAGGGAAGGGTTCACTACTGGTATGTTTTCGAGTCGACGGTGACGAAGTACGCGGATCACAGGGCGCTGTGCTTCGCCAGACCCACGGGTCTGGCTGGTGACGATGGCTTCGTGATGGAGGAGTACACCTATGGCGAGCTGTACGAGATGGTGCTACGCCTCTCTGAGATACTGGCACATCGCTACGGCGTGGAGCCGGGAGATACCGTTGGTATCGACATGACGAACAAGCCCATGTTCATCGTGTTTTGGTTTGCCCTGTGGAACGTGGGCGCAGTGCCTGCGTTCCTCAACTACAACAACACCGGTGCTCCCCTGTGCCACTGTATAGAGGTGTCGAAGATGCAACGCGTGTTTGTTGACCCTGACTGTGCTCACAATGTTGAGAACAGCGAAGCCATGATCCAGCAGCGGTGTCCAGGCGTTGCGATCCACTACGTGGATGAAGATGCGATTATGAAGGAGATTAAGGATCCCAATAGCATACGATTCAGGCTGGATGACACCAAGAGAAGCGCCAATGAGAAGGACTATCAGCCAGGTGCTCTGATCTACACGTCAGGCACCACAGGACTGCCTAAGTCTGCGATTATGAGTTGGAGGAAAGCAGGCTTCGGCACCAGTCTCTATGGACACATCGTCCAACTCGACAGCAACAGCACGGTGTTCACGTCGATGCCGCTGTACCACTCAACGGCTGCGATGCTGGGGGTGTGTGCAGCTTTCAACAACGGCGCGTGTGTTGCTCTCAGCGTGAAGTTCTCAACATCGACGATTTGGACACAGGTGAAGCTGACCAGGTCCACGCATTTGCAGTACGTTGGTGAGGTTTGCCGTTACCTGCTGAACTCGCCTCATCATCGAGATGAAAGAAACCACGATCTGAGGGTTGCGTACGGAAACGGACTACGTGCTGATATCTGGCGTGAGTTCAAGGAGAGGTTTGGCATTGCCGCCATTGGCGAGTTCTACGCTGCTACTGAGTCCCCAATCGCACTCACCAGCTTCCAGCAGGGCGACCGTGGTATCGGAGCCTGTAGAAACTATGGTAAACTCATCAACTTCATCCTCCAGTTCCAACAAACCATCATCAAGATGGACCCTGAAGATAACAGCGTTGAATGGAGAAACGCCAAAGGGTTCTGTGAGGTTGCCAGTGTCGGCGAGCCAGGAGAGCTGTTGATGAACATCTTCACAGCAAAGTCGCCTGAGAAGATGTTCCAAGGATATTTGGGCAATAAGAAGGAGACCGAGGCCAAGATCCTCCGCAATGTCTTCCACAGAGGTGATGCGTGGTTCCGTTCGGGCGATCTGCTCAGGGCAGACGCTGATGGCTTATGGTACTTTGTCGACAGACTAGGAGACACCTTCAGATGGAAATCGGAGAACGTCTCAGCTACAGAGGTGGAAGCACAGCTCAGCAAGGTGCCAGGCGTCGCAGAGAGCGTTGTCGTTGGGTTGCAGATCCCTAACCACGAAGGCAGGGCAGGGTTTGCCGTTCTAGAGCTCCAGGATGGCGTCTCCACCAAACAAGTGCTGGATCAATTGGCACTCTCTGTTCAACTCCCACGGTATGCCATCCCGATCTTTGTCAAGATCGTGGATTCCATTGAGCATTCGGATAACCACAAGGTGTTGAAGAGGCTCTACAAAGATCAAGCACTTCCAAAAGGCCGCAGTGGCGATGAGTTGATCTTCTGGCTGCAGGGGAACTCGTATAGCGAGCTGACGTTGAAGAACTGGGGGGACATCATCAACGGCAAGGCAAAGATCTAAGTGAGCTCCTTAGCAATGAAAACAATGCCAACAAAAAGCACTTGTTGAGTAATTTGTAGTCACCTGTCACTCTCCATGTTGAAAGCCGCGTATACTCGCTTTATAAAGAAAACCCGAGGAGCGTGGTTGTAGCGGAGTTCCACTCCTCTTTTATTTCCCTCCCTCCATACAATCTTCAGTTGAAGAGATAACGGAGAATCAGAAGAATATGAAGGAACCAGTGGTGCTGCTGTTTGGTATCATCAAGACTGTGATAGTGATAGCTGTGTTTTTATCCGGATGTGTGTCGATCGTGTTTACACAGGTTGTTGGACTGTTTATTGGGAAGATCACGGGCTCGAGAGACTTCGTGCAAGGATGGATGAGCAGAACAAAGGACTCGTTCATCGTGCTGCTCACCGGTGTCATCAGCTTTGCATCTCATAGTTCAATCAACATTCGAGTGTCGTCTTCAGATCTTACACGCGAGAGGCTGTACTTTGTTGACGGTATGTTGAAGCTGAAGGTACCAGCGCATACGCTGGCGTTTGCCAACCACCAGATCTATACGGACTGGGTATTTCTGTGGTGGCTTGCCCAGTGTGCTGATCTGGGAGGGTTTGTCTATATCATCTTGAAGGCTGAGCTGTCGAAGCTTCCGCTGTTGGGTTTCGGTATGAAGTGTTATGAATTTATCTTCCTTACGAGGAAATGGGACCACGATAAGTTCACAATGGGGAGACAGCTACGTATGATTGATGCTAATGCGAGAGGATATGGACCTGCCAATGGTATCGACTGCGACTCCCAGGGCAATTGGCCTCAAGGTGTTGACTCGGAGAAGGGATGGCCGTATCAACTAATCATTTACCCGGAAGGAACCAACTTGAGTGCCAATACAAGGGACAAGACAGAGAAGTACGCTGCTAAAGCAGGTAAGACACCCTTCAGACACGTTCTATTGCCTCGAACCACTGGTCTAAGATTCAGCTTGTTGCAGCTCAAGGATACGCTACAGGAGGTTTATGATATCACCGTTGGCTACTCCGGAGTCAGACCAGAGGAATATGGACAGGACATCTACACATTATACCAGGCTTTCCTTAGAGGCAATAACCCCAAGTTGGTTGATATACATGTCCGTGTTCTGAAATTAGATGAGATCCCACTGGGTAAATTGCACTACGACGACCCGGAAGAGGAGGCTAGAGACATTGAACTGTTCGAGAAATGGCTCTATAGAGTATGGGAAGATAAGGATAATCTAATGGAGACTTTTTACAACACTGGTTCCTTTATGAGCGAGAGTGCCCACGAGGCCACTGTCATAACGTCTCTTAAAGTCAGTAAACTGAAGTTTATCCAGATCTTCTACTGGCCCTTGATCTCGTTCATGTTCATCCGTTGCTTGTACATTGTTCTCAGATGGCTACTATAGTTTTCCTTCTACAAGAGAGTATTGATGTCTTAGACCTGTGCATTGTATATGAGTAGTCAACGTCACGTGATTATCACCATGAAGGCACGTGTTACATCCAAACACCACACAATGGAGCCCGTTTCCTGGCCAACAAACCTGGAATCAATATACGAATCAGCTATACACCTCTCAATTGTATAAGCACAACTTTCCCAAAAGCAATCCACTGAAAGCAGCTTCAAGCAACACCATGGGCCATTGGGAATCCTCACAGCTACCGTATTTTGCAGTATTGCAGGAGAGCCACAACGGCGAAGTGATAAACTCATACCCTGAGATGAGGTATGTGTTCAAGGATGATCCACTCTACGATTCCATTGGTGAGTCAATTGACGAAGATACAGAGGCTATTGTCGTTACACTGGATGAAGATGGTAATCAGATCAGGGGTTGTCGCTCCCTTAGTGATGATCTAGGAGTCGTTGACATCTCGATCAAAGACAAAGACAGCACCAAGACATTGGCCATTGAAGTTACGAGGAGTACTACAAGTGATGGTGAATACGTAGCGACTAAAGATCTTGCCAGTCTGAAACAGATGGTTGAGCTATTCCAGCAGAGAAACGAGCAACTACGACAAGTTATAAATAACGATTGAAGGCATATTAGACCATGTTTTCGATATTCGCAGGCATCTCGTCGATCTGCGTGCTGTAGTACTGCTCAATATCATGAAGAGCCTGGATGTCCTCATCCGTGACGAAGTTGATAGCAACACCTCTTCTTCCAAAACGACCAGATCTACCGATTCTATGGATATAGTTCTCACGGTCTAGTGGTAGATCGTAGTTGACAACGAGCGACACCTGTTGGACGTCAATGCCACGAGCCCAAACGTCAGTGGAGATCAAAACCCTTGAGTTACCCAATCTGAAGTCGTTCATGATGGAGTCTCTCTCATCCTGTTTCATATCACCGTGCATGGCAACAACGGTGAAGTTGGCACCTTTCATCTTGTCGGTTAGCCAATCGACTTTCTTCTTCGTGTTGCAGAAGATAACACTCTGCATTATGGTCAGAGAGTCGTATAGATCACACAGTGTGTCGAACTTCCACTCTTCCTTCTCAACAGCGATGAAGTACTGCTTGATTCCCTCCAGCGTCAGCTCGTCTCTCTTGACAAGGATCTTTACTGGGTCAGTGGTGAATTTGTTCGTCACCTCCAACACATCACGAGGTAGAGTTGCGCTGACGACAACAACCTGCGTACCAGAGGGCAGCTGTCTGTATATGTCGTAGATCTGCTGCTGGAATCCTTTGTTCATCAACTCATCTGCCTCGTCGAGAATGAGCATCTTGACGTGCCTTGTGTTGAGATTACGTCTCTTGATCATATCCAATACCCTTCCAGGCGTACCACTAACAATGTTCTGGCCCTTCGAGAGCTGCTTGATGTCATTACCAACATTCGTACCACCAATACACGCGTGGCATTGTATATTCATGTAGCTTCCCAGGGATTTAATCACAGATTGGATCTGCACGGCCAGCTCCCTGGTTGGACTCAGCACAATGGCCTGTAGCTCTCTGTTCTTCGTGTCCAGGGCCTCCAGCATCCCAATGGTGAATGTGGCAGTCTTCCCGGTACCGGACTGGGCCTGTGCGATCGTATCACGGCCAGAGATGATTTGCATTATAGCACGAGACTGGATAGCAGAAGGTGCTTCGAACCCGTAGGCAAAGATCCCCCTTAAGAGGTCTTCTTTCAGCCCCATTTCCTCAAAGGACGAGACCACTTGCACAGCCTTGGAGCTTCTGAACTTGAGCTCCGCATCCTGCTCTCTGTTGAACGACATTGGTCTGTTTTGAGGGTTCTAGTGGTATGGTGTTGATACCTGTGGTGGCGATGAGATGAGCTTGAGAATTTTTTTTGGCTGGTGGAGGCCTTTATGTCCGACCACACCATCAACATCAGCATCAACATCAGCATCAACATCGACACAGCGAAGCAGAATGGACCAGCAGAACTCCGTGGTGGTGCTCATAGCAGGAGGACACAGTGCCGGTAAGGTAAGCAGGCTGGTTTTCTCTTTTTGTTTCCTTTAGCTGTTGAACTAGTACCTAACCCCTATAACAGCGTACAGTGTGCGATGAAATCAGGGATAACATCAAGTCTCTGGGAGGTGTCAGCATAAAGACCATCGAGCTGGACCAATTGGAAAGGCAGCCATGGACCCTGGTCAGCAGTCCCACACGGTTCGACTTCAAGGCCCTGCTGAGGAAGATTGACGAGCTCGAGGAGGAGGCACTGAAGGAAGACACTAAGCTAATGATCCTAATACCAGGCTTATACTCCTTGTTCGACAGAGAGCTGCGCCAGAGAGCATCGATGAAGGTGTTTGTAGACTGTGATGCCGACACAAGGCTCAACAGGTGGATCACTACAGATGTGTTGAAGAACGGTAACTCGTTGACAGAGCTATTGGATAACTATTTGAAGCACGCAAGGCCCGAGTTCAACGAGTTCATTCATCCGACAAAGGAGTTCGCAGACGTTGTCTTGCCGAGTGAACAGAGCCATCTGGGGATATCACTGATATGCGACGGTATCACTCCCATGCTCACGACGAAATGGGGAGAACGCATCATCCACGAGACTCTGTATCCACGCTTTGGTGAGGAGGACCCTGATCTCGACATCTACAAAGGTCAGGAGTATTACGAGTTGAACTGAAGACACTCAGCACCTGGAATCAGACTTCAGCTTGGTTCTCTCTTCGATGAGCTGCTCGTTGAGACGGCCTCTCTTGTGTGCATCCTCGAGTCTTTTGACCAGTTCATCGGTCAATTCAACGTTGTACTTCATCAGCGACTGTACAGCATCATTCACTATGGCTTCTTCTTCTATGCTGGAAACGTCTTTCTTACCACTCAACTCTTCAATCATACGCTTGCCTCTAACAGTATTTCTCATCTGTACTCGAAGAACAAACCTTGTAGCTTCTCCTGAGCCTCTGAGCTCTAACTCGCCCTCTGGTGTCGCCAGTATATGCTCATCACCAATGGCCAGCGTAACAGTCCCATCATCTTGGAAATCCACTTTGAATATACAGCTCGTGTCGATAGCAGCATGGTTGAATGAGACCTTATCACCTGTTTTAGCCAGATATTTGCCCTTGGAGGCCTTGAGTGTGACACCATTGGAGTTCAAGACTGAAGAGCATATCATAACCTGTGATGGTGATACCGGCTCAACGGTGTGGATAAGTCCCTTCCACGGGGTGAACTGATCGTGCTCATTAACACCAAAGTCGTCTCCTAACGTGCACAGCGACTCGTCATTCCAATTGACGATTCTTACGTTGTTCTCGTCATCTAACAGGCATAGCATCACAGGACCATAGGAATCTGCCAACGAAGATGAGGTGGTCCATGAGGTCTCGATATCTTCCAGTGTCACTTGAGGAACCAAGGCACTTTGCTCCACATTCTTGTGGTTTCTCTTACCCTTCGTCTTGTTCTTGACGACCTTGCCCTTGGGATCCCCTTTGAACCTCAATCTACTGACCATTTCTGAGCTGTTTGAAGCTGTTGATACATTCATGTCTCATTTTGTAGGCGTGATATTTTTTTCGCTATACATTTACATCTACAATCACGAGTATTAATCAACAAGTTGGGCAACTAATCATTTATAAACATCCATTAGCCATTTCAGGCATTCCTCGAGCTGTGCAACGTCTTCGAATTTTGTAGACAGCACTGGCTTCCCCTGAAACGTAGCCTTCGTATGGATCACGTAGTTGACGAAATCAAACGAGTCAACATCAACCCTCACGGTTAGAGCTCCTGTGAATCTTGCCTGGAATGCTGTCAATCCTGGTGTGGAGATCTTCTTGAATGGGTCCTGTTTCAACTGGTCGGTTGTGATGTTGCAATACTTCTTCACTTGTAACTTTGACTCAGCAGTGGTCAACGTCTTCAACAAGTTGTATACGCCATCAGCAGCATCTTCGTGTCTGAAACGTCCAACCAATGGCTTCAACAGTAAGGAATATGGCTTCAGCAGAGTCCGCGTGTTGGATGACTTCAAGACCGTGGGCTGGGACTTACTCTCGAGGTTCTCCTTATGCTTTAACGTCAACATCAATCTCAAGTATGTTGCAAAGAGCTCAGCTCTGTTGTTTTCGCTTCTCTCTGTCACTCCGTTCATGCTAGTATCCTCATCCTCGGCTTCGTCGACGTATTCGACATACTCAACCTCAGTCACCTCATCATGTGACTCGATGGAGATCTTTGTCTCGCTCTCAATCTTCACATTGTAGGCAATCAATCCAACGGCCTCATCCATGAGTTGGTTGAACAGTTCCTCTTCAAATATGAAGTAACGGAGCTTTTCAATCTTCGATCTTATAGACCCGTCACTCTTCAACTTCTCATCCATCCTGGACTTTGACTCCCCTATAAGTTCATCTTCTCCGTCCCTTTTACCCCAGATACGAACCCTGACAACACGGTTGCCATCAACCACCGTCTTCTTACCTTCCACTATAGGAACCAGCTCTAAGCTTCCATCCATTGGTTTTAGCATCACACTCCCCTTCACTCTGTATGTGGAGCCCGAATCTGCGTATCCGTACTTCACTGCAAATACTCTTTTCCCGGTGACTTTATCCCTCGTCTTGTACAAGATCTCCTTGTTGTTGAAGTTCTTCTTGATGGTATCCCAGAAGATCTTCTCTCTATGGACCTCCTCAGATAGACGTGCGCCAGCGTTGTGCAATGTATCAGACGACGCCTCCAGACTTGAAAGCTTCCAGCCTTGCCCGATGATCTTCTCCTCTTTGAACTGTTCCTCCTTAGCCTGTGGAGTGACCGTGCTCTGCACGAGATCTGAGTTGAATGAGCCTGGAGGAACAAACTTCTTCAAATGCGCAGACATTGAAATGGTACCAGCTGCTGGTCTCACACAGCTAATCAACAGCGAGACAAAGTCCAGTGATAACGACGACTCGTTCAGCGCCATCGAGATGTGTTTCAGCGCCTCGTTCTTGTCCTTGTAGAACCTTTCGTTCTGCGAAGATACAGAGAGTGGGCCTGTATCAACATCGCTGCCCTCGGCACCATCGTCCAACGACTGGGGAGAAGGCGTGGCCACGTCCTTCCCGTTGATTTCCAGCTCCAGATCGTGTTCTGTGATGCTTACGAACGGGTGACGCTCGTGTATGATCCTCTTAATCAGCTGTGGCAACGACAGCTTATCTCTGTTGAAGCGTTAGTAAGACCAGTACTCGGTGGACCCATAATACACAACAAATACTCACTCATCCAACAAAAACGGATCAACGTGTTCATCAACAAGCTTAGAATCGAGTGTAAGCGGGATATCTTTCAGCTGGCCCTCCATTTCGCACCAAGCAATTGTCTTGTCGTGAGCTTCAGTGGTTGTTGTTGTTGTTGTTGTTGTTGTAGCGATGGTGGTTCTTCCGATGTTTTTGTTGATGTTTTTAACCCCGGCGGTTTCCGCTACAAAGGGCTTTCTACGCCATACAAATGCTCGTTGTTCTGTTCATTGATACAGGAAATTAGCCATTGAAATCATCTAAGCAGCTCTATAACACAAGAAATTGTAGTCGCAATACACCACAGACCAACCATCGCAAGCCCGATAGGTCTGCTCATCTGCCATCCATTGATAGGCACAATAACCAACATCAACACCAAATTGATCATCAAAGTAACACCTGTTATCACTAGAGTACCGGATAAGTGCACTGGTATGTTCTCACCGCTTGTTGGGATGACGTACAGTGCACTGCCTCCAATGCCGAGTAAGATGTTTAGCAAAGGGCCTCCAAAGCATGCGGATAAGGCCATCATTGGGAACCCCATCTTTGCAATTGTGAAGTTAGAGATGAAGTCACCAAGCGAATTACCCACTGCGAACACGGTGATGCCCAATATGGCATCACTCAAGTCTAGCAGCACTGCAAAGAACTTTATGATGGCGATAAGTTCAGCAGCGATGGTGGAGATCCAAGAGATTGAGATGATGAATCCAAGCCCTGCTAAGCAAACAGCGAATCCGGTCTGTAGCTTTGGGAGGCGTCTCAGTGTGAATGAACAAGCCAGCAATGCAGATGAGACCATGATGGGGATCAAGAAGAACTTGGCAGTGAGTGCATCGTCATAGAAGCATAAAACCATGGTGATGAATGGTGATATAGCACATTGTAGCAGCAATAGGAAAAACTGTCTACCAAAGAGTTGCTTGGTTTCCACCACGCCATTCTCCGTTGAGGTAACCGGGATGGTAAGTCTGAGCATTGTGACAATAGGCAAGCACAATATGCTGATTGCCTTTTCTGGTACCATCTTGTCTTGAAAATGGTATAGCGTAGGAAACACCGTTTGGACAATACCGTTGTTCTTCCAGAACGTACTTGTCCTGAAGAACTTCCTCAGTGAGTCATGGGCATCAAAGAAGTTTGGAACACTCTCTCCTGGGAATGGTTCATCGTAGTCGTATAAGTACTGTGCAGGCGCAGACTGTACCCTTTGTTCGTATTCACCTAATGAGTGTTGATCGTCATTATCGGTAAACTGTGGAGCTGTGCTCATTCTAATCTCGTGCTCACGCTCCTGTTGCTTCGATGCTGTTACGGCTTCCAAATTATCAAGTGATATGCCACCAGATGAGTTCATCTGTTTGAACTCGCTGGCCCTAGAGTTAAGATCCAATGCTCCAAGAATCGAAGGTCTGAATCTTTGGACTGAAGACGTCTTTGTCCATTCGTTGAAACTATCCACTGACTGCTTCTGTAATTGCTCGTCCAAGACACCAATTCCTGCTGATCCTGTAGGGTTTAGTTCTTGCCATAGATGTTCATCGTTGATCTCATTCTGTTCCTCTACTTGGAACTCCCGTATGTTACCCTTAGAGGTGCCGTCAAGGAATAAATTACGGGCCTTTTGATCCAGCAGTTGCATTCTTCTCCTCTTGGTGACAAGCCAGTCCCAACACAGCACAAATATCACGTATGTTGAATACAGTGCGATCATGGCAACTGCCTCAGGTAAAGAGATCTCACCATCGCTGAGGAAAACGGCTGTAATTGACACGCACACGAGAAGGAACAGCACGTCCCTGATGAAAGGCCTCTTTGCCACTTTGAAAGGCCTCACGATGGCCATGCTACCAACAACAACCGCTGATATGAACAGCGCAGCGCCAATGAGCTCACCGATAGCCAAATTAGCAGAGCCAACTTTCATGGCCTCCAGTGTTGAAAACACGTCTGGCGAGCCGTTTCCCAACGCTAGAAGAGTCACACCAGCGAGGGACTCGCTCATGTGAAAGAACTTCGCAATGGTATCCAGGTTGGGGCATAGGAACTCCGATGCAGTTATGCCCAACGTTGTGAACAAAGACACCAACACCAAGACATATATCAGTATAGTGGGTACGCGCGCGGTGGAGCTATGGCCTGCGCAGTAGTACCAGTCCACGTAGTTGATGAACCCGATCCGATACTCATCGCAGTGGTCATGTGCAAATTGGCACTGCTGTAGAAGCGGCACCAGCCGAATATCGTGGCAGGCCATACCGGACTCAACATCAGTATCGTTTGTATAAGAGCTCTGCGGCTCGGGTAGTGTATACGTTGTGTTGGAGGTGCTCTGGTGGCAGCGCACCGAGTAGAGGAGGAACAGCAGCGTTATCCACCTCATCTTGGTGGTCGGTGGGGGTGAGCACTGTGTGTGATGGAGTGATGGGAAGCGGGAGAAGAAGAAGAAGCTAACAGTGTTTGGCCTTGGTGGTGTGCCTGGGCACTGGCAGATAACGGAGATGAGCCCCAGTGTCCGGGGTGTCCAGGTGTGTGATGTCCGGGTGTGTGATGTCTGGGTGTATAGATGTCCGGGTGCATGGATGTCGGGGTGTAGAGATGTCCGGGTGTTGCATTTTGGGCCACGGAAGCTGCCTCGCCTGTGCCTCTGACGCGTGTGGCTCGCAGATGAAGTTCGAAAGCTCTCCGGCCAATCAATTGGAAGTTGTGTGTGTGTGTTTTTTAATAAGGAATTAGTCATTCGCATCAGCTTTACCCCTTACTGTCGAAGCTAAGACTGGCATTGTCCCACGGTGTAGACTTCTTTCTCAGTTTGCATCGATTGTGGGCTAATTGGTACGAACTCTTGGGGCTTCAAGGACGATGGCTTCTATCAGCGATAAGAAAGCGTGGACCACGCTCATTACCAATGTTGATTATCTCCCAGGGCTCTTAGCCCTGGACTACTCTCTTAAGAGAGTCGGGTCCAAGTATCCGCTGGTTGCCTTGTACACGTCAACGTTCCCTGAGGAAGGACATAGGGCACTGGACGAACGAGGCATCCCCAAGATTGAGATCAAGTACCTGCTTCCTACTAGGCATAAGGACTACTCCAACGATCCTCGGTTCTATGACTGCTGGTCTAAGCTACAGCCGTTTGGACTCACGCAGTTCGACCGTGTTGTTCAATTGGACTCCGATATGATTGTGATCAAGAATATGGATGAGTTGTTTGAATTGGACTTGAAGGGCAACGCCTTTGCTGCTGGTTGGGCATGTGTGTGTAACCCTATGAACTTTGAGCACTATCCAACGGATTGGGTTCAACAGAACTGTACCTTCACCAATTGGTATCAGAAGATGGGCTCCAGCGAAACGGGTCTTACCCTTGGCCCGAAAGTTGACGACAGCAACGGGTTAATGATCTGCAATGGTGGATTGCAGCTCGTCGAACCGTCAGAGGAAAAGTACCAGAAGATTGTCGATAAGCTCAATGACGATGATATTGACTACGATTTTGCAGATCAGTCTCTCCTCTCCGATGTCTTCAAGGACAATTGGTTGGGTCTATCGTTCGGTTATAACTATTTAAAAACGATGAAACTAATTCACAAGGACTTGAACTTTGAAGATGTTAAGAACATACACTACATCCTTACTCCGAAACCGTGGAACGTTGATAGACAATACAAAGACGATACTGACACTTTCAAGTTCTGGTGGGATATAAACGATGAGAGGCTCGACAGAGAGAAAGCGCTAGGCATCTCTGACAGGTTCTAATTCAACTACGTGAATGCTTTTTAAAGAAAACTTTCTGTTTTGTTCTATCAGCTGTTTTTATAACATTCGTTGAAGATGCATTAAAAAAGGGGGATAACGGTAATCGTAGGCTTCGTTAGAGAAAGAGAAAATAAGAGAGATTCAGTTGATGAATCAAGAACAACAAGCTCTAGATCTAAGCAGAGTATGCCTGTCTTGGGTATGGGAAGGATGGACCAACCTCTTGAATAGAGAGCTTAGCCAACCATTGGCCCTTATCAACAGCCTTCTCCAAAGAGTCTCCAGAGACCAAACCAGCAAGCAAACCACCGGCAAAGGCATCACCTGCACCGTTGGTGTCCTTGATGTTTTCAGAAGCCAAAGCATGGACTGGAATTTCCTTAACGTCAAAGTTACCTGATGCAGCATCATAGGTAACAGTGATTGTTGGTTCCAAACCATGAGTGATGATAACAGTTCTGTTCTTCTTCTCGTTGACACGTGGCTCCTTGGCGATGTACTTGGCAATCTCGGTCAAGTCTTCAGTTTCCAAACCGTGTGATTTGGCGTAAGCAGCTGCTTCGGTCTCGTTACCAATGACGTAGTTTGCAAATGAGATAGACTTGTCCAACACATCCTTGAAGAACTCTGGGATGAAAGGAGCAGACAAGTTCAAGGAGAAGTCCTTGTTGGTATCAGCGGCATGTTGACCCAAGAGATAGATGGCGTCTGGAGACACAGTTAAGTGGAATCCACCAATGTAGAAGAACTTTGCCTTTTCAACGTACTCCCAGTTCTCTGGCTTTTGCAAGTGATCTGGGGTGAAGTGGTTGGCAGCAGCCAAGTCAGTAGCAAGGGATCTGTTGTGACCGGTGATCAAAGCGGCACATTTACCTGTCTCGTATTTGTCCTGGAACTGGTACAGAGTCTTGACACCAGCCTTAGCGTTGGCCTCGAGCAAAAGCTCAGAGTACTTATCCTTACCAACAGACCCAAAGTACACAACAGAGTTCTCTGGCAACAGGTACTGTGCACCTCTGGCAGCGTTCTGAGCAGCACCGCCGGCAACAATGTGCTTGTTTGGGTTCTCAACAACCTCCTTGAAGATTGGCATGTGCTTCTCTTCAACGAGAATGGCATCGTTGGCCTTCAAGCCGTACTTCTCCAAGTAGGCGGCATCGGTATCGACCTGCAAATCAAGCAATGGGTTACCAAGAGCAACGAGCGGGAAGGACATCTTTCTATTGTTGTATTACTTTATGATTCAATGTAAACAAAACGTGGTTTGAATTGGAAACGATGGTGAATTTTATGAGAAATCTGCCTAAATTTTTCAATTTTTTTTGTCTTTGTGGCTCTCCTCAGTCGTTTAGGGGATTACGTAAGGCTTACGTAAACTTTTGGCATGTGAAAGTTTGATCTTTTCGCCAATTTCGTGAAGTTTCGCAAAATTCCGAAAATCCGCGCAGCGGAGATCGGAATACCATTTCGTTCCCTTTGGAGCCCAACATTTCCGTGCTTACAAACCATTCCACAACACAGCATTCTGGAGGGTTCACTATTGCTACCACTGTGTAATTGTGTGTGCTTGTGTGTCCAAACGTCCCGTACAATCATGCTGGTCCAAGCTTATGATCCATTTCTCGAATGGAGACCGTTCGTCACGAACCCATCGAGCTACTACGAGGCACACTACCACGAGATCATTGCGTCAATTGTCTTTTACCAGCTGTTATACGTGCTATCTCCCTTGATATCGAGATCCACGTTTGGTGAGCACTATGATAAGCTGTTGCAGTCTTCCAAGCTCAACTTTGACATCCACGTCGTGTCGATGGTTCAGTGCATCATCTCCATCCTCGTCATTATCCCGCTGATTGGTGATGAGCACCTCTCCGCCAACACTGTGCTGCACTACACCCCATACGCTGCGTTTGTCAGCTCAATAACCATTGGCTACTTTGTGTGGGACCTTTTCGTGTGCATTCGTCATTTCAAGCTATTTGGCGTTGGATTCCTCGTACATGCCATTGCGTCCCTCTTTGTCTTCTGTTCCACTTTAAGACCATTCTGCCTGGGCTGGGTGGCATCTTTCCTCTCTTTTGAGCTGTCGACACCGTTTGTCAACGTCAATTGGTTTGCAAACAAGTTGCCCACCGGCGCCATTCCAAACTGGGTCATCGCAGTCAACGGGCTGCTCTTGATCGTGGTGTTCTTCTTCGTCAGAATCGTATGGGGCTTCTATGCTATCTACTGGGTCCTGTGTGAGTTCTGGAAGTACAGAGACCAAGTCCCAGTCGTGCTCTGTGTGATAGTTGTGATCTTGAACGTTGGCCTGGACACTTTGAACGTGTTCTGGTTCCAAAAGATGATCCAGATCGCTGCTAAAAAGTTCAATTCTTCCTCCAAATCCAAGCAGGAGTGAACATACTAATCAATTGACTATATTGACTCATTTAAACACCAGCTCCCACCAAAGAAAAGCATCTTAGCATCCAAACCTCTGCCTATAGCAAAAGGCTCCGTAGTACTTACACCGAGGGTCCTCGGTGGTGTCCGGGTGTTTTCTACCCGTGCCTCCAAGTTTTTCAACGGTGCGCGGCGGTGGCGGGATTCCCCGGGCGGGAAGGCAAAGCTGGCCACAACATCAACATCAACAACACATCGGAATCAACAAACAACAACATCAACACCACCATCGAAACCAACACAGCGATGAGTTTTATCGAGCAGTTTGCCTCTCTGGTGGACCAGCCGTCCATTCCATGGAAGAAGATTATCCTGGGCTTCACCACATTCCAGTTCGCCTTTGAAACGTACCTCACGTACCGTCAGTACAAGGTGCTTCAGAAGAAGGAGATCCACCCGTCTCTGAAGGGCTCAATTGATGAGGAGACGTTCACCAAGACACAGTCGTACTCTCGTGCGAAGGCGAGATTCAGCATCTTCACCGGAATCTACTCGTTTGCTCAGAATTACTTCTTCATCCAGTACGATATCCTTCCAAAGCTGTGGTCCATTGGCAAGTCCATCTACGGCTCAATTGCTCCAATCTTGCCTGCTGCTTTACAATCAAGCACGATTGTTCATAGCTTGTGTTTCCTCTCTGTTTTCTCCCTGCTGTCCACTGTGCTGTCGCTGCCATTGTCATATTACCAGAACTTTGTGCTTGAAGAAGAGTTTGGCTTCAACAAGCTGACGGTCAAGCTGTGGGCTGTCGATACCGTTAAGAGCCTGGTGTTTACTTTCCTCCTGGGATTCCCTGTTCTTGCTGGCTTCTTGAAGATCATTGACTACTTTGGAGACAGCTTCATCTTCTACGTCTGGTTGTTCATGATGGCAGTCCAGATTATTGCTATCGCTATCTACCCAACCCTGATTCAACCTTTCTTCAACAAGCTGACACCATTGGAGGAAGGTGAACTCAAGACATCCATTGAAAACCTGGCTTCCGATAACAAATTCCCATTGACTAAGCTCTACGTGATCGATGGCTCAAAGAGATCTGCTCACTCGAACGCCTACTTTTACGGCTTGCCTTGGTCCAAGCAGATTGTCATCTATGACACCTTGATTCAAACATCAACCACCTTGGAAACAACTGCTGTCTTGGCCCACGAAATTGGCCATTGGGCCTTGTCACATACGACAAAGACTTTGCTCATTGCTCAACTCCACGTCTTGTCTATCTTCACCTTGTTCTCTGGTTTCATCCACAACAAGTCCCTGTTCCAGAGCTTTGGCTTCTTCAATGAGACACCTGTTCTCATTGGCTTCCTCCTATTCTCCGATATTCTTCAACCGTTGGATAACATCATGACGTTCTTCATGAACTTGCTGTCCAGAAAACACGAGTACGAAGCCGACGAGTATGCCGTCAAGTTGGGCTACGCTCAGTCTCTTTCAAAGGCCTTGATCAGCCTCAATGTTAAGAACTTGAGCTCCCCAGACGCAGACTGGTTATACTCCAGTTATCATCACTCACATCCTATCCTTCCAGAAAGATTGGATGCCATCAACAACAAGGCTAAACACTACGATGCAAAGCAAAAGTGATATAACTACAAGCTCTTCAAAAGAAGCAAAAAGTCGAATAAATTAAAATTGTTACACTTGAAACTGTGATAGTACGGAACTTACCAAACCTGCAACTCCTCGATATACTCCACCCTGCCCTTTGTTGCATCCAGGTTCTGAGAGACGTAGTATCTAACATCATCAACCATGCTGTTGTGGCCACAGGCAACCACAACTGTGCTACCGTTGGCTTGTTGCAAGTCAGAAGTGACAACTTCTTGCATGTTTGGTCTTCCCGTTCTGAATTGGATAAAGTCGAGCTCCTTTGGTGGCATTCCACCCTTTGTTTCTTCATCATGTGAGTCGTTCTTCTCTGATTGGTTTGTAGAGGAGGAATCAGACGAATTACCACTGAGATGTCTTGTTCCGTGAGGAGATGAAGGATCCGAAACGTAGATGATAACCTCTGCACTTGTCTTCTTCAGTTCTAACAGCTCATCATAGAACCAGTCGAGTGATTTCCAGTTTCTGATGACCCAATACAGCTTAACATGCTGCTGTACTCCTCTGCGAGCACAGTCTCTGATGGTGGCATACGATGAAGAGATACCCGTGGAACCTGTGTAGTATAAAGCCGTGGAGAACTTGTGCACAGGCTTCATGTGTCCGTATGGGCCTTCAAGAAGAATTGGAATGCTCTCTGTGTTGTTTGCGCTTTGGATCACACGGTTGTAGATAACAGAGGTAACACCACCTTTGATCTTGGTGATGAAAGTAACAGTATTGTCGTCACAGTCGATACAGGTGAACGGATGAGACTGCCAGAACGTCTTTGGCGTGAGGTAGTGGAGGTAGCCAAACGATCCTGGGAACCCCTTCCACAGCTTGTGACGTGGAATGACCACTCTCAGCACCTCGTCGGACACAGCGGTGACCTGGGCCTTTTGAACACCAAAGTAGGTGAGTCTCACGATTCTAACAAAACGGTCAAAACACCAGATGGCAGCCATGGCGTAGGTGAACATGTCATATCCAAAGTTTCTCGTGTGGATCCAAGAGCCAATGAGGAAGAAGACAACCAGTAGAATGTGCATGATCAAGAAGACTTCGTACTGTGTTCTTCTCACAGCATAGCAGGCTTGCACCATGATCAAGCCTGCACAGACAACGGCAACGGCACCCCAGCGCATCCATGGGTTCGCATAACGTGAGGCCAGCTTACCAAGTTGCTTGGACTGGACATGCATGGAGCCACCATGGGTAACTGCAAGGAGAAAGTTGATTCTAGAGATCCACTTGTGGAACGTGAGGAAAGTACTTTGGTTCCAGCCAGTGACCCAGATGAGGAAGTTGTTTCTACCAGCAAACAGGAAAGTCAACAAGAATGCGAAGCATGCCAGAATACCAGTTCTGTCACCTGGATATCTGGACATTTGGGCGCCTCTGTCTGGCCAGATAGTATCATTCTCGATGTACGAGTAGCCTGTTGCTGAGAAGACGACAACCAGCACAAGGTAGAAGAAGATGACGATGGACTGGATTCTCAGGGGAATGTATCCAACAAACATCTTAAACACTGTTACCGGATGTGAGTGTCTCTTCCCCCAGGTGGCTGGCATCGTAAGATGCTTTCTGATGAGATTCATTGGATGGGACTTCAAGTTACCTGCAACAAAGACAGTGAGGTTTAGGAAGTTGTAGATTCCAGCAAGCAAGAACATGAGAGCCCAGTAGCCAATCAAACCGGCGCCCATCCACATACCCCAATCTTCATTCTTACGGCGTGCCTCGATGGACTTGTAAGCATTGGTAAACACCTTCTTGTTGTACTCAACAGGAACATACGTCACTGCGCTCTTGTTGAACCCGTCAACATCTGAAGGATTGATAATGTAGTCTGTGGCATTCTCATACTGTTTCTTGAGCTGCTCTCTTGTGTATTTCTTGTTGGCGTTCTCTTCACAGTACTCGATGATAAAATCATCGATGGTCTCATCGTAAAGCGAAGTCTGATCATAGACACAGTACAACCAAGAACCGAGACCTTGCGGTGTGGAGCAAGAGCATTTGTAGGACTTGGCAGTATCCTTTGCACAGAACAACGCCGTTTTGGCAAGAGATGTTCTGCAAGACTGAACAATGATCTCATCCTTGGAGTAGTGCTTGTAACCGTCGTCTCCTAGTACACATGGTATCAGAGACACAAGAGGTAAAACCAGTTGACTCACTCTCATGCTGTAACGTTTCTTGTGCTTCAGCCAGATGAAAATGGAAGTTCAGCCATTTCAACATTCTGGGTGGGAGGAAAGACCCACTCTTTATATAGTTCACCACTCCTGAAAGATTTGATTGATCTGATAATGTCCCTGTGTATGTTTTATGCAAACTGGGACTACTACAGCATTTTTTTTCTAGTCCCTTCACTGTACATACGTACAGCGGAATGCAGCTCTATCCACTTTACCCATACCGGGCCTAGAAAGCATACAGTCTTGCTGACCTGTGATTTGATGCCCTTAGAGCTTTGGCTGAACGTTTCCAGGTTCACTCCCACTCCTTGGAGATTCCATATTACTCTTGCGTGTAGCTGATCTTTCAGATAGGGCGACATGTCCATACATTAAAGTCCCCTGTGTGGCTATAGTCCCATATGCAATGTAGGGACTCGACCATTTCTACGGTCGGCTCCTGAGAAAACTTTTCTTGCTGTTAAAGCTCACTGTAGAAATCTTACGGGTAATTCAGCCTCAGAGTTGAAGCGTTGTACACCCAGTGTGAGTGTCCTCTACGGGTTCCCAGGAGCTGTGATTGAAACACAGACCCCTTAGAGCTCTGACTAAGAACAATTCTCCTGCCATTGAAACGATAGCTGAGCGTGCACTATTGGACACACAGGTTGAACCAGACCTCAACGATAACTAAAACCAACATCAAGGCGTTCCCAACGTTGCCTCGGTGCCCCCTGCAGGCCCTACAATATAAGCTTGTTACCCCCCTTCTGATTGGATGGAATGTCCTTAGATGTTGAGATATTTCCGGACAAGATGGAAAAGATAATCCTAAATTTTCACCAGTATGCATTAGGTTGCATGTCTTTTGCTGGCCGACACCCAATGGGAGACACGCGCATGCACGCTGTTTTGTCCTGAGAAACGAAATTCCACACACTTTCTGTTTGGCAATTTGGGAGGTGGAGACGCCCGGTGATCGGCTTTGACTGGCCAGGCTCTTTCATGAAGAGATCAGCTGGGTGCTGCTGCTGCCAGTTGTTGCCTCTGCTTCTTGTTACGGGAAAGAGTGCTTGTTGTTCACCAAACGTCTTTGAAGATATGTGTAAATTCCATCAAAATTCTGTCACTTGTCAAATCTTAAGTGTGAAGGTTCTTCCATATGGGCTTGGCTTGGGAATATATGCGCATCTTTTCTTCCGTTCCCCTGCTGACGCCGTGTGAACCTCACGGGCAATTGCAATATGGGACTAGACTGGATTAATTACGAAGTTGTGTTCTAAAAAAGCCGCAGTAACTTACACATATTGGCCATGAGGAAATAACTGGAATGTAACTAAAGTACAGAGCATGTATAGCCTGTTGATCCCGTAGGACTATCCATATATTCGTTTCTTAGTAACTACAAGGTTCCAGTTGTGCACGGAGGGGACTTCGTAGGCACTTGCTACAGGTGCACACGCCTCTAGGGCCTAGCTACTTGAGACCACCAAGCCGTATATGCGAATGCGCTCACCAGCTCACTGGTGACAACTCTTGGAACTTGGCGCATTTTGCCGAGATCAATAAGAGTTTCCTGGTTCGCTGATCATCCCTGCCCCCACCGTTAAGATTCCAGTGGTGTTACTTGTGGCCAATCACCATTGGTTGAAGACTAATGGATGAAGAACATGCGGTTAAATAGCTGCATCATTGCCCGTTACCCATATTCACACCCTTTAAAATTTTCCATCCAGTACAAAAATTTGTAAACGATATATGTAAAGAAAGAAGCGTATTGAAAGTATACATACGTCTTTTCTTAATGGAAGAGTAAGTGTCACCAAGAGTAGTCACTGGTGCTCAATGCCCCTTAGTTCTGACTGTTTTCTTGGCTTTGATGCCGGGGATCAAATGTTCATGACCTCCTCCATACAAAACATCTACGTTGACCACTACTAGGGGATGTTTCGGCATCTCGCATTTGGGTGAGGAAGTCAGGGACATCAAGTCTAATATCCACACTATGGAAGTGAAGTCTGGGCCCGAAAATATCAATGAGGCAGCAAGTTTCTAAACGCACGAAGCTAGACTATATGATAGCAGGGAGGGCTAAATTTGGCACCGACAAAGTACTGCGCAAGAGATATAACTACTTGATATGCTGTTGGGTTCCGGACATTTCGGCAGAGAATTGAGTCGTCAGTAGCACAGTCGAGCCCTTAAACACCTGAGTCCTGAAGTACAATGCCAACAAGTAGAGACTGGATGTTAAGTTATAGAGCTCTAACATAGGAACCATATAAGCTGGGAAAGGTGGGTTCTTGTCAGAGGACTTGGTAATCGGAAAGACAACGGAGCCACATCAGACGTCCGATTACACAAGAGAGAGATAATGCAGTTGTATTATTTATCATGCTCTTCCATATTATAACATGGCTTGTAAACTCTGGGCATGCTACTGGCTTAGGTGGATAAGAAATTGCCCTTAAACCAAGCTCTGTACGGCGTGCGTGCAACCATATAATTGACCTTTGAAGCTCCTTATGCAGCGACCAAATTGCCATACATTGTGCAGTTCAACCCCAGGAACTGGCCATGTGTGTCATCAAGCTGGAGCTTACGGGCCAGTAACAGCACAGTAGTAATGCGAATATGCTCTAGATATGGCTATAATCCCGTTCATAAGACTTTGGAGTGCTATTTGTCTCTGCCTTGTGGTTTTCTTAGCTTGTGATAAAGGAAACAGTTGCATGATGATTCGCAGCCATCAATACTCCTGTAAGCTGAGTAAACGAATGGCCATCAGAGCAAAATTACCTGGAAGGGCATGTGAAACTCACCTTGGGTTTGAACCATGTATAATTTGCTACTTTGAAACAGCCAGCTCAGGCTGGAGTTCTAATAATCCAATCAGATGTCCGTAAAAGGAAGGGATGCTATGTACGGACTCCATTTGTACATGGACTTAAGAAAACATCTTTGCAGTATGGTGAAGAAGATGATGGTTCTGGTTGTCTTTATCATTGGAAGGATACTACACACTGAGGACATGTGCGCTGTAGGCCTTTCGCAATGTAATAGATGTGGTTGCTAAATATTCAGGACTAATTTTGAGTCCCAAGAGACCATCACACAGCAACGTAATATAGAGCGCATTACATAAGTCAAATTGTAAATAATTGCATCGAATGCTTCGAATGAGAGTGCATATGATCTACAGTAGGCAAGTCTTTGCTTACTATGGATATTCCTGAGCTGCTATTGGCTCAGTGGTTGTTCTATGAAGTAACTTACACAGTGAACGGGTTCCAAATGGAGCATTTATAAACCTCATATACCCACAACTGATTAATAACACAAGCCATGGTAACATGTTGTAACGCTCAATTGAAATTCCATATCATCCAATCATTAACATCTTGAACGAAGTCTTCACTTGGACGTATTAGAATGAATTACACTTAAAACACAGGATGTACCATGGACTACTCTAATCCTGCCATTGCCAATATCGGAAACAAGTGCAGGTGTAGCCAATCATAAGCGATGACCCTGCATGATTACAACAGCACTGTTAGAAGTGTATGCTTGAGCTATTCAAAGCTCAAATCCTAATTGGCTAGGCATTGACGAACACCAGATGTTTTACACCCTTTCCAATACGATTGCACTACACAATCCTCATCTTATATACATCATGTTGCTTACTCCGTGATAATTAATATATACATGCACTTTAATGATTCTAGTTCGCCTTCAAATCCCTCAAGCTTTCTTCCCTCTCCTTGTTCACAGCTCTGTCATGGGCATCAGCAACTCTTTGTTCAAACTCATGTCTATCACCAGTGATTTGCTCCTCCACTTGAGCAAGACCTGGCTTCGAAGAACTATCAGCACCTGACTTGGTTGCACCGATAGTACCAAATAGGGCATCAAGAAGCTTTGGACTGTAGGTGCGTTGTGCCTGGAACTCTGTGGAAATACGTTTGGCGCCAAAGGCATCTTCAATTGCGGCTTTGAGATCAGCCTCAGTAGTGATGAAGTTATCAGCAGCGTAGTATAACTCCAGAAGATCAGTGGCTCTGTTCTCTTTGCCTCTAAGCTCATTTTGTAGTCTATTGGCTTGTCTCTTTGCCTGAAGTATCTGTTTCTCCTCCTCTGTTCTCTCTCTCATCAATGGACCTTCCAACAACTTGTTAATCGTTGGCAAAGTAAGTCTGGCAGACTCGGACTCCTCGTATGTGATGTTCTCTTTGATTCTCTTCTCCTCGTCTTCCCTTTCGATGGTTCTCTTCTCGACATACTCAAGTCTCTTCTCTTCTCTGTGCAAACTGTCGGCATAGTATTTACGACGAAGTGCGGCTTTGGTCACTTTCTCCTTCTGCTGCTCGTTCAAAGTAGACAATTGAGGTACGCTTTTTGGATTCTTCATGGTATCCTTGATCAGATCACCAACTGTACGCACTTTTGGTAGTGGTTGTTCACGAGACGTTCCTTTTGGATGTTCAACACCTTCCGCGTAACCGACATTTGGGTTGGCATGTCTCACAACAGGCTTGATAGGCTGCTTGAAGATCTGACGAACTTCCGGAAGCACACCAGACTTGCCTCCAAACACTCTCGCACCTTTTGTCATCGTTTAGCAAGCGTATTTATCTACTTTGAAGCTCTCTTTCCCTCTCAAAATGGAAACAATAACGACGTTGATGGGTTTTTTGTTTTTTTGGCAACGTTGTGAAAAATTGTGCGCGTACCAAAACTGGAAATAACCCGCACATCACATGTGAAGAGAGGGTAACACTTATCAGTTCATCTACATTCGGTATCACATAATGTCTCTTAACATCAAGTTGCCTTTATATAGAGTGGGATCCTTGAAACGTGCTGTAGTTCGTTTCCTAGTTCATCAAATACAGCACCCCATTCGTACTCTCCGCTTTCAAGTAGAACAGCGCCCATGCTATGCGTCACCGATGTACCAGGAGCGATATCCTCATCCAACGGCATTTGGAGTATACCGTTGTAGAGGATCTTCTTCTCGATGGAGCCATATGTTGATGTAGTTGGGATGTTTCTCAATGTCCCCTTTAAGGCTCTTTCTGTTTTGTTCTCGATGGTAACATTCACAGTGAAGAATTCGCCAGGAGTCAAGTGCCTGAAACGACCAGTTCTGGCAACTTCGCCTTCAATGTCTATACTCACGTTAACCTTTTCAACTCTCATTACGGTTAACATCTTCTGGGTTAGTCTTATGCCTCTAAACTCAATATCTCCAGTAATTTCTCCAATTGACCAAGTACCTTTCAAATCCCTTAGCAACTCTTCACGGTACCAAAAGGACTCCTTCTGAAATTGCTCTTCGTTTTTGGAAATTCTTGATCTTGTGAATCTTGAATGCTTCAAAGGGATCGGTTTCAGATTCTCATAATCAATGTCGATTCTTTTCATAGGAATGGTTAACCTCTTTGTATCCATCGGGACAATGTTATCAGACACTTTGTAATCCTTGTACTGAACATCAATATTGATAGGTTTGTTGGAAACGTTTCTAATGTCAACAAAAAACAGAACGTAATCTGAAACGGCACCTCCCTTCTCATTGACATACTGCCAGATCGGAACCTCAGATGATCCGATTGACTCAGAGAGTGGTATAACATCACAGTCAGCTAAGTCTGTGCTCTGCTGTACAGTAATCGGAACTGGGATATCCAAGCATCTGGTGAACTGTAATCCGGAATCATCTGAATGTCCATACTCTAGGGCAAGTTTAACTTTCACTGCACCACGTTTACCCACAACTTCCAATAACAGAGGAACCTCCTCGTTTGGCTGAATCTCATCAATCTTCGAAATGATGTTGACAGAACGTTTGTAGAGGAAGTATTCATATTCATAGAGATCAGTTGCTAATTTGTCCCTGCTTTCCAACAATTTACTCAAGGGATTTATTGTGGAATCCCAGATGGAAAACTTGAGAATGTTTACCGAAATATCAGAATGGTTCTTAAGCTTGACTTCAACTATCTGTTTTCCTCCTTCTAACAACATCAAAGGCTCAATATGTGATGTGAGTTGTAAGTTCGGTTGTGCCGTTATAACGTGCAATTCTATCTGAGATGTTTCGGCACGACCATCCACATTATTTGACACCATGTTCTTGTAAAACGTATTCAGGATATCCTTATTCGTTGTCTCCTGATGCTTCAACTTTGGTGGGTTTGCAGCCTTTTCAGCTTTACAAATTTTGAATCTCTGGATGCTAAATTCAGAAATTCTTATCTCTGCAGAATCAATAACCAATTTCCCTGGAGTTAATGGTTTCGTTAATACATTAATCTTTCCTATTGTCTTTGGTTGGATGGTGAAATGGTTCTTGAAGATCTCAAGTCCTGGTATCTTGATTTCATTGATAGAAATAGCAAATGCAAATGGGTTCTGAATTTCAACCAAAAATTCAGTAAATTCCCCCTGAACAACATAGCTCTTATCAATAATAGCAGTCTGTAGATATGGGTTATACAATACAGGATCCGTAGAGTTCTCTTTAACAGCTGTTTTTTGTTTCATTGGGGGATTTGATAGTTTGACTAGGTTGATACTCCTCAATACAAATGGATCAGGGTAGTACACCTGTATGTCATGCTCTTTGGATAACCTTTCTATATCGGCGAGTAATTTGGCCTGCTCATTGTCCGTTAAGGAGTCTGCAAAACGCGTTAACATCAACGATTTGAACTTTATAACAGACTCAACATCCGATAGCTCAGCGGATATAGCTGAACATAGCTTAAGAGTGGATTTTACAATCTGAATCCATCTTGGAGCATGAGCACTTTCAATGTTCGCCTCACTTTGGCGATCAACACCGTACACAGACATCAAAACGTTAAAGATATCTGTTAGATCGTAGTCCGTTGAACTGCCAGGTTGTGCTTTTAGTTGTGGTATCAGACAAACAAATAACGTTCTTAACATGAAGTTTCGCTTCCTTGGAAGACCCATGTCTCCATAAAGGGCAGAAAGAGAACCAAATATTCTCGTCTGAGATAAAATGTCCATACTTTTAAACTGGACGCTCATCACTTTGTTGGAAATTCTCACCATATCCATTTTGTCGTATGTATATGGAATGTCGCTATGAATGGACAAGGGTCTGCCTTTAATCATGTGGTGTAAGCACAATGTGTTGAGTCCACCGGCGAAATTGACCACAGTCATTAACTTTAGGAATCTCAATATACTTTCACAGTATACCAAGTCCGGTACATAGTCTTCTGGATCACTCTGTGACGATTCAAAATAGTATATCATCTTGCACAAAATCTGATAGATTAGCTCAGTTGTGGTGAACCTCTCCAGATCTAGAGATCCAATGGCCATTGACGACCTAGGAGAGGAGTTTGGAGTGCTTGAAGGGCTTGAAAGTGTATGCAAAGGTTGTGCTGAAGAGTGCAATGCGCTGTTCAACGCTGGGCCTAGCTGATACGGCAGATCTAAATAACAAAGCATGACAATGGAAACAGCAATGCCTTCCAGCGTTGACGCTATCCACAGGTAATCATAGCCTGATTTGAGGAGAATCAGTGCTTCTTGGAATTCCTTCAAAGCATCGGAGTATTTGCCTGCAATTAGCAACAAGTTACCCAAGATTTTCTGCTGTCTCCCTTTAATTCTCGCCTGGCGGCGTTCATTTGAAGATTTGATAGATATCTTGGAATTTGCTGGATCGCTTGACAGGGAGAACCCTATGGATGACCCGGAGCTTATTCTCTTACTCTTCACCACAGGGGTCTTAGCCCTCTCGTTACCACCAAGGGTCCCTGGAGATCTCAGGGTAATATGCTGGAAGGACACCAAATACCCAGTAAGCCCATCCAAGAACAGTCTTGTGATGTCACAGATCACCGTCTCTGTGTTCGTAGCGTTGAAGATGACGCTCTCATGTTCAAACTCGGGTTTCTTGTCGAACACCACTATGCAATGCACTACCGAAGACTTGTACAGTCTCTTCAAGGACTCCAATGCCTCCTGTGGTTCTTCCAATGAACTCGCCAGCCCAATAACAACAAACGTCTTTCTATAAGGCTCAAAGTCCTGCAGAAACAGCGTCTCCTGGCTATCGAGACTCGTCGTGAAGTCGTACAGCACCCGGCCATCCGGGAAGCCCTGAGGGTTGAAAGTCCTTGTCCTTGTCCTCGTGACATCTACCAACCTCACCTCGGAACTCACCTCGATGTCCCTCACGTACCGCTGGAACTGCTCACGCTCCAATGACCCAATGGGCACCAGCAGCGTACGCACCCTTGCTGGAGAAACGAAAGACACTGTATCCATGGGTATTTTGACGAAGCGCGCCGGTAATGAACAATGAGGCCGGCTTCCTCCCGCTGCTTTGTTGTTGAAGACGTTTGTTGATGTACACAAAAGCTCCCATAGGAAAACCCGCGAAACAAAACGCGGAACGAAACAGACAGAAGAACTGTGGGTGTACGGATGTTGTGGGTCTCCACCCGAGGGCTCTCCATCAGTAGCCAGACAATTACACAGCACGGTCTCATGTCAGCGCAAAAAACCCGGCCAGTCAGCTCAGTCAGCATAGCTGGTGATGGAAACACGGTTACACCCCCTCATATCGCCCAATTGGGTAATAAACACCCCCAGCCCGTGTAAAGAGACCGGTCGTTTCTGGTTCGCGCAGCAGCATCACCTCCGAAGGGCGAAAACAATCCACAAACAGCCATAAACAACCATTTCAGTGCATATTGGTAAACATTGATACACATTTGATCAGCCATTTAAAGCCACACGGAAGATTCGAAGATGGCTGGAGGATTGAGCTTTGAGAACCACCAGAGAAACCAGTTTCTCGCAGCCAATGGACACGCGCCGCCAACGGCGACGTCCACGGGTACGACGATTGTTGGAGTGAAGTTCAACGGTGGCGTTGTGATTGCCGCTGATACGAGGGCCACTGCTGGGGACATTGTTGCCGACAAGAACTGTGAAAAGCTCCATAGATTGGCTCCTAAGATCTGGTGTGCCGGTGCAGGTACTGCAGCGGACACTGAGATGGTGACACAGCTGATTGCGTCCAACTTGGAGCTCCATTCGCTGAGCACGGGCAGGGAACCAAGGGTGGTGACCTCGCTTCAGCAGTTGAAACAGCACCTCTTCAAGTACCAAGGCCACATTGGTGCGTACCTCATCGTGGCAGGTGTGGATCCAACAGGAGCACATCTGTTCTCTGTCCAGGCGCACGGTTCTACAGACGTTGGCTACTACCAGTCGTTGGGATCGGGTTCGCTAGCTGCAATGGCAGTGTTGGAGAGCGAGTGGAAACAGGATTTGAGTAAAGAGGAGGCAATCAAGTTGGCGTCTGACGCGATCGAAGCCGGTATCTGGAACGATTTGGGGTCCGGTTCGAACGTTGACGTTTGCGTGATGGAGATTGGCAAGGATGCACAGCTGTTGAGAAACTACAAGACTCCTAATGTCAGGGCTCCGAAGGAGAGAAGCTACAAGTTTGCCAGAGGCACCACTGCAGTGCTCAAAGAGTCCATATACAACCTGGTGGATGTTAGTGAGGATATCGTTGTGAGTGCGGGCGAGCCAATGGAAGTTGATGCTTAGAGAGACTCCCCACGTAGTGATATTTAACGGGTGCTTTAATGTCATAAAAACATACGGAATGAAATGCACTGAACTGTAGTTAACATCATCGTCAAATAACACCTTCCTTAGTCCTCCCCTTGCCCACCCACACACACCCGAAACGTGGCTATGGAGATAAACAAAAACATATCATCTCCCACACACACACAGCGGCTCATAGCTATAGTGAAATGGCCGCTAAGCACACTGAAGCGCTTCTACAGGGGGAGCAATACACCTCCATCGACTCACAGAGCTCAACTATTGCCACCACGGCAGATGAGATTGAAGAAACCCGAACTGGGAAGTACGTCACTTTGGTCGTCTGTGCCTCTGCTGTAGGAGGATTCATGTTTGGATACGACACAGCGTGTATATCGAGCATTCTCATATTCCTCGATAAAGGCTCGCTAGACCTGTCAGATAGGCAGAAGGAAATAGTCACAGGCATCACATCTGTGGGGTCTTTCTTTGGATCAATTGGAGCTTCGATCCTCACTGATCATCTCGGGAGGAAGAACGTTATCACCATATGTTGCGTTATCTTCACATTGGCTGCTATAGAGCTTGGACTTGCACAATCCGTGACTGCTCTTGTCATCGGTAGACTCATAGTTGGGCTGGCTGTGGGGGCTGCTTCTATGGTTGTACCTGTGTACATATCTGAAGTGGCGCCTTCTAAGAGAAGGGGAAGGCTACTGGTGTTGAACTCAGTAACCACCACTGGCGGCCAACTATTCGCAAACATCATAGCACTGATAGTTTCCCAGATGCACCATAATTGGAGGATAATGTTCCTCTTGAGTGGTATTCCCTCGGTATTGTTCCTCTGTGTTGCCAAATTCTTGCCAGAGTCACCGAGGTTTCTCATCCTTCAAAATGAAAAGCTTCAAGCTCAAGAAGCGTTGTCAAATCTATACCCAAATGCAACATTTGAGCAGGTGAGTCGTAAAGCATCATCGATAGAGGATGATATCAAACTCAACGAGGAACAGCATCGGTTACCATTACATGCAAAGCTCTTTGGCTCGAGTGCAACGCTGAGGGCATTGGCTGTTGGATGTGGATTGATGTTTTATCAACAGGCGTCCTCGTTCAATTCCTTCATGTACTATGGTGCAACTATCTTCAAAGCTGTTGGAGTAGGCAATCCACTTGTGATTTCAATTCTGATCAGTGGTACAAACTTTGCTTTCACTTTTGTTGCGCTGAGATATATCGATGAGATTGGAAGAAGGAAGATGTTGTTGAGAACGCTTTGGATCATGGCATTTGCTTTGTTCGTTGCTGGTGTTGCATTCTCCAGGATTGACCTACCACAGGAGCTTCAAACCAAGAATATGAATCCAGCTTCATACGTCCTGGTCACGTCGGTCTTGGTGTTTGTTGCGAGTTATGCCTCAGCTCTTGGAACTGTTCCTTGGTCGTCTGTTGAGTTCTTACCACTCGAGGCAAGGGCTGCTGGTTCTGCAGCAATTGCAGCCACTGGATGGCTAACCAACGCTATAGTGTCAGCTACTTATCTCTCCTTGGTTGGTGCCACTTCTTTATCCGCAACATCTGTGATATTCTCAATTGTCTGCGCACTAGGTTGGCTGGCAGTGTTCAAGTGGTATCCAGAGGTCAACAGGTTGTCGTTGGAAGAGATACGTAAGGTCTTTGAGAATGGTATCGATATCCATTACGTAGATCATCGCACCTCTCTCTAGGACCTCTCTAGGACCTATTCTACGTCACAAGGCTTACGCTCACGGTTGAAGGTCTACGTCATCGTAGACCTATGTTATAATAAGAAATGGACTTTAATTCCTGGATGATATGCTCTTTGTTTTATAACTAAGGTATCATTCTGAAGTGATCAATATACGATGATATCTAAAATGCAGCACTTCGCTTGTGCAATGGCTGTCACGGTCTTATTCACATAGTATAAAGGCCTACGCAATTATGACATTATGGAAGGCCCAATTGTGACTTAGACGAGGCCAACTAATTGAGATCTCAGAAGTGAGCTGAAATCCTTGAAAGTCGGTAATATTAAGAACACTACACCTTGAGCTACTGGTTGTCACTTCCATGGCTGACGGGCTGCAATGTCTAAGCACAGATGATAGGCAATGTGTACTTTAGTAAAACAAATAGTTTAAACATGCAGAGATGGTGGCCATTATAAACTGATTATTTAAGTCAACATGAAAGTATCTATTCTCACCAATCATAAGCTTGAATTCTTGAATAAAGACTGCTTAACATTTTGAGTAATTATTATTTTCTCATCCAACAGCTATCTCATATTATTCATTAAAACATTTGATGGAACAACCAACTGTCCTGAATAATAAGCCACATCCCTAACTGACCTTTAATCTACCAAAATTTGACCGTCCAATGGGAATCCATGTTGAATAAATACAACTCCATTGTTCCTACATCGTTATCTATCGATTTGAAATCATATTGCATTCATATAATGTAACAATTATATAATATAACAATTATATAATCCACATCCACCCCCGGAAATACACCGCTCCCCGGAATTCCCCAAAGTGTTGAACGGATTCGCGGGTTCACTTCCGCAAAATTCAGGTCTCAGCCCTTGGTTTCCTTGCCAACGGCAATCGAGGTTACAGCTGAACAGACCAATTGCACGTATAAATCATGAGTTTTAAAGGGTTCACAAAGGCTATGTCTAGAGTATGTATCTCCATATACGATTTTATGCCGTCAATTCACCCTCTCTGTGGGTCATTCTTCAACAAAAGCGGATGACATGGAAGGCCCGTTGGGGAGCGAAATGGGGGTGTGTCTGCCTTTACCCAGGGTGCTAACACGAAAGCAATCAAACAGGTTCCTCAGAACTTTAGACAGAAGCTCAACATGGGAGAAGTGACACACGATCCCGTGTACGATGATGCAGAGAGACGTTTCAAGGAAATTGAGAATGAGACAAAGAAGTTGAGCGAGGAATCCAAAAAGTACTTCACCGCCGTCAACGGGATGCTGAGCCACCAAATTGGGTTCTCCAAGGCAATGGATGAGATCTTCAAGCCAATCAGTGGTAAGCTGTCTGATCCAAACTCCACCATCCCTGAGGACAATCCCGAAGGTATTGAGGCGTCAGAACAGTACAGACAGATTGTTGCTGATTTGCAGGAGACGCTAAAACCAGATTTGGAGTTGATTGACACGAAGATAGTCCAGCCAGCACAAGATATGCTGAAGATCATTCTCTCCATCAGAAAGATGGCAACCAAGAGAGAACACAAGCAGCTGGATTTGGATCGTCGTAAACATACGTACAACAAGTATGAACAGAAGAAGGAGAAAACCCCAAAGGATGAGGAAAAGATGTACAAGGCCGAGGCTGAGATGCAAGTTGCACAGGAGGAGTACGACTATTACAACAATATGCTGAAGGAGGAGCTTCCTGTCCTGTTCCAATTGGAGGCACAGTTTGTTCAACCATTGTTTGTGTCTTTCTACTTCATGCAACTCAACATCTTTTACACCCTTTACAACAAGTTTGAAGATATGAAGATTCCATATTTCGACTTGAACTCCGACATCGAGGAGGCATTTGCTGCTAAGAGGGGCGATATCCAAGAGAGATGCGATGCAATTGGAATCACCCATTTCAAAGTGGGTCATGCTAGAGCCAAATTGGAGATGACCAAGCGTAGATATGGTAAAGAAGGAGCAGCAGGAGTGGGAGCCGCAGCAGGATCAGCAGGTACAAACACTCTGCCTCCATACACTCCACCAGCAACTGCTGGAGGTTATGGTCAGCCTGCTGCTGCCACTGGAGGCTATGGACAACCTGCTCCTGCTGCTGGAGGCTATGGACAAACTGCAACTGGTTATCCTGATGAAAAGGCACAGTACCAACAGGCCCCAGCCTACGGACAACCAGCGTATGGACAACCAGCTTATGGACAACCAGCTTACGAACAACCGGCAGCAGCAGCAGCAGGTGGCTATGGCCAGCCTATGACACCACAGTCTGCCTCCTCGTATGCTTCGCCAGCACCAGTCGCAGCAGCAGCTCCACAGGCAACACCAGCAGTGGAGACTTGTACTGCGTTGTATGACTACGCAGCACAAGCTGCGGGAGACCTATCATTCACCGCAGGCACTGTCATCGAGATTGTACAGAGAACTGCTGATGCCAATGGTTGGTGGACAGGAAGGGCAAATGGACAGCAAGGTGTCTTCCCAGGTAACTACGTACAGCTCAACTGAGCTACAATCACCACACGTGACCAACGAGCGAACGAACCAATTCCTTCCCACAACTCGCTCCACGGCAGCACCAACCAGCGAGTAAATCATATACGTCAAACGTCATGTTATTTTTAGTTCCCATATATATATATGTATATTTTAACCACCGATGCAGTGGAACAGGCCCAGCCTTGTTTCTGACATTGCTTCGCCAAGGTTGGTGGGCCAACTACGGTTGCCTTGCACCACCATCTATCGGTGAGAATGAGTATAAAGCCATCACGGATCGTGAAGTGTTTCAATTGCCATCTTCCACTACCTGTAGAACCACCGTCGATATCCACTGGCGTGCAACAGGGAGCAGGTGAAACCCTCCCGAAACAGGAACTCCCAACCCCCAAAACATACAGAACCGGGATTTCTGAGTTTACCCAATTGGGAAATACAAATTTACCCAAAAGGGAATATTAATTCTTCTTCGGGGAGGGGGAGGCAGAGCAGTGAAAAAAACACAGCATAAAAAACAGAAACTGAAGAAACCCCATCAACTCTCTTGTTGAAACCACGACAACACGAAACTTTATACACGTCAACGCTAAAACAGATTGGAAGGAAGGGTTTACCACGGTAACCAAAATTTTTTCTCACCACATACAAGCTTACACAGTGATTGCCATAACAACGGAGGGTCTCCATCGCAAGAACATCAACAGACAAACAGGCGGGTTCACCACAAAGACAAAGCACGTAAACACAGAAGAGCGAAACAGAGGGGCGACTGCGCGGTATCGTGGAAGTACAAGTGATAAACAAAGCAGATGTCTTCAACAGATGAATCACCACCTCGTGGTCTCAGTGGATGGTGGAAGCAGCTAAAGAAGCAAGGATCCTCAGTGGAGAGCTTTGGCACATCGCATGTTTCGCCGAAGAACGGGTCACAGCAGAGCCTCCACAGGCCCAGGATGTCGTTCAAGTCGCGTTCCTTCACGGGGGTGGCCAACGACAGCCAGAGCTCTGAGCAGCTGATCAGACAGAAGAGGGACGAGTTCATCGCGTCGCAGAACAAGTTTGGCTTTGGCAACGAGGTGTTTGGGGTGCCCTTGGAGAAGTCCATCGATGTGGCTGAATCGCTCATCTCCGTGCCCTCGGAGGACCCTGGTGACTTCATCAGGTACGGGAGAATCCCTTTGCTAGTTGGCAAATGTGGTTCGTTCTTGAAGGAGAAGGGGTTGGGTGTTGAAGGAATATTCCGTGTGACGGGCTCCTCCAGACGGGTCAAGGAGCTGCAGTACATCTTCAGCACGCCGCCCGAGTATGGGCGTAAGCTATCGTGGGACGGATACACGGTGCACGACGCTGCGTCGCTATTCAGAAGGTTCTTGAACAACTTGCCGGAACCGCTTGTTCCGCTTGACCTATATGAGCAGTTTAGAGAGCCCGTTCGCTCGAGACCAAGGATCATCGAGCACGTGAAGGCGAGAAACGATTCCATCGAGAAGCGGATCAACGCGATCCAACGGCAACAGCAGGATGGACAGCCCTTCGAGGAGGAGGACGTGGACAAGGGATTATCACCTGAGGAGTTAGAAAGGAAGAAGCAGAAGGAGCTCCGGAAACAGAAGAGAATCGCCAAAGATTTACGTAGCGCCTTGAAGGAGTACCGTGTGCTGATTGATAAGTTACCCTTGGAGCAAAAGCACTTGCTCTACTATCTCTTGGACCTGTTGACGATGTTTGCAGATAACGCAAAGAAGAACCTCATGCCTGCGAGAAACCTAGCTGCGATATTCCAGCCCTCCATACTTTCACACCCGGATCATGATTTGAATCCGGATGAATATGCTCTTTCACAGGCAGTGGTGGAGGTGTTGATTGAATACTCCAAGAGACTTTTACCAGATGTCAACAAGCGTCCATCGGAACCACCAACCACGAGAAATTCCAGTACAAATTTGCTGTCAGTACCACAGTCAGCTTCAGGCTCAAGACCACATTCTCGTTCGCTTTCAGCAGCTAATGTTATACCAGATGTTATCAACCCAACAACGTTGACCACACATATAAACCATTCGGAGTCCAATCTATCAAAACATTCTGGTGGAGAGAACACCACTGATGAAGATATAGAGGCCCCAACGAATACCATCAAATCATCACCTATTGATATCCCACAGATTAACGTGTCAACGTTGAATCCGAATTCCAACTCTGAAACTGTGAAACCAGTAACTTCACCGAGGGCTGTCCATATGACTTCCATAGAGTCTCGTGATTCCCGTTGGAAGAGTGGCTCTGATCTTGAAACACCAAGTGGTAACAAGAGAGATTCGTGGTTCAAACGTTTACGGAGTCCATCCAGAGGAATCAAGGATTAAGGGCGGAACGAATCACATGCTCATGATATACCAACGAAATCTTGTGGGATTCACTATCCATTATTCTATCAACCAGAGACTATGCTTTAAATGCGATTGTTTTATTTGACTTTTTCTTTGTTTTTATTGTTGTTGTTTACCCTTCATCCGCTTTTTGTACAACCTTTTGGTTGATGCTTGTTTAATGCCCTTTTCATTCTTTTGCTTTAATTCTTAAATACAAGTCCAATTTTTTTCTGCAATTAATCATCGATTAGGAGATATTTATCATATCATTCCACAATCTCAATTTCAGAATCTGTCTTTGGCTTTTTCGTGACGTGGGTATCATCATAGTCTTGGGCTTTAGCCTTTCTCTTATCAGGGGAGGTTGCTTCTTTAACGTCAACAATAAGAAGATCATCATCGTTATCATTAATAAGCTCTACACCATCTTCCTCATCGTCTTGATCATTCTCTTCCTTTTCTTCAACAGGAGGTTTCTCAGCCATCTTTATATCTGGTAATTTCAGATCGCCTCCTTTAACCTCAATGATGTATAGTTCGACCGATTGGTACTTATCGGTTTCATCAGCCACGTTTAACAGTACGCCATCCACTATACCCATTTCTTTCAATGTCTTTTCAACGTTGTCGTCAAAATCGATATCATAGAGCAAATTACTTCCCAGAGAGAGGGATATTTCCTCGTCTAATCCATAAGTGGACTGTAATGCACCAAGAAGATCATTGAGAGTTTTTGACGTATCGAAATGTGCAACTCCTCTGACCGCTGAACAGGTTGCACATTTTGGATTTGGCGATTGTAACATCGATGGAGAAACAAACTTATCAGAGTTTGAAACAGTAAAGACAGCTTTGGAATTTTGGATTCTATTTTCGTAAGATTCATCAAACTGTTTGAGAGATAATAGTGCTGAGAAGCCTGCGATAATTGCATTTGTCGTTGCAATAGCAGGGATGATGTTACCTGCAATAGATTTGATATCGAATTTAGCCTTTAGCGGTATGGAGAAAATATGAGAACGGATGTTTGTAGCCGATGCAACAAAGTTCAAAGTGTCCTCATCATCTTTATCGAATTCAATTTCCTTTTCTATGGCAATTCTTTTTTGTAGAGCCAAAGTCGAATCGATAAAGACCTTCAAGTTCTGTTCCAAAGTCCATTCCCTTTGACCTGTGCCGATTTCCTCTTTAGAGATCTTTAACACCTTTTCCTTAATTTGATTGTTATATTCCAATGGGGTTGGTTGTTTTCTTGTCTTCCAAAGGTCTGAGATCTTTAACAAGTTTTCAATATCCTTTGTGAAAACTTTCGCAATAACTTTATCGACAAAGTCTTCAGAAGCGATAGATCTCTTCAACTCGACGAGTTCGTTATTTTCAGAGATTAAATTTGCAATCTCTTGTTGGTTATCAGTACCCAATTCCCCAGTATCTTTACCCTCTGGTTGTACAACAGGTTCATCATCTTCAGAGAACAAAGAAGTGAATAGAAAACTCTTTGCCCAGTGTATACAATGAACGGGCTGAGATGGAGTAGATCTGATGGTACACACAGGGAAAGTCTTGGGAGTTTCCCTATGGAGACAGTCATAGCATTCAGTATGGTACGGGAAAGTTGGCTGGGCCTGACCGTTTGTGCCCGTTGTGCCACTCTCCATGACTGTCTTGTTCAGCAGCAGAGCCACCTTGTTGATGTACGATCTTGCTTGAATGTTATCCAAGGCATTGAAGATCAAGTCGAACTGCTCGAACCAAGACATCGGGAAGAGATCAGTTTCGTAGATTGAGGCTTGGTACGGCACCAGCTTCGTCTTGAAGAAGTTGAACGACTGAACAGCGTTAACAGCTGTCGAGGCCTTTGGTTGTTTGATATCCTTGTGACGGAACAAGAACTGTCTGTTCAGATTGGACAGGTCAATGGTATCCAAGTCAACAACGTGAACTTCACTGTATCCCAGCAGGATGAGGTCCTTCAGCAGTTCACAGCCGATGCCTCCAGCACCGACGAGTAAGACCTTGGCCTTAGAGGGAGGTTGTTAGTATAAGCCAGTGAATGCAGCGAAGGGAAACAGACATACATTTCTGATCTTCCGATACGTATCATCGCCTAAAACGCATTTCAAACCTTCTACCCTCGACATTTTGCTCTCTACTGGGCTCTGCGCTGTTGTTGTTGTTGTTGTTGTTGTTGTTGTCGTTGTAGTCGTTGTAGTCGTTATTGTTGACGTTTTCCCGCCCATTCGCGCGCGCGACACAAAAACAGTGGAAAACAAGTTCGCGAACAGACAGAAGCACAACAGGATGACGTAATCAACTCCACCCGCACACCTTCCACCACGCGCTCCTAACCGCACCCTCCACGTTTTCCCCTCGCGCCCGGTACGCGCACGCCCAAACGCAAAAAAAGTCGGTTCCGAAACCTCTGCTCACACAGGGGGGTTTGATTCCGATTTACGCATATTGAACGGCTTTTCAAGCCATTTCACTCACTAAACTGACGCTTCCCGCCAGCCAAAGAGATGAAACATACTACAGGAGTTTGCCCAGAGCAGACACCATTGAGGGAAAAAACTACGGAATCGAAAAAGCCCAGTACAGTCCGACGCTATGTCCTTTTTTTAAAAAAATCGTAGGCCCTGTTGTATTTTTTTGGTGTTGATATATATAATTTTCCCTTTCCCGTTTTCGCCTTTTTAAAACTCCCCTTCAACACTTTTGTTGTTTTGGTTCTTATTCCTGCCCTGTTACTTTTCTCCTTGACAATTTGCTTCAAGAGCTGAAAGAGACACCGCGTACCATTTCGATCAACACTCTGCCCCCTACGAAAAACAATGCTTGCACAAAGACTTAGAGCTGCGTCTGTTAACAGATCCCTTTTCAGAGCTTATTCCTCCCAGGTTGCCAAGTACAACGGTGTGAAGAACGCCAACGGCAAGTACACCGTGTCTTTCATCGAAGGTGACGGTATTGGTATTGAGATCTCCAAGGCGGTCAAGCAGATCTACGCTGCCGCCGACGTTCCTATCGAATGGGAGTCCTGCGATGTGACTCCAATCCTCGTGAACAACCAAACCGCCATTCCTCAGCCAGCGATCGACTCCATCAACAAGAACTTGGTTGCCTTGAAGGGACCATTGGCCACCCCTGTTGGTAAGGGTCACAGATCGTTGAACTTGACGTTGAGAAAGACCTTTGACCTGTTTGCCAACGTGAGACCAGCAAAGTCCATCGATGGCTACCCAACCCCTTACGAGAACGTTGACACCGTGCTGATCAGAGAGAACACCGAGGGTGAGTACTCCGGTATCGAGCACACGGTGGTGCCAGGTGTCGTCCAGTCAATCAAGCTGATCACCAAGGAGGCCTCTGAGAAGGTGATTAGATACGCGTTCCAGTACGCAAAGTCCATCAACAAGCCAAAGGTGCTCGTTGTCCACAAGGCCACCATCATGAAGCTCTCCGATGGTTTGTTTGTTGAGACCGCAAAGGAGGTTGCAAAGGAATTCCCAGACGTTTCCATTGACTTTGAAATCATCGACAACACCTCCTTGAGAGTGGTGTCTGATCCAAAGCAGTACTCTGACGTTGTGATGGTGATGCCAAACTTGTACGGTGATATCATGTCCGACTTGGCCTCTGGTCTGATTGGTGGTTTGGGTTTGACTCCATCAGGTAACATGGGTGACAAGGTGTCTATCTTTGAAGCCGTCCACGGTTCTGCCCCAGATATCGCTGGCCAAAACAAGGCCAACCCAACTGCTTTGCTGTTGAGTTCTTGTATGATGTTGCAGCACATGGGATTGGACTCTTACGCTGAAAAGATCCAGAAGGCTGTCTTGAAGACCATCGCTTCCGGTAAGGAGAACAGAACTGGTGACTTGAAGGGTACTGCTTCTACCTCCCACTTCACCGAGCAAGTCATCAAGAACTTGTAGATTCGCCCCGATTTCGGGAAATGAAATGCCTACACGGTACATCTCCCTACATACACATGTTATATACTACAACTGATGTTGTAGTAACTACACCATTATAACACACTTAAACGAAACGAGAAGAAAAGGGGGATGAAGAGACATGCCGATTATGATGAGGAAAAGAGATGCATGTTTCATTTTATAGATTTTTACTTGAAACCTTGATGATAACCTGTTTTTTTATTGCCTTATACGTAGTTCACTTGTCTTGTTTCTTGCTCTCTCTAATCTCTTCAAGGGCGAGGTTTGTGCCTTCAACAATGGCAATGTGTTCACACTTGTGAACCTTTTCCTCGTACTCTTCCACGGTCTCCCCTTTCACGATGTCAATCTCCTTGACGAGTAAAGGCTCACCGGCATCGACTTGTTGAATCACCTTGTGGATCATTAGCCCTCCCTTGGTGATCTCACCGTCCTGACCAGCCTTCCATGCTCTCTCGATGGCATGCGTGCCGTCAAATGCACCGGGAAGCGCAGGGTGAAGGTTTATGATTTGGACACCAGCGTCCTCGAGTGGTCCTAGGAAGTCAGGAGAGAGAATCAGCATCCACCCAGCACACACTATAAGGTCTGGAACTACGTGCTTCTTCTCCTTGGCCTCATCCTCGTCACCATCTTTTGAGCCATAGAGCACAATGTTGGCCAGGTCCTTGTTGAACTGTTTACGTGCCTTTGGTCTATCGCCCTTTGGAATGTCTGCATAGTACTCTTTCAATCTGTGCACAGTCGTTGGAATGTCAGCCTTCTCTGCTCTTTGCAACCCGTATGCCTCTGCTGAGGATGAGATGACTCTGATAATCTCAGCATCAATGGTCTTACTACCAACTGCATCGATAAGAGCCTGCAGATTGGTACCAGAGCCGGAAATCAGCACAAGGATCTTCAACTTGGAATCGGTCATTGGTATGCTGTAAACGTCTGTGTTGCGCAGTACCGCAGAAATCCCTTATGAGCACAGGTTTCCTGTTCGCAAATTTGTTCCTCATCAGCATTCATCATCATCAAAATTTCGCGAAGCTTTCCAAAACTGGTTTCTTGACTCCGGTCTACATCAACATCATCAGCACACATGTTGATCTTTTTATTCTTAGCCAGTTAGTTATTTCTCTTGAATAAATCACCGAGCGATTCTGCAACTTTCTTGCCATATTTCGATACGAATTCTTGGTCCTGGGGATCAAACCTTTCGAACATGATAGCGGGCGTGGGGAATTGTCTCTGTATGGCGATAGCCTTTTCCAAAGTGATTCCACGGACGGTCATTAGCATCCTGACAAAGAGTTCACGTACCGTGAGCATCGATGATTTGTTTAGTAGCACGTCGAAGGTGTTGTAAAGATGTACGCATGTGTCTGTTGGGAATCGAGCTTTGAAGGATTCTAGGATCTCAGAATACTTCAATTGGCTTTCAACGGTATGGGGATTCAAGATCAAAAGTCTCTTGGTGGTGTAGAACTTGACAATCTCCTCCGTCATTAGTTTGATGAACCGTAGCGTTGAGTGTGCATCTTTGGTTCTTTGAACGTGGAACCCATTGACGGTGGTTGCCGATGAGATAGCAGTTTCTATGGCTTGTGACATCTGCTGGATATCAGATCCTGTGACCTCTTCAATAAGATAGAAGATGTTTTCAATCCCGGTTCTTTTCAATCGACTCTTTTGTTCGGTATACCTACCATCCTTGATACTCATAGCGAGATCGTCCAACCTTTTCCTCTCCATGATATAGTCCAACACTACTTCCTCGTTCGTCGTTCTATGACGTGCTATCCATAATCCATCTCCAACAGGTAATGGTCGCTTTAAACACTCCACACCTAGTTGTGTTAGCTTTTCATCAAAGAAATCACGGTCGTCTTTGGATTTAACTTCTCGGTTATCAATGATAAACTTCACTTCGTATTCTTTAGGCTCCCAAAAGAAGTAGTTTATTCCTCTATAGACGTGTTCAATACGATCTCTTGGAATGAAAACCGGAACAGTGGGCGAAATTTCAGGAAGTCTGGCCACTCTTGATGCTCGTTGCGGTGTATGAACTCTTGGTGTCGTGGGAGAACGCCGTACTGGGTCATTCGTAGCGCGTGGCACGGCCTGTGGTTGTGTTCTTGTCTCGTTTCTGAACACTACACCATCATTTGCCTTGATACTCTGCGCCAGCTCAAGTCCCTCATCGGTGAGAAAGAATCTCTGAGGCCTCCCAGAGCTCTTTATTAAACCCTCTTGCAGCAACTTCTTTGATGAGTTCCAGGCGCTATAGAACTGGGAGGTTCCAGGGTTTGATTCAAGACTTCCATCACAGTACGGCGCGCCATATTGGATAATGAGGTTCTTTGTCAACCCCATCATGTCTGGGTCGTACTCCAATAGCACAAGGAGAATAGCATACCCCCCAGACCTCTTCCTAGGGACGTACTTCTGCTGTTTCCTCTTGGTAGTTCCATCGGCACCGCCGTCACCTTTTCTCCTCTTCTGACCAGCTGTTTTCACGGGCTCCACAACCACAGCAGGAACCACATACCCATTCTCCTTGCAGTACGATTCAAGCCTCCTCCTCATCTTACCAACAACCCAGTCACCAATCCCCTTCAACTTCTTCAGCTCTTCAGGAGCGTAAACAGGCTCCAGATGGTTCCTGAGAGTGCGTGCAGCGTTGCTTAGAAGCATCGCGCTCTTCTGCTGCCGCTTCTGGCACTGAGCAGCATCCTCATCAATCCAACCAAGGTACAAGTGCTTCAAATCCGATGGTAGAGCGGCCATGGTCCTTTGCCGCTTCGTCTACCTTCCAATGTTTTGATGTTTTGAGCCCATCATCCAGCGAAAGGTAAACAAAAGTGAAAAGTCGGATTTAGCGGGCCAATTAGTAAGCTCGGAGTTAACATGCTTATATGCCCATCGCAATATAAAAAGATGAAGGAGGTTACGGCCTCATCGCCTCCCTCCTCTGACTTAGAGCGCTAACAGCATTAAAACCATCAAGATCAATCAAAAGTGATGGTGTCTTATAAGCAATTGGGCTATCACCCACGTGACTCTGCTCTAGCGATCTACGAACAAGAGGTGGACCCGGCAAAGCTGGGCGCTACTGAGGTGTTGGTGAAAGTGAGCGCTGCTGCTCTGAACCCGGTGGATGTTGTTCTATTCAATTCACGCTTGGTACACTTCTTCCGTTCTTCTCTGATGGGCTTTGGACGTGACTTCTCGGGTGTTGTTGAGTCTGTGGGTTCAGAGGTGTCGAAATTCAGCAAGGGTGATAAGATCTCTGGTATTTATGAGCCAATCTATGGTGCGCATGGAACGTTCAGTGAATACTTGGTGATCGACACCAAGAGAGACGTCAATGTGGGTAAGATTCCTCAAAATTTGAGTCTGGTGGAATCCGCTGCTTTCCCACTGGTTGCAGGTACCGCTTACACGTCTTTGACCCACTTTAAGAAGCCTCAGGATTGTGAGCGTGTGCTTGTCATTGGAGGTGCCACTTCAGTGGGAGGGTTTGTAATACAATTGCTGAAGAAAGTTCATGATGTCCAAACCGTGGTTAGTGTCTGCTCAAATAGATCCAGTGATTCTGTTAAGGCTCTGGGAACCGATATAGTTATCGATTACACTAGAGGGGACGTTACGAAGGAGGTTTCAGCTTTGGTGAAAGATATCGGGAAATTTGACCTCATAATTGACTGTGTTGGATCTAGTGACATATTCCCAGTCATCAGTGACGTCTTGAAACCAAAGGCTGAGAACTCTGGTTATGTCACAATCGCAGGTGACAAGGTTGCAGACTACTCCCGTTCTGCCCTGACATTCTTCTCATGGGCATTGATTAAGAGATTGATCTTTGGAACACCTTATAACTACAAGTTCAGTTCAATTGCACATGGAGGATGGTACGAAGGTATTGTTGGGCTCTTTGAGGCTGGGACGTTGACGTTGGGATTGGATTCTGTCTTTGAAGGACTTGAGAATTACCAAAAGGCCATTGACAAGATTATCGATCACAAGGCTCACGGTAAGATTGTTTTGAAGATCTCAGATGAGGAGTGACTAATTACATGTACCTGATTACTACGATTTTCTTTATTAAAGTCTGTTAGCAAGTAGATGACAGTGTTGAGTTCCGGCGTATATGAGGACGTGATCTCCCAGACACTGCATCGTAATTGTAGAAGAACTCCTCAATAAGTTCCTCTCTTGTTAAGGGTCTTTCCTTTTCAATCAAGCCAGATCTCATCTTCATGGAATCTTCAAATGTTGAACCTCCAAACTTAACCTCCTGTGTAAATCTAACGCTAGATGATCGAGGAGGCGATCTGTTCAGCGTCAACAAATTTCTTGTACCGGGGGTTAAGGGACAGAATTTGGATGTGCTTGCACGAGCTCTTGAAGATGAGTGTGATGACCTTGGCTGATGCTCCTCTATTGCATATACAGGACTGGTAGTTGAGTGCTCTGTGTATACCTCTTGCTCAGATGCCGTTGAAACTTCAATTTCAACTTCATCAGATATTGAATCTTCCAAAAACAGTTTCACTTTTAAGAATATCGTATACGGTAGTGCCTTAGTCTTGTAAAATATCAACTCGGTATCATCCCATAACCCGTATAACTTCTTTATTAAATGCTTGAATTTCAACTTGACATCAGCTTTGGCCCACCATAACTTTGTAAAGATGAACTTTAGCGTGAACAGCACCTTTTTAAACACGTACAACACCTTGGAGATAAACCCTTTGATCAAACTCTTCTTTGCTGGCTTAGTCTTCTTCTGTTCCGATACTTTCCTCTCAACATGTGTACCCTCCTTCAATGTATTGGCCTTGATGTACGCTTTTTCAGACACTTCAAGCTCTTGTTTTAGTTTACTCTTAACCAACGAGATATATTCCCATGGCTTCTTAATCGTCAGCCATTCAAGAAACACAAAAGACACATAGAATGGGAAGATATACAACCGGAACAAAGTTTTGATGATGCTGTTCACCTTTGTCTTTGTATCATTCTTCTTGGTATGTTGACGTTTCCGCTTGTGCTTGGACCTCTCAGCAAGCACAAGTTGCCGTTGTTGGAACGCTCCCGTATTCGGCATATCAGTCACCTCTAACGTGTCTTAGCGTATGGCATTGTCATCTGTTAGTGTTAACGTTGTGTTGCTTAACTTCAACATTACTGTTGCTTCCTCCCCTTCACGACTTTTGTGGCAGAGGCATTGGACTTGTTTGTGGTGATCATGTTCCCTGAGATTAACATCTGTTTTGCAATTGCAGAAACACCAATCGATATCTGAGACGGCTTGATACCAAAGGAGCAGATCAAGACGTCTGATAAAACCTCTTGCACTCTGTCCATGTCCTCTAATGAGATGTCGCTTTTGTACTCTTCGACCCCTATCAACTGCTGATACGAGTGTGTTGTTGTGTCAATATTGGTGTTCGTTCCACGATCTGTAGCATCTATAGGCAGAATATCGAAGAGTCTTCTTGATGCTATCGGTAGTTCGTCCTCAGGAGGCAGTTGTGGCTCAACAATCGCCGTGGTAAACCAGTCCAGATAGCTGTCACACTTTGCATCATCCCAGCCAATGAGCTCGACATCCATGTCCTTTGATGTATGGAACGTCATGATCGTATTGTGGAAGTCGAGCCGTCTGCTTGGAGAGAACTTTCTGGATTGTAGTAGGCTGATCCACTTTTCCCAGTTGAAATTCGTACCTGCTTCCATGGTGTACAGGTAGAAGAGTCTTGTGACAAGGCAGATCAGAGAGATCAGCTTAACTTCGGGGAAGTTAGTACGAGCACAAACCTCCTTAGCTGCTGTAGAGAAATCAAACGTCGTATTGGTACTTTCAATGTATCTCTTTGCAGCTGTGTAGATCTGAGGAGGCAATAGTACGTCGTACACAACTCTGAACAGTAATGGCTCATAGTTGAACGGCACAGTGTCCTCCAGATTCAGAATCGAATACATCTCCATTATGGGAGGATAGAGGTTGCCGTTTATTGGAGGAGAAGGTTCAAACGCAAGTGCTTGAGGTAACACTTTCCTCATCTCCGTGGGTAATAGATGGTACGTTTTCAAGTAGGGGAAGCTGTTGGCCATGATCCACATGATAAAGTCGTTGGTATACACCGGCAGTCTGTGATATCGACATGCGAGATAGCATATTCCCACCAAATGATGAGCCATGGGCATCTTATCCAGCACTTTGTCTAGAATGCTGGATTCCGAATTAGTCTCCGCGCCGTCAGTATCGGTATCCCCATCACCATCGGCATTACGTCTTGCTTTAGATAACTTGGAGAGCCCACCAGCTTGTAAGAACAGCATCCAAAACCTCTTCACCGTTGTCTCCAAAGCCCTCGGTGCACCGTGGTGTTCGATGAGGTTCTTAGCCTGTGTCTTCAGCACAATCTGGAATGCCCTAAGCACAACCCTTTTACCACGTTTTCCAAACAGCCTGATGCTCTCAGAGCCACCCTGCACCTGTGACGATTGATACTGTGAAGACTTGGGAAGTTTGATCCTCTTCGTAACGACGTACGACCCAGCATCGTCTTCCTCGTCGTTGATCTCAATGTGGCTCTCATTCACATGACCAAACTGACATATCCTCAAACCGTCCGACGTCCGGTAGTACCTCGAGCGACAGTTATCGACGCCACAGCGGCCACCACGAACCCACTGACTCGACATCCGTTAGCTTACAAGTGAATCAGTACCAGTGTCTCTGTATAAGCAGCACTGGTGTTACCGCTTGCTTTGAGCGAAGCGGCGTAAACACACAACGGGTTCGCGGAACAAATTTTAGAGCGCCAGCGCTCGCAATTTTCCGGCGGCATCGGAATAACCCTCGTCTTTCCTTTTCGTCTCGCGCCCGTCTGATTGTCCGAAAAGGGAAGCATTACGCGCGGCACAATGGACGGTTAAACACAGTTTGTCACGGTTTGTCCGCCTTTGGCGGTGCTTCAACAGCACTGGCACTGTCCTACGAATGCCATCTGGGAGCGGAGCACATACTCTGGGAAACTACGCTTGTCCAAGCAGATGCCAAATTGATAACCGGCCATTGCTGTGGAGACGGGAAGCCTGCCAACAGCGGAGAGTTCGCTGCCCACCTGTGGTGACCTGAGATCGACGGTGGAGCATGGGACAGTGAGGAGACACATCCACAGCCAGCAACCTGCCCGTTAGCTCCTCCATATTCCGTAGTCCGGTCTTACTCATCTCCCATTCCAAAAGGGTGTGCACCCTTTGAATGACCGACCCTCGAGGCATCCAGAGACCAACCACCATACCGATACCTCGTCCCCCCACGAAATCATGGTCCAGTTAGCAGAGGGTCTGAGCTCCACACCATGGCGCGCCTGTTGCGTACAGTGCAAACTGGGTCGGAAACATCCAGACACCCTCCGCCCCCACGCACCCGGTCGCCCACAGCGACCATGCCGTGGGGGTCCGTTCTGTCTTCCCCAGATTTGGCGCTGGATTTTTCCGCGCACCGCGTTTTCTTTGCTCTCCAGCGCTTGTTTCCACGCCTTCGAGGCTAAACAGACCTGACGCTCGATACGGCTGGGGTAATTCTGTATTGCGAGCCTGTGGTTGGCCGGTAAATTCCCACTGGAGGTGGAGACATATATAAAGGACGATGGATAACCCGCGGTGATCACTGTGCTGAGTCTCGTGGTCTCTGGAGGCTAATCCACACACCAATGTTCAGATCCGCAGCGCAGAGACTCAGAAGCGTGGGCAAGAATGGCCGTCTTACGAGGCTGGTGCACACCACAAGAGCACAGGCCAAGATGAGCATTAGAAACGCTACCATCATTGGCTTTGGTGCCGGTGCGATCACGTCTGCGTACTACTTGTCCCAATTACAACAGCAGTCGCCAATTCTGCTGGAGTCGCCCTCCGTGATTGGCGAACTGACGCCAGAGGTTGTGTCCAAGCATAACAAGCGTGATGACCTATGGATCGTCTTGAACGGCAAGGTGTACGATCTGACGGACTTTCTGCCTAACCATCCGGGTGGTCAGAAGGTGCTGCTGAAGTTTGCCGGCAAAGATGCCAGTAAGATCTTCAACCCAATCCACCCGCCAGATGCTATTGAGAAGTTCCTTCCGCCAGAGAAGTACCTCGGCCCACTGGTTGGCGAGTTCCCGCAGGAGGAAGAGATCTTGACAGACGAGGAGGAGCTGAGAAGAGAGCTCATCGAGAGAAAGCCGCCACTCTCCCAGATCATCAACCTTCACGACTTCGAGACCGTTGCTCGTCAGATTCTACCTCCTGCTGCGTTGGCTTACTACTCCTCTGCTGCGGACGACGAGGTCTCTCTCAGAGAGAACCACAACGCATACCATAGAATCTTCTTTAATCCAAAGATCCTCGTTGACGTTAAGGAAGTTGACATCACAACCGAGTTCTTCGGCAACAAGACATCAGCTCCTTTCTACGCAAGTGCCACTGCCTTGGCCAAATTGGGTCACCCAGATGGTGAACTGTCAATCGCACGTGGCTGTGGTAAAGAAGACATTGTCCAGATGATCTCCACTTTGGCGTCGTGTTCATTCGATGAGATTGCCGATGCGAGGGTGAAAGATGATCAGCAGCAATGGTTCCAATTGTACGTGAACTCTGACAGAAAATTGATGGAGAAGCAGGTTAAACACGCGGAGGAGCGTGGTATGAAAGGTTTGTTCATCACTGTCGATGCCCCATCACTTGGTCGTCGTGAAAAGGATATGAAAATGAAATTCGATGACGATGCTGATGTCCTGGAGGATGCTGACGACAACATCGACAGATCACAAGGTGCCTCGCGTGCTTTGTCCTCATTTATCGACCCATCTCTTTCATGGAAGGACATTGGACACATCCGTTCACTTACAAAAATGCCAATCGTTATCAAAGGTGTCCAGCGTAAGGAGGACGTGTTGTTAGCTGTGGACCATGGGTGTCAAGGTGTGGTCTTGTCCAATCACGGTGGTAGACAATTGGACTTCTCAAGGGCTCCAGTAGAGGTCTTAGCAGAGGTTATGCCAGAGTTGAGAGCAAAGGGCCTTGACAAGAACTTTGAAGTCTACGTCGATGGTGGTATTAGAAGAGGAACTGATGTCTTGAAGGCTCTATGTCTAGGTGCCAAGGGTGTTGGTTTGGGTAGAGTGTTCTTGTATGCCAACAGTGCCTACGGTGAAAATGGTGTTCGTAAAGCTTGTCAATTGTTAAAGGATGAATTGGAGATGAATATGAGATTGCTCGGAGTGACCAAGATCGAAGATTTGAAGCCAGAGTTACTCGATTTGAGATCTCTTCCAAATAGAACCGTTGCAGTTGCTCAAGATAACTTATACTCGAACAACTACCAACCAATGACAAGCGTTGAATTCAAGCCAGAACAGGACTGATGTATGTATATGTTTATTTATAAACGAGGGAAAATGAAGAGCATGTTTTGAATCACTATGAATTCGACTTTGGCTTTCATCTAACGTAAGTAGCATCAATCTTGTTAACTTGTGGTAGGAACATGATGAGCTTTCTTCTATAACTCGTTGGGTTTTCCGTTTGGATAGGATTAGATTCCAGATACACAGTATCCAAGTTCTTCAAATCTTTGAGCTCGTCCTCAACATTGGCAAAGGAGGCAATCTTGTTATATGATGCCCATAGATCCGTAAGTTCTTTCAAATGGGACAAGTTTTCCAATTTGGACACCCTATTACCAGTGATATCCAAGGTTGTCAGCTTCAAGTTCTTATCCAAGCCTTCAATCTTCTCAATGCCGTTATGGGAGATGTAAAGCTCTTCCAAGTTCTCTAAACCTTCCAATCCTTCAATCTTGGTGATTCTGTTGGATTGTATGGAGAGGATCTTCAAGTTCTTAAGAGTCGACAGGTTCTCCAGCTTGGAGATCCTGTTCTTCGCCAGCCACAGCTCTGTCAGGTTGACAAGAGGATCGAGGTTCTTGATCTGTGTAATTCTGTTGCCTCCTAGCTCCAAGTTCTTCAAAGAGGTAAATGTTTCCAAGTTGACGATGTCTGTGATCTTATTCTGAACAAAGTACAAGTTTTCCAGCTTGGTCAGTTTCTCAATGTTCTTGATGTTCCTAATCTTATTAAAAGACAAGTCCAAGTTCCTCAACTGTACCTTATCGTTAACATGCGACGAGATGTGCTTGATTCTGTTGTCATACAGGTCCAACTCTTCAAGCTCATCGGACGCGTACTTAATGGCACCAAACGAATCCAGTAAGTTCTGTCTGAGGATTAAACCTTTCAAGTGCTTGAACCTTGCCAAGTTCAAGTCATCCATGGATCTTATTTTGAGATGAACGAGCTCAAGATATTCAGTATCATCAGGGAACTCAGCAGCAAGGTCCTCATCGGCATCGATCAAGTCAGGGTTCTCATCTGGAATCACTTGTCCTTGGACCGTTGGTGGAGGAACGGACCCAGTGAAGCCAGTTTCCTCTTCTGCTTCTGTCTCCTCGTGCTCACTGTTTGTGAAGATCTCCTCTGGTTTGGTCATTGCTGTAGTTTGGTTATGTCTGGTGTGGTTGTTGTGGTTAACGTGATGTTTTGCTTTGTAATTTTCGAGACAGAATGTCCCCCAAATGTCCCCCAATGTCCCAATGTCCCAATGTCCCAATGTCTCAAATGTCCAGGGACGCCCAACTACAAAATGGACAACGGTTGGAAACATATCATGCTCTTTATACCTGTACATTCCTCAATTAGACATTGTTGATATATTGGTGTTTTATTATATACAGACATAGAGACGTATGTGTATCTGGTTGAATCACTTGTCAGTAGTGGAGTGCAGAGCTGAAGGGAAGCACACAAGGACACACATACACAGGCAAGTCCAGACAGATGGACCGACAAGTAAGCGATACAAAACATTTATCCCAAGGAAACCAATAACACCAAGAGCTTCTGGTATTTAACTGCGCTTTACAAATAGACTCTCCCTCCCCCTCGCGGGTCAATTCCAATCTGTTTAGTTGGCGTGTGGGTTCTTTGAGATCAACTCAACAACTTCCGCAATGGTCTTGACCTTCTCAGACTCCTCATCAGTGAGTTCGATATCAAACTCGTTCTCAACGTTCACCAGGAACTCGGTGGCGTCGAGAGAGTCCAGCCCCAAATCGGCCTGGATGGTGGTCTCTGGTGTGATGTTGACCTCCTTGTTGATCAAATGAGCGTTGGACTCTGCGATTCTTCTAATGATCTCATCAGAGGACAACGCATTGGCAGAGTAGAAACGGGTCATGAAAGCAGGTCTCATAACCACTGGGGCTGAAACTCTAGAGACAAGAGAAGCACGGACAACAGAGCGAGAAGCCAATCTGAACATTGTTTAATCTATGGGGATTTGTCGATAATTCGTCGTGCTGTGTTGTTGTTTGTAAGAAGGGGCCAATCGTTTTTTCTTCCATTTTTTCCATCCTTCAGCTTCCGGCGGCGCAACTCGGAGAAAGAAAGTGGGGAATTCCGAGGACCACACCGGATTTCACGTCGTTACTCATCTACACACTATGGGGTAATATACGTTTCAATTGGCATCTATATCACTGTCTTGACTGTCTCCATTGTAAGCTGAACTTGCGACGTCCACCACTGCTGCTTGTGCTATTGGATTGTGTTGTTTGTGTTGACGTTGTGGCGTTGTCAGACGACTTGGTACTGACTCTTGATAAGCCATGGCTGATGGAACTTACCCTTGACGACGATGCCGTGTTGTTACCGTTACCGAGCATTGTGGACCGTTGTGGTAGGGAATCTGTCGAATTGGAACTGCTGATTGTGGTTTCTATCGTAGATGCCATCGAGTGGGTCTTTGTCATCTGTGGTGGAGGCAAAGCGTTCTCCAACTCGGAGATCTTCAGTCCAGTGCTTGCAATCTCTTTGGCAAAGTTCTTCTCAAACATAGAAATCAACAAGGCATGTGATTCTCTCAGTTTATCTGGAACCAAGTGGCCATGCACAATCAACGATCTGTGTATGGTTATCGTCAAATTCTCAAAGGCACTTCTCAATAGGGAGATCTCATTGATGGCATCCTCATCCTCAGGATCAACTGGTTGGTTAAAGAACTCCCTGTACTGGCCTATACCTCCATTGACAGGGGAATCGACGGTACCACTAAGATTTCTGGAGAGTTCGTTGAAGATGGATGATCTACTTTCACCAGTACTTATTGCCTTAGACGCAGCAGCTTCAGAATTGACAAGGTCTTGTGTCTTTGTCGTTAATGTTCTTAAAGCGTTCAGGATAGGAGAAAGCTTTGTAGTGTGAACTCGATAAATCTCACTTCTGTTCATCAACGTTGGGAAGACGTCATATGTTTCATATATGATCTCTTCAACCCACAGATCCAACACAGATGTTGACTTTTGTATCATTCTCGAAGTGGTGAAGAACTTCAAATCCTTGTTTTGCATGTACAGGCGAGCAGCACTGCTCAATTTGCCATGGTGGGAGTTGAAATCCAGCTGAGGTTTCACAGTAGCAATGTTCAAGAACTTGCCTGGAGGTGGGTGCTTCATAAGAGCTTCAACATCCTTATCACCAACAATTTTTGAGCCAGAATGCAGTCTCAACAAACGGTTATGAATGGAGCTGATCTGTTCAAAGGGTAAACCTTCGTATATAAAGCTTCTGGATCTCACAGTCTTTGGGAACCCTAATCCCAAGAATGACACTGCAAAATACGTAGGGGTTGCTCTGTCAAGGGCCTCAAGTCCAGTAAATAAACTTGCCAATTGAGTATGCACAAAGTTCAAACCTTTCAAATCAAAGTTCACCTTATCATACGCATCAGCAAGTTCTTTGTAAGTTAAAACAGCCTTTTCCAATTTATTGCCCTTTATCAGATTCTCAGCTATCCGCTTGTATAACAGTTCTTTTCTTTCAAATGCAGTTTGTGCTGGCAATTTTGGTTTGAATGAAGAAGGTAACATCTGATGTGGGTTCCATTCAAAAGTTGAAGCCATCAATTCAAGACATAGTGCAGCTTGTACAAAATTGTTCTTTTGAATATTGCTCTCGTACATATCATCGAGAGCTGAAATGAACTTCTTGCCATTGCTAACACGCATCAGGTGGCGTGAAATGTCAAGGTTATGGAATGTTCTTTCATCATCGTATTCTTCACCATTTGGAACAGAATTCAAATCGTTGTAAATCTCCAAGAATTCACTCAAGTTCTGGATAAAACTGTAGACATCATTAAAGGACTCGTCTTCAGGGTCGAGCTTAACAGCCATCTTCAGCCTAGCGATGAAGTTTCTCTGTTCATATAGACCAGGAACGTATTTCTCAGAATTGAAAAACTTATCAAGGCCCATTAGGCAACCTCTTTCAACATCAATCAATTTGTTAGCCGGTGGATCTTCACAACTTTCTTGCACGAGCAATTCAGAGATCATAATGCTCCATAACACTTTCACTCCCACAATTTGACAAAATGAGTTTCGTTGTAAACAGAAAACCACAAGCTCATCCAATATACCATAATCATTTTGAATGAACTCTGCCTGGTAGCCAGCTGTTCTCTTTAGTCCAAATCTCACATAGTCCCTCTGCAATGAGTCCCACCCAAGACAATCCCAACATTGGTTAAGCACGGATGCACATCGAGATCTTATATCTTGCGTGATCTTCCATGCAGCCTTTCTCGGAACTTCAGCCAAATGACAAATAGAAGCAGGAAACGAGGCCGATGTCGTAAGAAGTGATTTGATGTATTTGCTCCATAAGGATCTATCAAATTGATCCGAATCCTGTGCAGAAGGAATGTGGTCACATATCATTATGAATTTGATGAGCTCAGATGACGTCGTCGCCCCCTCGATGAAGACGGCATATAGAGATATCCATTTGTTGGATGGGAAGAAACTGGATTGGATCAGAATTCTGTTGGTTTGAACAAGAGTCAGCAGATCGTCTTTCGAGAATGACTTGACAAAATATTCAGATTCATTGAAGATGTGATCATTGAGTGCTGCAGTTAGAATCGCAGAATAGCCTTGACCACTAGTAACGTGTTTCCCAATTTTGACCATGAAAGAATATATGATTCCGAGCTCAACTAACACTTCCACAAGGACAACTTCACTGACAGTTGAGTCTGTGATAAGTTCCGGAAATGGAAATGCATTTGGGAATATATTCGTGTATGTTCTCTTAGGCTCAAACAACCCATTGGTTCTGCAGTAATTGTGAGCCTTGACAAACTGTTGAGCAATGACCAAAGATAATCTTGCCATGGATCTAGGCAGTGAGTAGCTTTGCTTCTCTTCTTTCAAGATGATTCTCCACGAGATAGAGCAAAGACTTATCAAACAGGAATTTGCCAATCTGTAGATCTCAACGTCAACATTAGGACTTGCGTAACTTTCAATCGACCATAGTGCAGCATGATAAAAGAACCTTTCCGTCCACTCATTAGATGTGATATCAGAAAACACACCAGCATCCAGAAAACGGCGAATCAAAAACAATTTGCTGATGTAGATCTGCTTCTCTTTGGAAATCAGTGAGTTCGAATCTTCATTCACCAGTCCTCTCGTTCCAACAGAACCTATCAGTGCAATTGCATACTCCAACACTTCATCATCCGTGAGAAGACCCTTCAAGTGGTTCAGAGTTATGTCGAGGTAATCCAGAACATTTAGTTGGTCAGGAATCATGGATTCCTTCGTTATTTGTAGGAAAGGAATAATGCTTTGAGATAAACCTTTCCAAGCCAAAGCTGTGCCATCACAAGACGTATCATTGTCTGTAGACGATAGTAATGATATCTTGACCAATAAAGGAAGAACACGGCATAGCGTTCTACTAACATAGTTCCATTCTGTACCAGCTTTTCCAAAGTATCTAGCAGAAATCGATAACAGAGCTATACCACACCGTGGAAGAACCTTTTTCTCAGTCACAAGATCAACCAATTGATGATACATGTAGGTGTATTGCTCTTGTCTTACCACCACTAAATCCAACAAATGAATAAATGAGTAAAAAGATGACAATTTTAGGTTATCCAGATTATTCACAGTTGCAGCGTGGAAAATCCTCAACACTTCAACACAGAGTTCCTTGAAATACTTTATTGCTTGTTGCACAGGGGTTTGATTCAGCATTTTCAAGGTTTCAATGAGCTTATCTTCCTGATCAGGTAGAGTGTATATTCTGGACCATCCAAGTATACGTTGGAAAGCTGGTTCAATGTTGTACGTTTTACCAACGTAGTGGGAAGTAACTTCAATCGAGCCAACCAGATTCTGACCGTTCATAATGTTAACTATTTGGTTCTTGTTGTACTCAAAGATCTTACCGTTTTGAGCAATTTGAATATCAGCAGTACCTCTCAGTTCAAAATTGGCGTATAGTTTCAGCTTCAAAGTCTGGTTTTGACCAATACGTTCGATATTGCTGATCTTGATGGTCTCACCGATAACTTCGTTGGAATGGACCGACGGAAAGTCCCATGCGTGCACTGGAAGTTGATCCGTAGCCTTGGAAAGTGCCAATCTCGATTCTGGATCATTGTTAATCATGGTGAGAGAAAGAAGATCACCAGGGAACTCAGAGTTCTTTAAGAGGTTCACCTTTCCCAATGTCAGATATATTCTATCATACGCTTTCACCAGTGGATCGAAGAAACAAGTTCGTATCTGATATATCGGGGTTTTAATGTTGGCATCAAAGTCATGTGCCACGTTTGACAGGTCGTCCCGATATTCTTTAATGGAAACCACCACTTTCTCAGCTCTCGGATTAACAGCAACACCTTTATTGGAGCCCGCAATGATTCTGTCAACCAAATCACCCCAACCAAAGTTCATATTTGTTGGGTCCAACGTCGTGTTGTCATTCTTATTAACGTACGAACCAAACAATTTGATGGTAAACTGGTGGGCTTGTCCTGATTCCAATGCACCTTTATGTCTTGAGAATATTCTTGAGATATCAGCAGCACCAGCAGCAATGGGATTCTTTATTTTCACAGGCTGTTCACCATTCCCTTTAGTTGGAACTTCTAATTCCTCAGTTATAGTTGCCACGAGATAGATTCTTCCATGGTCAATCTCGGTTCCAGGAATGTTTCTGAACAGAGCTGCTGAGATCTTATCAAGAGAGAAGTCTGCTGCGTTCTTGATATGTATAGAAAATGCCTCTGTAAGCCTCTTTTTGGCACTTCTAAGGTATAGATAGGCCGTCATTCCCATAAACCCCTGTGGGTTCAACACTGATGTGCCACTAACATCTTTGAAATCAACCAAGATCTGCGATGGAGTCACTTTATCGAACTTCGTCACCTTTTTCGACACCAGTGCACCTTCCAAGTTGTTCTTTATCGGGAAGTTTGGTTGCAGTGCAGATGATATCTGATTCAGTGCAATGACATTTGGTTCAGATTGCTTCTTCAAATCTTTATTCGAATAGTCAAACAATTCACCAGTTTCTATGTCTCTTGCGGTAATAGATTCGAATCCGGACGTATCACTCTTCAACTGTCTTGAGTATGTACTCTTGTCAAATCTATTGACACCCTTTGATGACAGCAACTTGGAGACGTTTGTCAAGAGCAGAGAGACCCTTTTCTGCGTACGTAGTTTCTCGTTCTTCGTCAACAGGTTGTTACGCATTTGAATCGTGATGTCGTTCAGTTGAATAAACAGGTCGTATAGATTTTCAAAGAGCGGGTACTCAGCAACAGAGTACAGCGAGTAGATATGCGATGCCAACTGTGATAGAGAAGGAATGACTTCCTCCATGAGATGGCCATTGTCCAGTCTCATCAGAGGGAGTGGCGGCTTCAACCGTTCATTCGGGGTCTCATCAGCCAAGTCTGCGTTTCTCGCCGTTGTATGGGCCTGCTGGATGTCATAGACAGAGGGAATGGCCGACGAGCCGTTGTCAAAGTCTGAGCGTGAAGGTGGTGAGAATATGGACGTTGCCGGGAGCCTGTCGATGATTTCAACATGGCTCAGGGGAACAATCACCACGCTCACCTGTCTTTCAGGCAGTTTCTCCAGATCGCTAGACTTTGCAATGAAGTCAGAAGGCAAAGGGTGTACGATCTGGTAACCTCTGGCCCAGTTCTCCGAGTTCGACTCAAACAGAAACACTTCATCACCAAAGTACAGATTCTTGTAGAAGGCCGATAGTTTGAGAGAAGGGTATCGATCTAAGGGCAAGAACGATCTAGTGACCTTGCCGTGTGCCATCATGGGCAACGGTGACCATTGCATCGAGCTATGTTCCATTTCTATGTAGCGCTTACGACTGTAGCGGAGGCTCGGTTGTTGTTGCTGAAGATCAAAGGAATGTTGTGCTTGAAATAATCCCCGGCAATAGTGTCCGCTAGACGAAAAACACGAAACAGGCAAATAATACACGCAAGAGCTTCTAGAAACGTCCTACACTGAGCGCAGATCCTCTAGCTGGGCCACTGTTCCTGCTGGTGCGCTTTCACGCCGAAGTGATTGGGCGCTTCAGGCTGTGGAATGTTGTTCCTTCAGCACCATCGCCGTGTTTACATTCCGACAGCGCGAGGGCCTTAAGTACAGCGCGAATGAGGATTAAATGTTATACACTACATGGACTTCACATCACCAACCATAGCATCTCAACAGTTCAGGTGCGTCAAGGCTAGGCCTTATGCTTCTTCGTACTTGACTCTTCACAGGAAGCTGCTCCATTCTCCTTGTTGTCAATCTTCTCCAGCTCTTCCAGGAAGAACTCCAGCCCTCGCTGGGCAAACTCCTGCATGTTTGCCGACCTATCAACTGACCCGGTCTTGAAGGTCTTTGACTTCTCACCCTCCGGCGTCGAGATACCAAGGTACACCTTGCCGACGTCTTCATTGGCAAACACTGTCTTGTCCGCGCCTTCTTCTACTGGGCCAGCGACCCCGGTCTCACTAATCACGTAGGTACTGCCGAGCTCAATCCTCAATGTTCTGGCGAGTCTTAGGGCAACCTTCTCTGAGGGCCCGGTATAACTGATGATGTCTGCCTCGGACCATCCTGACAGCTTCAGCTTCGACTTGAGACTATACACAAGTGTCCCACCGTGGAACCATTGCGATGCACCGGGAACACTCACAAGGTAGGCGGACAGTAGCCCGCCACATGCTGCTTCTGAGACAGAGATGGTTTCATTACGTCTCCGTAGAATCTGTGCGATCTTTGCTACCGTACTGGCGGTCTCTTCGGACGGGAACGTGGACATGGTGATGTAGATAATCAGAAGTGAAGGAGATAGCACACAGAGATTGGAACTGTTAAGTACAGAAGTCACTTACGCACATCCAGTGGTTGTTGTCTTTCCACTAAATGTCGAACTACATCGCAAGAGTGGCTCTCGCTTGGCCTCATCGCTTAGAAAGCACACAGTGGGGGGGGGCTTCGCCGTTATACGCCCTAGAGTTCCGACCCATAGGACCACACCTTGCCCCCGGAATTATGAAAAATGAACGAAAAATGAGAGGGGAAACACAACCACCCGGACACCATAATAAGTTCCCGATTGGGGAAAAGGTAAACAAAGCCAACTCGACCGTCCCAGTTTTTTGTTTTTGTTTTTGTTTACAAAACAAGCATCGCAGGAGAAGGCACAAGATCCCGAAAGCATTTGCTGTTTCTTCTCCTGTTTCTCTGTTTATCTCGCAGGCGATAAGTGAGCGAAGAAGAAGAACTTGCTGTTTGATCGCTGACGATGTCGAGAAAGTTGAAGATCGATGCCATCGAGTTCCTTAGAGGTTAGTACCGGTATCTCGCCGCAGCCTCCATTGGCTGCTTTGTTGTTTGATACTAACAGGCATCCGCTATCCAGGCCGTGTCTACCTTGGTGTGTACGACTATACCCCAGAGGACACCGAGAAGATTGTCTACTTCACAGTAGAGCAGTCGTTGCCGTACAATGCCTTCCATTTGGATTTTGGTCCCATTCACATTGGTTACTTGTACAGATTTGCAGTTGTGTTGCACAACATCTTGAACGAGGAGGACAACCAAGGCAAGGCTATCGTGTTCTATTCGTCTAAGGACAGCAGGGCAAGAACCAATGCTGCGTGTCTTCTAGCGTCGTATATGATTTTGGTTCAGTCTTGGTCTCCACATCAAGTGCTCCAGCCTCTATGTCAAGTTGACCCGCCGTTTATGGGTTTCAGAGATGCCGGCTATTCGCATGCCGACTTTGAAATCACCATTCAGGATATTGTTTATGGGTTGTGGAGAGCACGAGAAAGAAAGATGATAGATTTGACCGACTTCAACTTGGAAGAATATGAAAGGTACGAAAGAGTCGACCAGGGTGATTTCAACGTCATATCAAAGGACTTCATTGCCTTTGCATCTCCTCAGCAGCCAAAGAGTGGCTCCATCAGCACCCCTTTTAGAAATGTCTTGGAGTACTTCCAAAAAAATGATGTTCAAATGGTTGTTCGTCTGAACTCGCACCTCTACAACAAGAATGAATTTGAGAAAAGAGGCATTCAACATTTAGACATGATCTTTGATGATGGAACTTGTCCAACAATGGACATCGTTAGAGATTTCATAGGTGTTTCAGAAGGTGTTATCAAAAACGGTGGTAAGATTGCAGTTCACTGTAAAGCCGGTTTGGGCCGTACTGGTTGCCTAATCGGTGCTCATTTGATCTATACCCATGGGTTTACTGCGAACGAGTGTATCGCATATATGAGAATGATTAGACCAGGTATGGTTGTTGGTCCCCAACAGCACTGGCTCTACTTGCACCAGAATCAGTTTAGAGAATGGAAATATACCATGGTGTTGGACAACATTCCATCGGAAAGATTAAACGGTTTCTCCAGCTTGGTGAGTTACGAGGACTTTAAAAAGAGAAGATCAGTGGAAAAGAAAACCATGGACTCACCAGCGACACCGGTTAGAAGGAAAATCAGCATTGGAACAAGCAATCTACACAAGAGCGTACACAAGGCTGTCCCGATAAAATCACCTGGTCAGCCTAGAAAATCACCAGAGACTATTCACATCAACAATAACTCTGACTTAGATGATGATGACGACGACGACAATACCTCTTTCCATTCAACAAAGGAAAACATTCCAGATCATGAGTTTACAGACAAGCCGAAAGTCTCATATACAAAGACTGTCACAACGACAAAGACCACCACGATTTCCTCACCACCGGGCACAAAGGACCTTGCGATCGGCAGTACACTTCCAAAGACGAGAAGAGTGGCCAGTGGCTCTCGTGTGAGATCCAGGTTGTCCAGTGCCAACGGCAACGGTGTGATTGGTAACGCTGGTATCAGAAAGACCTCCAATACCGTAAGACCAGGAAACTCCTACTTGAAGTGATTTGGCTCTACTCTGTTTTACCATAACATTTATTCTGATCTGATTAATACCAGGAAGTTAGAAAACATTGATAAAGCTCCAATTGTAGCCATTAGAGAGGAAATGTATAATTAGCTAGAGGCCTTAGAATGCACTCTCCCCCCAGCTTAAGCATCTGTGTGAAAAATTCCCGGGGGTATTAACATCAACACATTTTGCTTTTTGCCCCGGTGCGTTCAAAGGAATATCAGCTTTGATATTGCAGTGCCTGAGCTTTGGGAACTTTGTGCTTTTGGTGATCTGTCGAGTACATTCTGGTCTCCATAGGTTGCTTGCTGTGGTGTGAATTAGAGGAACAGAGAGAGAACAAAGCGTGCTGGAATGAACAACAATACTTCCACTGTGCGGTTAGGAGGATTATCAGCGGAGCATACAATGGATGGCAAGACGTCTACCACTGGCGAAGCCACTGATTCGATGGAGCCCTTGGACCCAGAAACATGTCCATATGGGTGCTGTGAGGTCCAGGGTCTTCCAGAGTTCATCTTGAACGAAGGGTTGTTTAAGGGAGCGTGCTCTGATATCACGCTGCGGGCGTTTGATAGTGAATACAAACTGCACAAGTTGATCCTCAGTCAGAGCGGATACTTCCATTCCTTGTTCACAGGTCCATGGAGCGATACTGACGAGAGCGTGCACGAGCTTGTGTTTGACCACGATTCGTTCATCACTAAGGAGGCCTTCGACCTTGCTATCGGCTCGCTATACGGCGCCACCAGGGTGAAGGCGAACACCAGCACAACTCCCTTGAACGTCATCGCTATTGCCCAGTACCTGGACATTCCCCACCTGGTGTGCAGTGCTACCGATATGGTGGTCAATGCGATGGATTTCAAGACAGTGGCACAGTTCACCTCCTTTGCATTACATAACAACTATGGTAAAGCCAGTGAACGCATAGTGGACTGCGCAAAGGGGTTCTTATGCTCCAACGGTTGGCAAAGCGGTGTAAAGAGCTGGGATGGGATCCCAGTCAAGGTGATTGCATCAGTGCTAGGTGCCGACTGCTTCTTTGTTCCCTCTGAATGGGATAGGGCCATCTTCATAATCAGGCTGATCCAGAGAAGGAAAATGGTATCTAAGTCAGAAGAGGACGAAGAGGATGATGATTTGGAGGCTTTGTTCCAGACTTTGAACAACAAGGTGTACTACTGTCACCTGACAGCAGAACAGCTACATAAACTTGAGGGAATGGTGGATGGTGAAGGTGAACCTTTTATATATCCAGAAGTGCTGAGAAATGCATTATGGCAAAAAGTGCACCTCCAAGGCAAAGTGGCCAGCGCAGACAATAAGTCTCAAGAGCTAGGATTGTCTGTTACGTCCGATATAGCTCCAGATGGGGTGACGAGCTGGTTTATTCCGTCAAAGAATGAAACTCTGTACGGTACGCCAGCTGTATTGGAATCAACAATCAAGGAAACACACCAAATAATTAAAAACTTACCCTCCGGGAAGACCACTGAGAAACATACAAACGATGGGGTCTCTTCGAGTGCAGAGTCTACAGCTGCATCGGTCTCTGAAGTTCAATATCAAGTGACGAAAATACCACCATTCAGATTCTCCATTGCCTTCTCCGGAGTGTCAGAATTAGAAGCAGATAAGAGGGTATATGCTAAGACTCTGTGGTATGCTGGTTCGTATTGGAACCTCTACATTCAAAAGATTCGCCATAGAAAGGGCTATCAAATGGGTGTCTATATCCACAGAGCCTCAAGCTGTGCACCATCGCGTTCAGGACTGTTGAACAAAGACGTTCTGGACCCGTCGATGCTGGTTAACATTGATGACCTAAACGAGTATGACGGGGACTACCATGAGAAAATTGACAACATTCTTGTTGATCTGGCCAACGTTGGCATCTCAAGAAATGGTGCAGAGTCTTCATCTTCGTTGACATCGACAGTGATCTCTGGCAGGTTAAGCACGGATGGAGTTGAAACTGAAGAAGACAATATCAGAGAACGTGACACTGACTCGTCGTTTTTAAGCTACGAGGATGATCGTGTGAAGACCTCTGTTTACTACATCATCTATACGCCATCTCGCAAAGTGACAAGCTCTTTGACGTGTTTCATATCAACCCCAGACTTGTTCAACAAATCCCAGAGTTGGGGCTGGAAGAGTAGCAGTATGTGTGCGTTCAACGAAGATGGGACCTTGGCGGAGGGTCAGGACAAACTATTGAAATTCATGGTTGTTTTAGGTAACACTTGAGTTGATTTACGTGATATTTGGTTTCTTTCAATAAATATATGTGATGTCTTAAACCTTTCTCCATTCAATAGACCATTCCAGCTTCTCACCAGCTTTGAAAGGTGCAACCTTCAAGCCGTCCAATGAGATGACGTCTGGAACGGTTTGTTCCCTCTTTACAAGGATACAGTGGTCTTTGTTTACCAACTGGGATTCGTCAATCTTGTAGAAATCCTTACCAAAGTCAGTGACAAAGCCCTTGAGCTTGTCCAATGCATTTGCCTTGTCAAATACCTCAGCCAAATATGGTACAGCCAAAGACTGGGAAAACACACCAGCACAGACTCCAATGTGTTTCGACTTTGCATGAAGAGGATGTGGAGCAGAATCAGAGCCGAAGAAGAAGTATGGCTTACCAGACGTGGCTGCTGCGACAAGGGCCTTCTTATCTGATGGTAGTTTGGCAACTGGTTTGCAAAAGTTGATTGGGTTTCCAGCCCACGAATCCACCGTCAGCGACAAGTGATGAGCTGTGATAGAGGCTGCGACCTTGATTTCACCCTTGTTCTCATTGTTGATCTTATCTATCGCTTCAATGGCAGCCTTGGTGGTACAGTGCTCAAGCACAATACGCAAGTTTGGGAAATCTGCGTGTAACTTGGCCAATGCTGGGAGGAACGACTCCTCGGCATTGAGCACATGGATCTCCTCGCCGTCCTTATCGGTGGATGGCTTCTCACCGTGCAAGTTCAGAACGAGGTCCTCCTCCTCCATGGCCTTGAAGATTGGATAGAACAGCGAGAAGTCATTTGGATCAACTCCGGCTGCAGAGTTCGTCGTGACACCTGCTGGGTAGCATTTGACACCTTGGATGGCTCTCTTTTGAGCAGCCTCGTGGATCAGCTCCGGCGTCAGTGCTGTGGAGAGGTAGAAAGTCATCAGAAACGTGGTCTCCGGAGCCAAAGCCTGTAATTGCTGCTTATAGCTCACCACTCTATCAATGGTTGTGATTGGAGGAACCAAGTTTGGCATCACATATGCAATGGAGATACCTCCTTCACGGACAGTTGGAGTTATAAGCTCCATCATTTGGCCCTCACGTAAATGAACGTGGAGGTCCGCAGTAACACCCAAATCAATTGAAGTGGTCATTATATTTCTCTTTAGCGCTTGTCCTATTGTACGTGATGGAAGAACTCTAAGCATCGATGGGCTCCCTTTAAGTACAGCGCTGTGTCCGAAAAGTTTTTTTGTCCCGTTTCTGCTTTGTCTTCACGTTGGCCGGGATTTATCTTCCAGGAAGAAGCCCGGTCGGAGATTTAGGCTGTCCTTTCCCGGCCGGGCTAAGGATTCGCCGGATCATTAGCGATAGCCTCTGGATTGCTGTACGCCAGCTTCATCACTGCTTGCTTTTTTCGGGCAAGTAGTTACCAGCCATAGGTGGGAAGACCTCGCTCAGCAATTGGAAGCTATCTGTTGCTCTTCAGCCCGTGCACTTGCCTGAGTGGACGCCTAATTGACTCACAGGGGCTGGTCACTCACAGTTCGAGCCATCGCAGACAGTACAGCGTAAACGTAAACTCTTCAAATTATTGTAATATAGTGGCATGAGTGCATGCCGAGTATATGTGAAAATGCTAAAACTCATGAGATTATTATAAAAGATCAACCCCTCCCTATGCGAGGATTTTTCTATACGTCATTTCTCGTTACAATGGAGGTCGGTTCCTCTCTTGTGATTTTGTCCTGTGTTCAAGCGTCAAGACGACCGTGGCTAGCCTCCGGGTTGAAGTCAAGCTTGTAGTTCTCCAATTTGAATTCAAACTCCTGGATCTTCTTCTTTCTGATGTCGTAGCCGAACTTTGGCTGGTTCAATGGCGAGTCCAAGCCTTGGTAGATGAAGAAATCATAGATGAAAGCACCGAGCAATGCACCAATGAATGGGATGATCATTGGCACCCAGAAGTAGTGGTAGTAGGCGGTGAACATCTCGGTACCATAGCCGACAGTCAAAGCAGCCAATCTTGGGGTGAAATCTCTTGCAAAGTTGATGGCATAACCGGTCTGGTAACCAAAAGAGGTACCCAATCCATAAATCAAGATCCATAATCCGAATGGGAAGAAGTTACCCAATGGTGCATTGTGAGGATCAGTCATGGAGAAAATACCAAACTGCAAAAGGGCAGTGGTGACAAGCTCGGATGTAACCTGACCCTTGGTGTTCAAGTAAGGTTGTGGGAAAGTACAGAAGATTCCACCTGTGGATTTGTCACCGACGGCGATTCTCTGGCCTTCACCAGAGTAGTTGTTGATGGATTGGATATAGGTACCGTAAACGATAAGGGCGCCGATGTAACCACCAAGACCTTGGGCAAACATGTAACCCAATACCTTTCTCCATGGGAACTGTCTGAAAGTAGCAGCTGAAAGAGTAACAGCAGGGTTCAAATGAGCACCAGAGATACCCGCAGAACAGCAGTAACCAAGGAAAACGGCAGTGGCCCACGAAAAGGCAATGGTTGTATAGTTACCAGCAGATCCCTTGGACAGAGTGTACTGGGCAACAACACCGTCACCAAACATCACAAGGATCATGGTACCGATAAATTCAGCAAAGTACTCTCTGAATCCATATCTGAATCTTTGCAGAGCAGTGAAATGTTCACAAGAGATGTGGTCAGTAATGTTTGCTCTTCTCTCAAGACCAGAGGAAGGCGCTGCTGTAGAGTTAGTTAATACTATATCAGAACTACAGCCTTCACCACTAGCAAGTAATTCTCCTGTCATCTTTGTCCAGCCATGCGTTAAGTGATCTGAAGCTTTGTAAGGAAATCAGCCATCACCAGTGAGACGAGGGAAATATGAACCGTTCCACGAGTACTTATATCAAGAATAACTTGCATTTCTGCAGAAAACCCGTAGCACGCAGAAGATCGGTAAACTAATAAAAGTACATCAGCTGTGGTTGCTGGAAAAAAAAAAGAAAAAAAAGCCCTGTAGTCTGCTCGGAACAATTTCCTCGTCCTGGACAAAATGGTGTAGACAAGAGTTTACGCGGGAATAACCCGTGGGTGTGAATTGAAGAGAAAAAAAGACAAGCCGTTGTACTCACCTACCGGTTGGCCCGGTGCCTCAAGGTATTCTGAGTGAATATCATCAGAGTGGAAAACTTCAGGTTTGCTTCCTTCAGCCATGTTTAATGTTTGTAGTCAAAGAATTATGAAGTGTGAGTGCTTCTTGAAGAAACAAAAGCTCTCTTGAGGAATTGAAAGAGAACAACCTGGGTTTTTATACTTTGAGCGCTTCTTCCATTTGAGTTTGCGTGGAGCATGTTATGTATGTCCCAACTTTATGTTTGGTGCCCTTTTCTTTTTCTGTGTGGGTTTTTTTTCCATACGTAATTTTGCTAATTTGCGGGGCAATTTCTCAACTGAGCCCCCGAAAAAAAAAAGACGTTTGGACATTTTGCCGTTCGAAGATTCTGGGACAAATCTTTTGCCGGGGGATGTACGTGCACATGTCCCAGGTGCATGAACACCGGATGATAAATTCAAGTGTTGAACGATGATGTTTAGTCATTGGTCAATTCAGCACAGAGCACATATCATCAACATGACGCGGCCCCACGGGGTTGTACTTCGTGCTTCCCTGATGATCGACTGGTTTAATTGACCCTAAGTGTTCAGCCACCCTCATGTCCCCAGTTGCTTCTTTGTAGCCAGTAATAGTTGGGTCTCAGAAACCCGATTTGCAAGGCGACAAATGACAAAAGTTGTCGGAATCCTACAAACCCATAGACACTCTGAGCTTTTAAACCATGACCAAGTGTGCTAAATCTAAGGACAATATCCGTTGTTCGGTAATCGCAAAATTTGGCATGTGTAGTTGAACAGAAGAGGTGTAGGTACACGATCCAAGACATGTCTTGACCATCTGAATCTCCGGAAAAGGAACTGTTCCTGATGTACATAATCAACATGGTTTATCTACAAATTCTGGGAACGTTTGAATCAATCTGTTTTTAGCCCACATTTGAGGAGCACATACAACTGGGAATTTGGAATATTCCAACAACAGTGGTTGTATGAGTTGTCAGTACTGGGCCGTTGACTCTACCCTGGAATTAGCACGGACTCTAACGTTGGACAATTCTGTAAAGCACCGTCTGAAAAAAGGACACCCATTTCCCACATGTTATGAGCAAGAAGCTATAGACAGATATTATGTAGAACAAGCATTCAACAGTGGTACTGAAGGGGTTGTAGACTAAAAAACATGACTTCGGCTGCCACCCGATTTTCACAGTTGAGCCCTGTCTTACCTAGCCTGGCATGGAACAATCGACTTGAGAATTTTATCATTCGGCAGCTTACACAATCATGTGTGATACACATCTTGCATTCCATCAATACCGATCTGCTGATCGGTTAACAACTTACACAGTACAAGGGATTCGGAATAATCATCACACCACCTTATTATTTCGCTTAATGTTTAAGCAATAGGGTATGTTGGTATATAATTGGTGCACAACACCTACAAAGCGGTGGTAGTTAGCTTAATGAATTGACATTTGCCGTGGCTCAAAAAGCCTTCATGTTATCCCGAACATGATGATGAAAATGCCAGACGTCGTAAAAAAAGCACATCTTCATTTGTCTCGTCTCGCCATCCTAAAGCGATTTTGTCCCGCAACCCTGGAAGTTGACAAATTCTGCATCCCTTCCCCCCCCCCGGGGAAACTTCCAAATAGGCGCAAGTTCCTCGCCTTCCCGCATTTTTGTATTGTAGACATAAGCGCGGGCCTTCACCTTGTTACAACTTTTACCTAAGGTATGTACAAATTTTATGAACAGCGAGTTGCGGGTACATCTAAGGTAATGCATTTAAGAATTAAGGAAAGTGTTCTTGTGTGTTGGTAGTCTGAAAAGCCACATCATTCTTCATTGGGGTCATTCTGAGAACTTTTTTGTTTGGTCACCCCGGCTAAAAAAATAGCCTAAAAGAGGAGGCATTCTCTGTAGATGATACCAGCGATAAAACTGTAGTGATATAATAAATCTTGCAATTCTACAGTTCGGATTGTATAATAAGTATTCCTTAATTCCTTATTCCAGCAAGTGTATCGTAGTTCCATGAATGGCTATTAACCATCAGCTAGACAATCACAGAGGAGTAACCATTGAACTTCTTAAAAAATGACTGTATTATGTCTATGAATACTATCCAAGACACACTTGAACGGTTTATAATCACTCCATATGGGTGTGGAATGAAAACGTAAATCTTTCTTGTTACAGGGCCCAACATTCATTGTCAATTCATCAATTAAGCTTTACTCTAAAGTAAGTTGAAACACTAAATACTACTCGTATGTGAGAGAAAACACTTGCTATATTGGAGAAATACTTCCTATTAGATGTTCATCACTATTTGGTCAAGCGATTAGACATCTAGTTTCATGTGCGTTTACAATTTGTAAAACCTACAATGAACATCGGAAGAGTAGTCATCGACTGTCTATTGTCAATGGGTTTGCTCATAAGGCAGTGCTCAATTCTAAAGATTGCTCATACGCTTTCATGCAAAAGAGGAGAATTGTAAACACTACTCCAATCAAATAAAAGTCAGACCTAAGACCACATTTTGAGGGGTAAATGTTGAGAATATCTGATACTTTTTCAGCACACCGTCTATGTAGCTGAGTAATTCGTGCACAGACCCACTGGCCTCTGAATCTCGGACCTAGCTCGCTTAACGAATAATACTAATACATCACCATTGAGCTAGTACTAAAATCAATCTCTACAGGTTATCATGACTGCTAAATTCGTCACTTTGTATTGAATGTCCTGTTCCGTTGCGAGACTAATTATAGAAAGCTTTAGCATAGAACAAGAACGGAACGGTAATGAATTAGCACACTTGACGCTTCACCAGCGCGTTTGTCTGAACTGTGAAGTCGTCTGCAGCGTTAAGCACCTTGCTCTGTGCATCTTTTTGTCCTTCATTGCATGTCTCGAAAATTTTCATGTTCTCCGGAGAATTGCTTTTAAGTTGTAGAGGGCTGATGTCCCGGGGACATCAGCCCTAGAAGTGCTCGATCTCCAATGTTCGGCAGTTGTGTCCACTTTGTCTTGTACTCACAGACTACAGTTTAGCGGGGAAACCCAAAGACCTTTTGGCTCCGCTATTTGCCTCTTCTTAGGTTTTTCTTCTCAGCTGGTCATGTTCAACGGAAAAACCGTTTGGACAGAGAGGATTAACTGTTGCAGTTATTTCAATATATTACGTAATAACACGAAACTCAGAAGTTGGGACGGTACTGTACACCATTGTTGATTTCCAATGCGATAGTCAGCATGAAATTCATCAAATCTAGTCAATCATCTTTGATATTTCCAGCACATGACTAAAGTGTAGTGGAGATGGGCTTAACCCACCTGTGTAGATCGTTGGAGAATCAAACCGCATGATGCTCAACCTCTGGTCTCCAGGTCGCCCAGCGGTAAAATTAAAGGCGGCGGCAATTAGACGGGGCGGCAATCAGTGCGGCTGCGTATTACGCGTCCCGGTAGACCGTATGGGGCTAGAGTACCAAACCCGGAGCCTAACGGCGGGGTAGAGGCTTTACAGTTAGCCTATCGTTTGTAGTGTATAACCGCCGGTTAGTCCGAGATACAACTGGCGTGTCTCTCTGTCTTCTCTTTTCGTATGGTTCATCATTGGAAATCACACCCTACACCTTCAACAGAGCTGTTTCAATGGTTTATTGGTTGTCGCCTTAGCCAGTTTGAATCCAAATATTGACAACATTGGTGCAATCATCGGCTGTTCCAAAAGCTTCTAGCTTGTCGCTCTAGCAAACCGGAAAAACAGTACTGGAAGTTTATTATAAGTTAGCCCACAATCAACAAGCTGGACTCCAGCAGAGTCAACAGTGAGACGTATTTGGCTTTCATTAATTCATAGCTCCAAAATGTCCTCTCTTTCCCGCATGTCTACAAGTTGGAATCACAATAAGTACAGACATCGTTTCGCAAGTCGCCCATTGAGACATGTCTTGACTTAATGGGAACTCTGCATGGCAATGTAAATTCACAACTTTACCATCACACACATCGGCTAAAAAAAGGTTTCAACCCAAATTAAGCAGAATGTATTAGCGTCTCGGTCGAAACGCTACTCCGACATCTGAAACGGGGTAGCTAATTACCAACAATTACAGGTTATGTATTTGGAGTGTATTGTTCTTATAGATCTTCAGCCCTGGAATCAGTCCATATCAGGGAGATAAAAGAACGCCAAAGCGATTATTGTATAGGTACCGATAAGCATGGCACCTTCCAACCAGTTACTTTCACCATCTAAAATCAGGTAATTTGTGATGAGCATTGAGATGAACAAAACAGCTGTTTCGAACGTGGAGAAGTGCAAGCTCATTGGCACACCAATTGCCCACCCGACCAAGACCATGAAAGGCGTAACGAATAGCGCAATTTGTAAAGATGATCCAACCGCAACCCCGATTGCCAAGTCCATCTTGTTCTTCATCGCAACAACGATTGCGGTAACATGCTCTGCTGCATTACCAACAATTGGCAGAACAATAAGACCAATAAATGTCTTGGACAATCCGGATGTAGCAACAATATCATCGATGGAGCCGACCAAGTAGTCAGCACATACGGCAACGATGATGGTGACACCTAAAAGCATCAACAGAGCAGCCAGCGGAGACAGTTCTGGATCCCCTTCCTTTGGAGCATTCCCATCGCACTCTTCGTTAATGCCTTCAAACAGTCTCTTGTGGGTTCCCAATTGGAAGTATAGGTACAAGATGTAGATGAACAATAGCACGACAGATGCACCTCTGGAAAAGGAGAGGATTTCTCTATCCAAAGAACTAGGATCGTTAGATTTTGGAATTGAGGCGTGGAAAGCCGCTGGTATAACCAAACCCGCAGTGGCGAGACACATCAAAGAGCTCATAGTCTGTGCAACCGTTTGGTTAAACTGTTGCTGAAGACGGTTGTACCCGCCAGCAATGAAGCAACAACCCAACACAAGCAACAGATTGGACAAGATGGAGCCGAGCATCGAGGCTTGAACGATACGTATCTGGTTTTCCTTCAAGGCGACAATGGAGACGATAACTTCAACGGCGTTACCAAAGGTCACGTTGAGCAACCCACCAAGGGTTTCACCAACGTGGGCACTGAGTTCCTCAGTCGCAAAGGCAAGCAGTGCAGCCAACGGGATGATTGCAAGGAAGTTGAGCCAGAATATCAACCCAGAAGACCATTCTAAAACTCCAGCGGCAAGACCAAAGGGTAAAAACACCAGCAGGTAGTTAGCAGGAGAAGAGTAAAACGCCAACTTTGCAATATCGACGAAATGCGCCAGAGGCGAAGGACGTGATGTACGTCCATCGCCAGTCAGTGGTGTACGGGAATCTGGGAACGATGACATAGTTGTGTTGGAGCGCAGAGAATAGAGCCGCCTTTCTTATACCAAGACAATAACTATTTGGCCGTGGGATTGATAATTGATTAATGTTTACAGTAACGAACACTATCCTGTTCACCTCCTTCAATTGTGGATAACAAACCGCTTTTACACAGACCGAAACGTGTGAATTATTAAGGGTTCAAAGTTTACCAAACACGGAAGTTCAACTCCTGCGGGATGCGTTCTTTTAGGCTCGAGTAATAATCCCCTGAATTGCTTTAACTGTTGCACTGGGAGGGTTTGGCCATGGGAAGCTGGCAAAAAAAGTGGGCGAAGCCGGCTGCCAAAAAGCAAACCTGTCCCTGCCTGCATTTGGAATTCCACCAGCTGAGACCCAATTAGGGTGGTTGTTGTTGATTGTGAAGATGTTTGCTTTTTCCGCCTGAATACCGTTGGTTTGTGAAACAGGCATTGATTGTTTGTTGATGTTTAGGGCAAAGAATGAAAGCCCCCGCTTCCAAGCCTGCCTGTGTAGTTTTTACGTTCTTGTGGATGCTCAAAATGTGCCACGCAAGGTTATTGCGTTCGGGACCGGGAGTTCAGGCACTGGGGGTTCAGGCGCTTGGGGTTCAGGCGCTTGGGGTTGAGACACGCACAGCTTACACGGTGTTCTACTACGAAATCAATTGACGGTATACGTAGAACGCTGCTCACGTTGCAACCATTGAGAATCCAAATATGACAGTGCACACGAGCGCAAAGATGCCAAACGTCCTTCTGCGCTGACCAGGCTTTGTAGATAGATGCAATAGTATCTGCACCAACGAGGTTATGATGAATAAGGGTATGACCACTGACACGCAGAAAATGTCCGTCTTGTTGTAGAAGAATCTCTCCAACAGCGTGAATAAGGAATCGTCCATCTCCGGGACGTAGATGAATGAAATGGAGAGGATTAAACTGATTCCGATCTCGTATAACGTTGTGATGATGATCCACGCACAGTTCTCCAGGATCCATCGTGGATCCACCCCCTTGGAATCACCGGGTATGGAGCTTCTGGAGACAACCGCAGTCATTGAACAAGTGTGACCAGGGCTGTCCTCGTCAAGTGCCGGCTCGTACCGCGAGTTGGAGCTCGACCCTATTGCATCGGATTGATAGCTGATGATATCGTCTTTCAACAAATTATTCGTCTCGTTGGGCACAGCTCGCGGCTGATACTCTGTAGAGTAGATCACTTTCTTCAAGCTGCTCGATTTCCTTCTGAATTCTATACAGTTTGAGAGTGTGGACTTCTGAATCACTTTTTGGTGTAAGTTCTCGTCTATATCGTCCTGCACAAGCCTTGAGAGCTGCTCCTCATCCAACTCCACAAACCATAGATCCCAGAGGTAAAAGGCTAAGTAGATGGCCTGATAGCACACTCCAAATAGATAGCCTTGACGTTTAACCAAGTTCCACCTAGCGTTCGGCGCCAAAGAGTCAATGTTTGTTCTTTGCGGGTACGCAAGTAATAAAAGAGCTAGGAACTCAAGCCATACTTTGCAATAGATAAGCATCACATCAACAAATCTGTACAGATAGTTTAGCAATAGAGCGGTTCCAGACGCTAGTATCACTGTCCTGAGATAATCAACGCCTTGAGGTATGAAAGTGTTATCCTGCTCGACGACTGGTATATACAGGCTTAACAGTGAGCTTACAATCACAGTGGTCAAGGAAAACAGTGTAAGAATGACGAATTCTGTCATCTCGATCGATGACGATGACCAGAGCATGGTGTAATGATATTATCAAGCGATGAAACAAAAGATCAACAAAGAGATATGAATTGCTTGTGATAGTGCGACACAAATGGACCAAACGTGGAGTCGGTAAAAGCAGACCACGTCCCTGTGCTAGAAGCTCCTCAATATTCACAGCTGGTAATTGTCAACAGCACTTCTCCTGTTAGTCAACTTTATTGATGACTCAAGAGCCAACCCGTTCCGTCGATATTGATCAGCTTCTGAAGAAATGTGTCAAGCACAGGCGGAACAACTACAAAAGCACACACAGTTACAAGAAACTTGTTAAAGTGAACCCACACTGCACACCTCTTTGGACTGTGTTGCTTACCAACAAACCGGCTGAAAACCTCCTTGATCACTATAAGCTCAACTTCACCAGAGCAACTTAGAGATCACTAATGTGTGGCACCGGGAAAATAATTTCACAATGGGCAACTAAAATTTTGATACAAAGAGTGAACCCCCCAAAAAAGAGTTCAATGATCTCCGGACTCGAAATTGCGACATATGTCGTTATTTTTGTCACGCAGAATGTGTCCACAGCAGGGTATCCGGTAAACAATTCGAAAACATCAAGAAGCGCGAGTGGTTTAGCGGTAAAATTCCAAGTTGCCATCTTGGAGCCCCCGGTTCGACTCCGGGCTCGCGCATTTTCTTTTTTGGGATTTTTCACAGCGTTGGTATGGGCAGCATGCTGTTAGCGACGCGTGAGACGAAGAGACGCGTAATTCCACTTCCCGAATAGGAAAGGTAAGTGTATGCGCACCAATTTTTTTTTTGGTGTATTCTTTTCCATTTCTTTCTTCATTTGACACGATATTGTATTTTAGCTCACAACAACAGTTTTAAACCTTCACTAAATACCCAGATCAAGATCAATGTCGAGAAAAAGACCAGCAGCTTCTGATGATGAAGGCTCAGACGGTGAGTCTTCACTAGGAAATACACCCTTGCCACCGTCATCTCCAGCAATTCCCTTTCAAGACGATGACGAAGACGATTACGAACGAGAAATTAGAGATTACGTTGACGATGAGGTGCCTGTACTGGACAAAGAGGAGAGGGAAGAAGAGGCCACTGCGATGGATCTGATGGATGATATGGAGACTGATTACAGGGCTAACCCTGAACAGGACTTCTACGAAGACCAAGATATCGATGATCGGACTCAAAACGAAATGGGGATCAGTGGGTATAGAGAAGTGACAAAGAAACTGGATGAACGTGATGCCATCCTTAATGATCCTAATTTCATAGGTGACATGGAGGATGAAGGCGCTTTGCCAACTAGGAGAAGAAGACGTAACTTGTACGACGAAGAGCAAGATATGGATGATATGGACGTTGACCCTTTGAACGAAGAACTCACATTGGAATCATTGGCAGATATCAAGGCACAGAGTTTAACTGAGTGGGTTGTACAGCCGAACGTTGCAAGAACCATTGCCAGAGAGTTCAAGTCGTTCCTGCTGGAATATACCGATGACCAAGGTCGTTCTGTTTACGGTGCAAGAATCAGAGTGCTCGGTGAGATTAACTCTGAAAGTTTAGAAGTGAGTTACAGACACTTGTCAGAGTCCAAGGCTATTCTTTCAATGTTCTTGATGGCTTGTCCTGAGGAAATATTAAAGATCTTCGATGCAGTGGCAATGGAAGCTACAGAATTACACTACCCTGATTATTCACAAATCCATTCTGAGATTCACGTCAGAATTTCAGATTTTCCAAAGATTTCCACCCTACGTGATTTACGTGAAAGTGATTTGAACACCCTGGTTAGGGTATCGGGTGTGGTGACTAGAAGAACAGGTGTTTTCCCTCAATTGAAGTACGTCAAGTTTGACTGTGGGAAATGTGGCCAGGTTTTGGGTCCATTCTTTCAGGATGCCAACCAGGAAGTTAAGATCTCGTTCTGTTCGAATTGTAAGAGCAGAGGTCCATTCAAACTGAACTCTGAAAAGACTCTTTACAGAAACTACCAACGAGTCACGCTTCAGGAAGCACCTGGGTCCGTTCCAGCTGGTCGTTTGCCACGTCATAGAGAAGTTATCCTCCTTTGGGATCTCGTTGACGTTGCTAAACCAGGTGAGGAAATTGAGCTCACTGGTATCTACAAGGAGACATACGATGGTGCCCTCAATGCCAAGAACGGATTCCCGGTTTTCACCACTGTCATAGAGGCTAATGCCGTTAGAAGACGTGAAGGTGCTCAAAAGGCCACAGATGATGATTTCATAGATCAAGGTCTTGACACATTTTCATGGACAGAGGAAGAGGAGAGAGAGTTCCGTCGCTTTGCCCGTTCTCCAAATGTCATTGATAAGATCATCAGTGCAATGGCACCTTCTATTTTTGGACACAAGGACATCAAGACTGCAGTGGCGTGTTCACTCTTTGGTGGTGTGAGAAAGAACATCAATAATAAACATTCCATCAGAGGTGATATCAACGTGTTATTATTGGGTGATCCAGGTACTGCCAAGTCACAGATCTTGAAATACGTGGAAAAGACTGCGCACAGGGCGGTGTTCGCCACAGGCCAAGGTGCATCTGCCGTTGGTTTGACGGCATCTGTTCGTAAAGATGTGGTTACCAAAGAATGGACTTTGGAAGGAGGTGCATTGGTATTGGCTGATAAAGGTACATGCCTAATTGACGAATTTGACAAGATGAACGATCAGGATAGAACTTCGATCCACGAGGCTATGGAACAGCAGAGTATATCCATCTCAAAAGCCGGTATAGTCACCACGCTACAGGCACGCTGTGCAATCATTGCAGCTGCCAACCCTAATGGAGGACGCTACAACTCAATGCTCACTCTACCGCAAAACGTTGATCTCACGGAGCCTATTCTGTCCCGTTTCGACATTCTGTGCGTTGTGAGGGATATCGTCAACAAGGAGAATGACGAGAGGCTGGCGGAGTTTGTTGTTGACTCCCACATGAGATCCAGCAGGGACATTGAAGACGAAGACGAGGATGAAGACATGGAAGGTGAAGAGGCACGGAATGACGACACGCCAAGATTGTCACGCCGTGAACGTCGTGAGAAGCTGGCACATGAAAAGGAATCCGAGTTGTCTGATTTGAAACAAGAGTTCCTAATGAAGTACATCCACTACGCACGCACAAAGGTGTATCCAAAGCTACAACAGGTGGAACAAGACAAAATTGCCCGCGTATACGCCGACCTGCGTCTTCAGTCCAAACAGACAGGCTCTTTCCCCATCACCGTGAGACACTTCGAAAGCATAATCAGAACCGCAGAGGCATTCGCAAAGATGCGACTGGCCGAGTTCGTCTCAACAGCAGACTTGGATCGCGCCATTGAGGTGGCCATCAGAAGCTTCATTGGCGCACAGAAGGCTAACATCAAGAACGCGCTGCAGAAGAGCTTCGCAAAGTATACGCAGAAGAGAAGAACCGTCAGCGCGAGCGCTTGAAGAGGACGATGCTATACTTTGGGCTCTAATTGCTGGGAAACGGTTTGCGTATAGTGTGCACTTTTCGGTAAATAACGGTTAATGAATACATCCGACGATTCGACAACCCACAAGGTTTAGTTTTGCCCCTTTAGGGTATAAAGGAAAAACTGAGAAATAGGGGGGGCAGGGCCCCGGGCCCTTGGAAAGAAAAAGAATCTGGGGAGGAAACTGTTCAGATCTGTGTCAAAAAAAAAACTTCTGTTGCAGTTCTGGACAGCTTCGTAGCCTGATAACGTGCGTAAAGAACGTCATTTTCCAGCGGTGGGGGCAGAAACGGGACCAATGTCCCTCCCACGCTGCCCTAAAATTAAACCTCAAGGCGAGCGTAACTCTAAAAACTTTGGTGCAACCACCCGCCGCGAGCCTTTTCCAACGGTCCCCAGCAGGGGGAGCCTTAGTGCAACTTCCCCACGAGAAACTCACGTCTTGGCCATGGGCCGTTTGGGGTGTTGTCGATAGGGAAAGCTCTGCCTGCAGAGAACAAGCAATCGTCAACGTCATCGACTGATGAGCTGTTCCATGTATATCAGTAGCTGTGTGATGACACAATTCAGCTCATTTGGTGTGTAGTTAGTACCCACACACGTTCCAAACTTGGCGTGGAGGCCTGGTGTATCCCCGTGCGCCGGCTGTGTGCCTACAGACTTTTTTTTCCCAAACCGTGAGCGAAACGTCGCTAAACCTACATCGCCTGTATTCTTGTCCGTCTGGACTGCAAGCACCGACGAGCTGTGCGATAACACGACCGGACACTAGGGCTCCCACGCTTGAAATACGTATATATATTGTAGTACAATCATCAGATGGCTGCCACTCCCTCAGGACACACACGTCCTCAACCAGTCATCTCTACCAAGTCACAAGTAAAAATAGGACCCCAGCGTAGGGAGCTTTCACCACCATCATCGTGCATCAATTTCGAACGATTCGCCACGGCCAAAATATGCGCAAGTGTTTTGGAGTGCAGCTTATAAAGGTCATCAACTCCGGGATTTTTCTGGCTCCAAAACCAATCTCCAGGGTGTTCACCAGAACAAAGACAAGTGCTATCTATAACAATAGAAGCCATTACAGTACTACTACGATGCAAGGAATAGTCTACTACGGACCAAACGATTTACGTTATGAGCAGAACGTACCAGAGCCAAAGATCGAGCACCCGGACGAGGTGCTCGTCGATGTCTCGTACTGTGGTATTTGCGGGACAGATTTGAAGGAGGTTGTTGCAGACCCCCCAAACTTTTTCAAGCAAGCTGGCGGCAGCGACCCGCTAACGGGACACAAGCCACCTCTGTGTATGGGCCATGAGATCGCTGGTACGGTGATCGAGGTTGGTGGCAACGTTACCGATGTCAAAGTGGGCGACCACGTTGTGATTGACCCAAGCACGCACTGTGCCGATAAGGATCGTTTCTTCGACTCCACGCTTACCGCCGAGGAGGACTGCGAGGAGTGTCAAAAGGGTCTTACAAACATCTGTAAGAACATGTCTCTTACCGGGCTGGGTGCCCAGAACGGTGGATTGGCGGACAAGTTTGTCACTGCTGCTCGTCACGCCGTTGTTGTGCCAAAGAGCATCCCGCTGGAGATTGCTGCGCTGGCACAACCGCTAGCGGTCTCTTACCACGCGGTGAGAATCTCCGGCTTCAAAGAAGGCTCCACTGCGCTCATCATTGGTGGTGGAGCCATTGGACTTTCAACCATTCTGTGTCTCTTTGGTTTCAAGGCCTCGCACGTTGTGTGTTCCGAGCCTTCAAAGATTAGAAGGGAGAACGCTGAGAAGTTGGGTGCCATTGGGTTTGATCCAACATCTGTCAAGGGGGATCCAGTTGCTGAGTTGCGTAAGTTATCGCCAACGGGACACGGGTTTGACTACACCTTTGACTGTTCTGGACTGGAGGTGACATTGCAAACCGCCATTCATGCAGCTGCATCCAACGGTACAGTTGTCAACATTGCCATCTGGGGTAAGAATCCAATCAGATTCTGGCCAATGGATGTCACCAAGCACGAGAAAAAGCTCATGGGTTCGATGTGCTACACCAGAGAGGACTTCGAAGGTGTGTTGGACTGCTTTGCACGTGGTGATATCGATGATGAGAGGGCAAGACGTTTCATCACCACCGTTGTTTCCTTGAAGAACGGTATCGAAGGTGGATTCGAATACCTCAGGGGCCACAAGGACTCGGAGATCAAGGTTCTCATCACGCCTAATAACCATGGCGAGTTGGAATACTCAAAGTCGTTCACCAGAATCCACGAACATATTTGATTGGGCTTCAATCCGTCCTCCGTCTCTATTCAGCTTTGCGTTCTTATGTCTCTATACATGGTGGATATCATCCACTGAGGAATTGTTGGGAAAATGTAATTATCGGCACACATAATCTGGAATTGTGTGTGTGTGTCTGTACTATATATATCAATCAACAACGTTACAACCTATCATGGACAGTGCTATTGTCTCAATGCACTCAAGCTCTGCACCGTCGGCCCGCCGGACCACGCCCTCTTCCCAAAGGCCTATAAAGCAAAACATCCAGACACCCCCGTCCCCCGAACTGCGCGCTGTGCGGACGGAAAATTTTCAACAGCACCAGGAACTCTTCCTCTCTCCCAACACCCGCTGTTTCTTATCAATTAGCATCTCACAAGATCCAATGGCGTCACTGTTCGCCTGATGCGCACGGTTCGATAGCTATTGGTCCTTATCTCCAGGTTGTCTGCAAGTTGGCAGCGATCTACTCTTCTTCTCCCGGAACCGGGGGAGGAATTGGTTTGTTTGGGATGAGGGTTGGTCTTTGTGGGAGAGTAAACCATCTCAGGAAGTATCTCCGTGCTACGAGTCGTTCTCTAAAAGAGAAGGCAAGGAACAGTACGGTCATGTTACCTGGAACATTCTCACACGTTTTTAAGTACGCTCTAATCAATCTCTCTCTGTCTGTCGTTGTTGTGTAGACCCGAGTAAAAAAGCAGTTATTACGTGTAAATAAAAGAAATTCTGGCGTGCAACAGTATAAATTGAGGGCATCGCGCAGAGGGAGGAAAGCGGAAAAATTTTTGTCCGATGCCTCTTACAAAGCTTCCTTCACTTCACTCAGAGAAAAGGGCCACTTCTTTTAACCGCCAAGTAAAACGTTATAGCATGTCGCCAGTCGAGCCAGTTTCCAACGTGTTTGAGACCATCCTGGTCCTGGACTTCGGTTCTCAGTACTCCCACTTGCTGACCCGCCGTTTGCGTGAGTTCAACGTCTACGCTGAGATGCTTCCATGTACGCAGAAGATCGCTGAACTGGACTGGAAGCCAAAGGGTGTGATTCTCTCAGGCTCGCCATACTCTGTGTACGCTCCGGATGCTCCACACGTTGACAAGGCTGTCTTTGACCTCGGCGTTCCAGTGTTGGGTATCTGTTACGGTATGCAAGAGATTGCCTGGATTAACGGCACCGAAGTTGCCAGAGGTGAGAAGAGAGAATACGGTCCTGCGACTTTGAACGTTGTGGACAAGGACTCTGCTCTTTTCAAGGACGTTGATCACTCCAAGGTCTGGATGTCCCATGGTGATAAGCTGTACGGCTTGCCAGAGGGCTTCAAGGTCATTGCTACATCTGATAACTCCCCATACTGTGGTATTGCCGACGAGGCCAGACAGATTTACGGTATCCAATTCCACCCAGAGGTTACTCACTCTGAGAAGGGTAAATTCATGTTGAGAAACTTTGCCGTTGATATCTGTAAGGCCAAGCAAAACTGGTCCATGGAGAACTTCATCGACACCGAGATTAACAGAATCAGAACTCTTGTTGGCCCTGACGCTGAGGTTATCGGTGCTGTCTCTGGTGGTGTCGACTCCACTGTTGCTGCCAAATTGATGACTGAGGCTATCGGTGACCGTTTCCATGCCATCTTGGTTGATAACGGTGTTCTCAGAAAGGACGAGGCCAAGAACGTCAAGGAGACATTGACTGCTGGTTTGGGTATCAACTTGACAGTTATCGATGCCTCAGATGAGTTCTTGGACAAGCTCAAGGGCGTCACTGACCCAGAAAAGAAGAGAAAGATCATTGGTAACACCTTTATCCATGTCTTTGAGCGTGAAGCTGCTAACATCAAGCCAAAGAGCGGTAAGGAAATCGAATTCTTGTTACAAGGTACTCTGTACCCAGATGTCATTGAATCCATCTCATTCAAGGGTCCATCTCAGACTATCAAGACCCACCACAACGTTGGTGGATTGCTTGAGGACATGAAGCTCAAGCTCATCGAGCCATTGAGAGAGTTGTTCAAGGACGAGGTTCGTCAATTGGGACAACTCTTGGGAATCCCACACGATTTGGTCTGGAGACACCCATTCCCAGGTCCAGGTATCGCCATTAGAGTCTTGGGTGAAGTCACCAGAGAACAAGTTGCCATCGCAAGAGCCGCTGATTACATCTACATCGAGGAGATTAGAAAGGCTGGATTGTACGAGAAGATCTCGCAAGCTTTTGCATGTCTCTTGCCTGTTAAATCGGTTGGTGTTATGGGTGATCAAAGAACATACGAGCAAGTCATCGCCCTCAGAGCTATTGAAACCACCGATTTCATGACTGCTGACTGGTTCTGTTTCGAGCCAGCTTTCCTCAAGAAGGTTTCTTCCAGAATTGTCAATGAAGTTGACGGTGTTGCTAGAGTCACATACGATATCACCTCCAAGCCACCAGCCACTGTTGAATGGGAGTGAACTCTGCCATTTGTTTCTACACTTTCCATAGATCCTTTAATTCATTTACTTTATTGTTGTATGCCTTGTCGTAGAACTGTACTCATTATCATATCACCATCATGAGAAACTGACACTAGAAACCGGTCTGTGTTGTTAACGTCATCACCACAGATCGTCGGCCGGCCGTATTCGTCATTGCTCTTGTACCATCGATTGAATCGAAACTTGGCCTGTCTTCCAGGTTCCAATGACTTGAAAACTGCCTCTTTACAACACCAGCTGCCACTGAGAAGCCTCACTGTCCCAGCTATATCATCGCTACGTCTCAACGCTACAAACTGCTCACGCTCCACCGGGTGTAAAATCCTCGTGGCAAACCGGTCCAGTGTCTTCCCATTGAGTCCCTGTCGTCTCACAATACGCTCAATCCTGGAAACTTTCAACAAATCACAGCCAATTCCCAAGATCATTGTAGTTGAACAGCGTTCGTGTTCATGGTTCCCTCGCCTATTCTTTCTGTTTTCAATTTTGATGATCCGCCGGTGGAGGATCTCGGTGGAGGGGACAGAGGAAAAAATTTCCATCGACTCATCGCAAATCTCACATCTTCGAGACAAATAGAAGCCAGTACAATTGAATTGAACAGACTGCTTCATTTCCTAAACCATTCGCTGTTGAACTTTGGGTTCGAATACTTTGGTGGCTTTCAGAGTACATCTCACAGTCTTTGCATCTCAATTTCCTAAACGATATACACCATAAAGGCCTATCTATAGACTCTGATAATGGCTTCCTCTGTCCCAGGTCCTCTGCCTCTTCCAGAGTCACGTTATGATCTGTCCACATACATGGGTCGTGTCTACCATTGTGCCGAGATCTCTGACCCGACAATGCTCTTCACGACTTCCAAGCAACTGGAAGATGCTAAGAATCTCATCTCTGACTATCGTAATGGCCGTGTTACAGAAGTGTCGGAACAGTTCTGGACAGCAAAGAAGATCTTGGACTCCACTGTTCACCCAGACACCGGTGAAACCGTTGTGCTACCATTCAGAATGTCGTCCTGTGTGCTCAGTAACCTCGTTGTCACTGCTGGTATGCTGACTCCAGGTTTGGGCACGGCTGGTACGCTGTTCTGGCAAATCGCTAATCAGTCCCTTAATGTGGCTGTGAATTACTCGAATGCTAACAAGTCCCATCCATTGAGCACTACCCAATTGATCCAGAACTATGCCATTGCCGTGACATCGTCATGTGGTGTTGCTCTTGGTCTCAATGCCATCGTCCCAAGATTGAGAAATGTCTCCCCAAATACAAAGATGATCCTCGGACGTTTGGTTCCATTCGCTGCAGTTGTGTCAGCTGGTATTGTCAACGTGTTTGCCATGAGATCTCAAGAGATCAAGAAGGGTATCTCTGTCTTTGATAAGGATGGAAATGAGGTTGGCAAGTCCAAAACTGCTGCTGTCTACGCTGTGGGTGAAACTGCTGCTTCAAGAGTCATAAACGCAACACCAATCATGGTGATTCCTCCATTGATCCTTGTTAGATTGCAAAGAGGGTTCCTCAAAGGTAAAGGTCTTGGAATTCAAACGCTTGTTAACCTTGGGTTGATTGCTGCAACATCCTTTATCGCGTTACCGTTTGCTTTGGCAATATTCCCACAGTACCAAGGCATAGACATTCATAGACTCGAATCTGACCTTGCTGGTAAGAAGGATAAGAATGGTGACATTATTGATAAAGTCTACTTCAACAGAGGTATCTAGACAATGTATTCTAGTCGTTAATATTTAATAGCACAAGTGGTATATGAGCACAATTAAAAACTAAATCACCAAAATCTCCACTCAAGGGATCCGGCATTCATGGCCTTGTCAATAGCGTTGCGGTCTTCAAATTCGACAAAATCTTGGGCAGTGTATGGGAATGAATCAGAAACCTCTATATAACCAACACCTTTACCTCCCAATGTAGTTTCATATGTTTCAAACCCAAGTGATTGGTACTTTTTGATGAGCTCTTGGATAACGCTCTCCTCTGCGTCATCGTTGAGCAAAGTGATAGCACAACCACCACCACCGGCACCTGTCAGCTTTGTCTTACCGATTTTCAACTCATCTGTCAAGATTCTCACTCTTTCCAATGCTGGATGGGAGACACCTAATGCGACAAGAAGTCCATGGTTTATCTCGAACAGTTCACTGAGACGAGATTTGGCAGAGTCGTTGAAAAATGGCTTGATCATAATGTTGTAGCCTTCTCTAGTCAATGAGTCGATGGCGTCAAGGATGCTTGTTGTTGTCTTTGGATACTCCTGGTTCAATCTACCAACGTTTCCAACCATTTTAGCTGAGCTTCTAGGAACTTTGGTATTTGTCAAGAGCAGCCTCAGTGGAGGGAAGCTTCTCATGGTGGTACGAACACTTGGTGCCGACCCCAATGTTCTTTGGAACATAACGGCACCACCGTGAGTTGCAACGGCATTGTCAACACCAGATGGATTCCCCTGGATACATTTCTCGCCCATAAAGGCCCACGAATCTATGAACATAGAGTCCTCGTTGTCCTTGTTGGCATCTGTAGCTTTCAAAGATGCACGTTGAACATGGTTTCCCAGAAGCGATAGAGCAGCTGCCAAACACACCGAGATGGAGGCGGACGAACCGAGACCACAGCCTATCGGCAGTGTAGAACGAACAGTGAATCTATAACCTTGTGACGATCTCTTCAACATACACACATATAAATACAGAAACGAGTATGCTGCTGCATAGTGCACACTGTTCGAGATATCGACAAGAGCATTTGCCAGTTCACTAACAATCTCCGGAACAAGCTCATCTGTAGGTTGTGGTTTGTCCATGTGATACTTCTCAGCAGTGTCCCAGGGCAGATCAGAGAGCTTCCACTTATGAGTGAACCCGATATCCGGGAACTCCAGCATAATCTCCTCGGGGTCACTGCTTTCAGAGATGTGTAGATATGTCCTGAGCGAGACAGCTGCTGCGATGGCAGGCTAATTGTTTAGAGTCAGTATACGCGTGATGAGATTGTAAGCTCTGCTGTAGTCGACTCACTCTGTTGTAGACAGCTGCGTGCTCTCCAAAGATGATCACCTTCCCTGGAGACGACACGACAAAGGGAGCTGTATGCTGGGTCATTGTGACGTCCTGGTTATAAACCACGTAATACGAGACTGGAACGAGTGTGCTTGTCTGTATCGATGAACCAATATCGAGCGAGAGAGAGAGATCGTTCCTCGCCTCGTTTAGCACGGTTTTGCTCGGTGTGCGGGTGGTGTGGTGTGCGGGTGATGAAGGTGTCCGGGTTATTAGGTGTCCGGGTTATTAGGTGTCCGGGTTATTAGGTGTCCGGGTGCTACAGCCCCATCTCACCACTCGTCTGTATACGCCAATCAGACCCACCACACTTCACACGCCAGCCATCAGCCAGCATCCACCACAACAACCAGCGAAGTATCACCTAAATACATCAACATTCACCAACAAATCACAACATCCCCCACCCATTTAGACCCCCACCTCGTAGATATGATTTCCACCCTCGTAATACCCCGATCGGGTAACTTCCGGCTCATCTCACGCCTGCAGGTAAAAAAATTTCCCGGCCTCGAGAAGCCTTCCTCTCTCTTCCAATGATGGTGGGTATTAATACGTAACAACAGATCCAATCATGGAAGACAAGTCACAGATTAAGATCAAGTTCATCACACGAGAGGATAACCAGGATCTTCACGTGGATGACAAGCCACTGTACGTTCCAATCTCCTTGAAACGTTATGGTCTTTCGGAGATTGTGAACCATCTCTTGGAGACAGAGGTGCCAGTGCCATTTGACTTCCTCATCAACGGCACTCTTCTGACCACTTCAATTGAAGAGTATCTGAAGGAACAGGCGTTGTCCTCTGAGGCGTTTCTCACGCTGGAGTACACCCGTTCTGTGCTTCCACCATCATACCTTGCATCTTTCAACAATGAGGATTGGGTCTCGTCGCTCGACATTGGCTACGGCCGGATCCTCTCAGGTTCGTACGATGGGATAGTGAGAACTTGGGATATGTCTGGTAATATTCAAAAGCAATACGCGGGCCACTCAGGAGCTATTAAAGCTGTGAGATGGATCAGTGAGACCAGGATCGTCAGTGGTGGTAACGACAGACAACTGCGTCTTTGGAAGGCCCACTCTGTCAACGATGTTAATGCTAACGAGGATGACGACGAGCCGGAAGAAGGGAAGACACTGGCCATCTTGGAAGGTCACAAAGCTGCTGTAAGCTCTCTCGCTGTGAACGATAACAGAATCTTGAGTGCTGGTTACGATAACGCAATTGGATTCTGGTCTACAAACTACAAGGAGATGACAACAGTAGATCCATTGGAGGACGCTGCAAACAAGGTCACATCAACAGCAGCTAAGAAGAGAAGAAAATTGGCTCTGCAGGACGCCAGTATCAGAAGAAGAGCTCCATTGGCATTCATGGAGGGGCATTCACAGCCTGTTGAAGATGTCCAGTTCGCCCATGACGATAAAACTGTCGCCTACTCTGTATCACAAGATCATACAATCAAGACCTGGGACCTTGTCACTTCTCGTGCAGTCGACACCAGAACTACCGGGTTCTCACTCTTGTCAATGACACAGCTGGCCAAACTGAATCTTATAGCATGTGGTTCATCAGCACGTCATATTACACTCCACGATCCACGTGTTGATGCTGCCACGATCTCCCAATCGCAACTCATTGGTCACAAGAACTTTGTCGTGAGTTTGGATGCAAGTCCTGTTAACGACTACATGTTGGCATCTGGTTCTCATGATGGAACTGTTAAAGTGTGGGATGTTAGAGCGCAAAAGGCATTGTACACGATTACAAGAGAGTCTGGTGAAAAGGGCAAGGTCTTTGCAGTAAGTTGGGGTGAGCCAGGCATTGTCAGCGGTGGTGAAGACAAGAAGATCCAAATCAATCAGAGTGTTGGTCAACAGTAAAGAAAGAACAAGTACGTAACATGTTTACAATAGAGAACAGATGGTATTCTGCTGTTAATTACGAGATGAAACCCATTTTGTCAACCCGTAGTAACCTTGCCAGAGGCCCTCTTTATTTGTCAGGTAACCTGCAAGCTCACCAGCTTCAGGTTCATCCAGGTCTTTCCATCCCCTTAATTCCCTGAGCTTTCTAATCTCTTCGAGTGTGAACTCAACGTAAGGAGCAGTCCCGTACTTCAATGGTCCCACGTTGATCCATAGGCCTTTATTTTCACCAATGACGTTCTCGATGGCCTTAAAGTAATCAAACATATTTTGAGCAGTATCAAGAAAGAATGCACTGAGGACAACTATCTGGTCATACTGCTCTGGATTCGAAACAGTGAACTTTCTGAAATCCCCATAGTTCAAATGTAAATTTTCCGGCTTCTTTTGAATTCTTTGGAAAGTGACATGTCTGGTATGGTTCTCAGCAGTCGTGTGATGAGAATACGAACCCAAAAAGGGATAAACCTCATACTTCTCTGCACCACCATAGACAAACTCATTACAGATGTACATCAGCCCAGAGAATTCAACGGTTTCAACCCTGGCAAACCCCATTTTCGCAACCTCATGTGCAATTCTCCCCAATCCAGATCCAGGAACAACCACGAGTGTTTTGGATTTGTCCTTGACGTATTTATCAAGTGACGAGTTAATAAATTTGAACAGAGGATCCAGTTCTTCGCTAATAGAAGACCAGTCTCTGGCAAAATGCGTTATGGCTTCAATGGCTCTCGAATTGGTTTTGAAAGTACCAGCTTTTAGGTCGAGAGGTGTAATATCAAACCTCTTGATGGCATCTTCTGCAACTCCATTGGCCAATTGGGAGTTGATTCTGATACTTGAGTCCACTGCATCTAAATGGTGTAAGTATCCAACGCTCTTGGCCTGTTTCTTAGACTCCCAGCCAACAAACTTGAGGTTGTTTCTCTTCTTCTGGTTCCACGTCAAGGTGGCATTCTCATAGTGTTGCAGTGTAACAATTGCATCCACCAGGGATTGCTTTGGAATGGACATCTCGGTGTTTATGAACTTCTGGACCAACCAGGGGAAGTTGCCCTTGTACAAGATGGTAGCCATCAATATCGCAGAAACGATAGCTGGGATGTAGGACTTTGGAAACGCAGAGTTCAATAACATACAAATCACAATGGCAATGCATACACGGGTCAGATTCTCTGTTCTATCTGATGTGTTCATTCCTCTTGTGAATTTATATAGGCTGTCACTGCAAAATGGTAAAATTCTTCTCTTCCCAGCGTCTTATGCTTCCAACTTGTCTTGGAAGAGGTGAAAAAGTACTTTGTAGGTTATTGATTTGTCCAAGTCTGCCCATTTGCGAGATGAGACAACGGCACGCGGAAAAATTACCACATGCTCGGGACAAATGGGACAAATGGGACAACGCACGGAACTTTGACACAAAACTCTGTTCTTAAACCACAAAGCTGGACATCACCTTTGGAAAGATGTATATACATGTTCGTTTCCATAGCTTTCATCTTTCTGACTGGATCATACTGTATTGTTTGTGATTTATTTGCTTCTCATAGCTTGGACAAGGTACAAATCGCAGTAAGACGGGACTCCAATTGTGCTAAGATGAGATCTCTCCCACCACCTCGAAACTCCCGGAAGAGAACCATCAAAAGGCTCCTCCATCAGCTCTATAAGATTTTGACGCTAAGGTTTCTCTTTAAAAAAGATCGCACAATATTTGTGAAGAAGCATCGTTCGCCATTCCACTTTGCATCACGACGCTATAAGGTTAGGATCCCCACGGGGAAGCGAGTACATTGGTGGAGCCATAAACCGGTGGATGATATTGTAGTTAATGCAAAGATATTGGGGGATCTATCGAGAGAATTGGATGGGTTGGAAGTTGGTGCTGGTCATAAGAGGCACATCTTCTTGAAGGCTCGCAGCAGAAAGCATTCGTTAAGAAGAATACTCCAAAGAATTCACCATTTGATCTCGATGTCCAATAAGCATCTACGGTACCGCAAATCGAGACACTTGAAGAATGTCAATGTTGTTCTAGGGTGAAAAGAAGAGACAAATATGGCCGACACGGTGTGTGTGGAATATGCGCTGTACACTCAAAAACAGAGAGGAAGGACTACCGGATAAATAACAATTGTCCGAATACGCAACCAGCTGACAACTCTAGACGACTGCACTTCCACGAGGCGAATCATTTAAGCTGTTCTGTCGTTGTTTGTTTTCTCATTACAGCGAAGACCTGACTTGTGGAACATGATCTGTAGTGTATACGCAGTCACTGTGCAACTTTTGTGAGGTTGATTACTTGAACTCACAGAAATGGACAACCCCGGAGCACTGCGTCCCTTCTATGGTAATCCATCGACTGCGGGTAAAACAAGTCGGGGTCAACAATTATCCAGGCGCGCGCCTATATAAAGGCTTCGGATAAACTTTTCTTCCGTTGTCTCGAGCACTTCCAAGTTCTAAGACGAGAGGAACGACGGTAGAGATGACAAATACTGTGGTGGTAGTTGGTGGAACAGCAGGTACTGGAAAGACCACTATTGGTGAGGAGATTGCTAAATCTCTTGATTGTCCCTTCGTTGAAGGAGATCAATTACACCCACAGTCAAACGTTGAGAAGATGAGCCAAGGTATCCCACTTACAGACGATGATAGATGGGGCTGGCTGGAGGAAGTTGCTCAAGAAGGTTCCAAAAGGGCTGAAACGAGCAGTATTTCAGTTGTAACATGTTCTGCTTTGAAGCAAGTGTACAGGGATTTGATTCAAAAGGTTGCAAATAATGCCAATGTCATATATGTCTTCCTATATGCATCAAAAGAAGAACTCATCAAGAGAACAAACGCAAGATCAGGCCATTTTATGAAGAGTACAATGATTGAATCACAGCTGGATACATTGGAATTGCCTACTGGGAACGACAACGCTCTTTGTATCGATGTTGAAAACAAATCTGTTGAAGAGATTAAACAACTTGGTTTGGAGTTTATCAAAACTAAAGTGTAATATTTACATGGCGTATCACCTTTTGGCATTAATTGTATGTACAGACTAATTAGACGTTTGTTCTTTGTTGGATCTGTTTTCTATAAACGTCATCTTTATAACTCAATGTCTCTTCTATTCTCTCCTCAATGAGGTTCTTTGCATCGGTGGCACTTTCCCTGATGACAAATAGTTCTGGATATCTGTTATTCATCCACATCCAAACCATCAGGTACTTGTGCAAGTTTTCCAAGTGTGATAGATCCTGAACATCCCAAATCTTCTCCTTAAGGAGCGTAAAGTCCAAAAAGTCAAACTCAAAGCAGTTCTTGGTTTGATTTCTGCAAACGTTGAAACCGTATCCATAAAGTACACTCTGGAAATCAGGTAAGCGAGGACTTATAGGAGCTGTTGCGATTCTCAGCATATCTGTAAGCAGCATCCCTCTAATGCTCTCCAAGACTTGAACGATCTTTGTCCGCTCATCAATCTCTGCAATTTCATAGATCTTCGATTTGGACACTTCCTTCTTAAATCTTTCCATTATCACGCTTAAAAGGGTATCATTTGGGAATTCAGATATGTAATGGGACCAGATTTCATCACTTGGCCAAAGTATGGCTTTCTCGACTTTGATGGTTTCATGATCCATACATTTATGAATACGTTTCAATGTATCTCTGGTGAATGCAGTTATGTATCCAACACTCTCATCATTAGACTCGTTATTAAGTGATGGTGTTGGAGTCGTTGCTGAAGGTGCCACTTTATAACGTCCAGCTCTGCCACCGATCTGCTTCATATGTGGAACTGGTATATCAATCATCTTTGTACCATCAAACTTCTTATGACTGTCAAAGATCACTCTTTTGATTCTCAGATTCAATCCCATACCAATAGCATCAGATGCCACCAACACGTCGTATTCACCATCGTTGAACTTTCTTGCCTGTTCAGTTCTGGTCTCCGCTGGTAAAGCGCCGTAAATTACACCAGCTTTCAGCTTGGTGAGTCTTTCAATCTCAGCTTTGTACTGAAGGATCTTCTTCTTACTAAACACCACAATACAGTCTCCTTTCTTCAGATCAGAGAGCTTGTTTGCAAGGTGCCGTTCTTCAACGTGTAGTTTACCCAATCTCTTGTATTCCTTAACAATGACTTCGTCACCTGTCATGTGTGCAATCTTCTTAACGAGATCCACAATAGATGCCTCTCCACACAGATGGACTTCGTGAGCTCTGACACCAATGAGTGCATTAGTCCAAGCCCAGCCTCTATTGGTATCTCCAATCATTTGGATTTCATCAATAACGGCAACCTCGAATTCTGTATTGAGATCCACCATCTCTACTGTACTACAACTTAGAGATGCCTTGTTACCAAACTCATCGAGATCTTGAATAACCTCTTCACCTGTTACCAGGTTACAACGAAACCCCTCGCTTTTGAAACGATGATACACTTCACGTGCTAAGAGTCTTAATGGACCGGCATATAGACCGTTGTTTGAAGCCTTCAACCTTTGCAATGCATTGTATGTCTTTCCAGAGTTTGTAGGACCAACATGTAGAATGAGCTTTCTCTTCAAACGACGTGCAACTGGGTACCACTCTGCAGGGTTTGAGATGCTGACCGTGAGGTCTTGGGCCTGAGTTCTTTGGGTAGCGACAGTCCTGAGGTAATGCTGAAACGTCATTTCAAACAGATACTCACGTTGTAGTTCTTGATCATTACCAATGTTCTTTGATTTGAAGAATTTCTCCAACATTTCATTGGGGTATTGAACTGCCATCAGCGATGAAGGTAAAGTCTCCACAGTCGGCACCAGGAGATCAGCCAACGTGACAGAGCCTTCAGAACCCGTAGCCCGTACTAGAGCATCAGATATGTCATGCTCAAATGACTTCATGGCGATATTTTTAGTCTCTTCAGGTGTCGAGTCCATCTCGAACCATCTGAGGACACCGTTTCTGACTTTACGTTGTAAGTCAAACAAACCAAGCTCGACCCATTCTTTCATTTCATCTGTGATGTGAGGTATCATGGAGTTCTTAGAAACATCATCAAAGGTCATATGGTTTGAGTAGTTCATCACATCCTCGCCGCTGATCCACTTGTTCGATCTGACATCAAGTTGTTCCTGTTGTCGTTGTCTAACAGTGTATGGAACCCTCTGTGACTGTTGCTTCTTCTTCTTCTGGAAGTGCTTTCTTTTGGTTGCTGACAGAACACTCGCAGTGCTGAAGCTCTTACAGTATCCTCGTGATACACATAGTATATTGCTTCTTATCATCACAGTTACCGGCAAACCCGCTCTACGCCAAAGAGCAACACGTATATGATGATATGTTCATAGGTATAGTTTCTCCGGTCCTGGCAAATTGTTCACCACTTCAGATGACGATCACGTGAATGGGACTCTTCTTTCACGTGCACGGTACTCTTCTTTCACGTGATGTATAAGATAAGCCTAATGTCTTTATCTAAAAGGCCATCTCATCAAGACGGTTAAAGATCATGGACTTGGAACTCATAGATGATATAGCAGGATCCGACATGTTTCCCTTTTTCCACATGAGTAAGCGTGATGAGAACAACAACGCGTATTTGTGGGGATGGGCCCACGAAGAAGGTGTTGTTGATACTGACATGCTGTAAGTGTTTGTTTCCAGTGTTTTGATTTGGTTTTGGCTTTCCTCCAACACTTTTCGCTCCAACCCCAGCTCTCTTCTCAGTACCAAAAGCTCACTTGGTGAATCAACTAAGAAAGTTGTAAGTTGTTGATGTTTTGTACCCTCTTCCTTCCCAATGTTTGGCGATTGTTTCTAACCGCTGTTCAAGATCAACAGTTGTGACATGATGTTCATCCGCTCGTCTATTGCATTCACCATGTACTCTGTCGTGTTCATGGCGGTAAGCTCGATGGCAACGCTGTTCATTGTACCTTTACTCCTCGTCTCAACCGTCGCCTCTGCGCTCGTAGTGTTCTTCAACGGCGTGAGCTATGCATCGTTCAAGTTGGCGGCGGCCAAGTACAGCCGCTCTGTGCTGTTTTTGAACAGACTACTTCGTAGAATCGCCGATAACATCCCACCATCGGTTGGAGTCGTTGAAGTACAAGCAGAGAATGGAGACTCTAACGTTAGGAGACGACTGTCCTGTGTATGGACAAAGTTGATGAGATCCACTGGTGTGGGTGCAGCAGAGGAGCGTCACGTTACAGAAGTTGGTGAGCACATGCCTGTTCCTGATACTGAGCCAAATATCTTGGGGCCAGATGCACCAGTCATCTACGATGAAGATCCGCTCACTGGAAGTATCGTGACGGGAATCGATGCTGAACAAAAGGGTACTGAAGCTGTCCTACAACATGTTGTTGACCCATTGAATAATGGAAACGAACACAGCTTATAAAAGCGGACTGGAAAAAAAGAGCCCGCGTGCTAAACGAAACTAATGAATGCCTCATCACTGATTGCAAAGTTACTAATGACCTCACTCTATTTTATCTCTTCTGGTGTTCTATACAATAAACAACTGGCTTCGGTAATAGGAAAGTGGACTCGTCACGTGATCTAGATCCTCGGAATTCGCTCAGCACACCCGGACTCCCTCGGATTGTAGTCTTGGACACGAAGGCCCGAATTCCTACAAACAAAGGTTCAAATAAAGTCACCCAGGTGCGCACTGTTGACAACGTGGTTTTTGTTGGGAATAGACAACTAATTCGATATGAGACTCCAAAGACTGATAGCTCTCTCTGCCTTTACAAGTGCTGTCTGTGCAATTGATGTTGTAAATGGTGTCTTGAAGACTCACACCGGGAAGCTCGAGTTCTCGGCTTCAACACCTGCTAAGGAAGCCGTTGTGTTTGACTCGTCAGCTTCTAAAGTCGATATCTCGTTCGATATTGTTACAGAGACTGTTCCGGATCAGATCGTGATTAAAGTCTCTAACAAGGAAGGATTGGAGGCTTCTTTCAACCCAGTTGTTAAAGAAGGTGAAGGCTCTCTAACTGCAAAGTATACACTCTCGTATGGTAAATTACCAAAGGTTTTCACAAAGGAACCATTCTTGGATGTTTCCATCATCGCTGCAACGACCTCTGATGACGCCCCAGTCTTTGCAAAGATTGCTTCTCTTGAATTGGCTGAATCCCTCATATCAGAGTCGAAATATGTCAAACCTCAAAGATTTGAGGTGAAACCAGAGATCCATCACATCTTTAAAGAGAAACCAAGAAATGTTAATTCTGTCATTGCCATTACATTCGCATCTCTATCTGTCGTTGCTCTCTTTGGTCTCATCATTTCATGGATTGCGGAAGGTGCTATCAATTTTACAAACTTCCCAACTACAAACATTTCACACTGGGCATTCATCCTGACAATAGTGGGCTATGAGGTCGTCTTCTTCCAATACTACTTGGGTTCTTCAATCTTTGCTACAATCTTCAAGGTTGGTGCCTTAACACCTCTTTCTGTTTGGTTTGGATCAAAAGTATTGAATTACGTTGGGGCCTTGAGATTGGCTGGTAAAAGATAATCTACAAAGTTATATAGAACCAAAGTAAAGGGACTTAATCGCCATTTTCATTTGCTTAAAAGAAATCTCCGTCAAACTCATCTTGTAGAGCATTGATCAACTCTGCTTCATCTTCCATATCAGCTTCACCACCAAGGGAATCATGAACCCTATTGACACTAGGTGGGTATCTCATGGCTCTAACGCTATCATTGTGCAGCTGGTTAACAAACTTGATACGTTGGTCCAATTGTACCTGAGGTTCGTTTGTAGAGTACACGTTGAGAACTTCGTTGCTCTCAACATAACCCTTTTGGTTGTTGATCTTGGCGTCAATGACACCATCTCTGATGGCTTTGGAAACAATGTATTCAGCAGAAGATTCGTTATCTAAGTGGAGCTTTATGCAGATGTCCTTCAAGGAGATCTTTGTGTACGAAAGTGAAATGATTCTGATACCGGTCTTGATAACATTGGATCTCAAACGTGTCACAAGTGTAAGGTTATCATCCTTAACGAAATGTTCACGGTATTTTGCCAAGGTCTCGTTGAAAAGTTTTAGGTCTCCCAACTTCACAGCCTTCGTAATTTCACGGTATGGAACCAAACACTTTTCAAATCCTGGTTTTTTAAAGAAGGAGAGCTCAGGAATTTCACCAGTCAATAACTCAATCAATACGCTCAACTTGTAGGAGACTTGCAAAAATCCAATGGCATTTTGAGTCTGTGGTGCCTTTCTAATAGCGGTGATGACGAATTCATGGGCATCTGAGTAGTTCAATTGAATAGAATTGATCTTTGCCAAGTAAAAGAAGTATCTAGCCTCTAGCGAAGTGGAGATGTTCTTTGGAAATTCTACCTTCTCTATGAAATTTGAAGCCTGTGTGTAATCATGGAGCAACAAGTAATTTCTCAAGATAAGTGTTATAAGAACACCGCACGTTTCGTTATCATGCTTGAGAGATGCTGTTCTCAACGATAGGAACAACTCCGGTCTAATAGAAATCAAATCGCCCAATAGCTCCTTTGTTCTGGCAATGTAGAACCAGATCTTGACGTTGATCAAGTCTAGCGACCTTCTGTTTTGCGATTTCGTCAATGTTATGATATGCTTCGTGTTCAGCTCATCCAACTTCTTGAGCTCATTCTGGTCCAAGAGGTATAACTGAACAAGCCAATGAATTGCAAAAGTAACCTCTGGCAAAACTTCATTCTTCAACTCAACATCCTCAGCCATGCCACCAATGTACTCAATCAAGTAGGATTTATATGCGTCACCGAGATAAGTGTTGATAAGCTTCGATAAGACGCTGGCATTAAGCTGGGGTCTTACAGACACAAGATCTCTCAAAGTCTTGAAGATGTAACGTTGGTCAAAGGTCTGAACAGTCTTCACAACGAGTTGGAGAGCCTTCTCAATGGCCTCCACAGTTTGTTGGTCCTTTTCCTCCTGTGTGATTTCCTTTGTCTCAGCAACAATTGGTTCCTCTTGTGTCATAATCACCACCTGATCTTCGCTGCTTTGTCTGCTATGGTTGATGTTTGTTGATGTTTGTTGATGTTGTTTTTGTGCAAATTCGAGGTTACGATTTTCACGGTGGCAACTCTTTGGGTGCTGAAGGGATTACCCGGTCGCTTGATGTTCGGAGGTTTTGTATTGTGCGCGCTCATAACCAACCCGTATTGGTTGTTACAGTTACCAATGATACATATCAGTATGCGACTTGGGCACTATTAAAGGCAAATACATTTAAAATGTTTACATGGCTCAGACAACTCAAATGGACGTGGGAAGCACTATATGGGGATGTTTCCATAGTGATACATCCTTGGAGATGTAGCTTTACTAACGAACATCAAATCCTCATACCGTGAACTGTAAAAGAACAGTTAGATGGACTTGCTCCTACACGATATTCTGGAATTCATCACCAGACGAAAAGTCGTAAATTGGTTGAGCTGTATATGCTCATGGTTAGCGCAACCATGTAGGATCTATGTGATATGATATCAAATCTTCTTTTCGGTATTAGAATCAATGCCTTGGTCATGGATACTATCTGCTGATAGAGCTGGCTCTTGTGTATGTCTTGGTCTAGGTGCCTTCTTGAAGATCTTGGTTCTGATGAACTCAACGATTGGATCTTCTTCTTCTATTTCACTGCTGCAAGGCACACGTTTTGGTCGTGGCTCCTTTCTGAAGATCTTAGTTCTAACGAATTCGACAACTGGATCATGGTCCTCCTTAACAATAAGTTGGCCCTCCTCAATCTCTCCATCGTGTGCAACCTTATTTGTAAGCCTTGGATCTCTCAGAAACAGCGAGCATACAATCAACAGCGTACAGAAACACAGAGCAATCACTGTCTCCAGTCTCTGAATATGTGTGTATGCCTCGACAGTAGCTTGTCTTTCTGGTGTAGCCCAATCATAATTTGCAGCAAACTTATACGGATTGGCATAAACTTCAGCAGCAAGTGTCACATTACCAAGGTTTCTGGCCAAACGGTCTGGAAGCAGTTGTGTCCAAACAGCACCAGAGACAGAGTTACCCACTGCTGAACCAATTCTATACATTGTGTATGAAAAGGCAGCAACGATGGCCAAGTTTTCATGAGATGTTGCAGACTGCATAGAAACCGTAATAGGATACGAAAACATAGTACCACCAATACCCCAAACACAGAGACCACCAATGATACCTGGACCAGCACCATCACCACCTCTGAAATGATAGAGTAACCCTGTTGATAAGAACCATAGAGAAACACCAAAGACGATGAAGTATTTTAGACGTCTCACGTACGCAACAATGATAGCAAATATTGGGGACCAGACAGTGGAGACAAACGAATACAATGACGATATACGAGTAGCCGACGTGACAGACTCATCAACCGCAACGATCAGCACAGTATAGAGGTAGTTAGCAACCATGTAATAAATGAAGTTGAGCAGGAAAGCCAGGCATAGAGCCGACCAAATTCCACGGTCTTTCAACAATTTGAATGGTGCTAATGGGTATCTCGCAAACCTGGCTTCAAAGAAAACAAACACAGGGATGAGAACGATGCCAACAACCAATGGTGCAATGATATTACCATGAGACCAGGTTTCCTCAGTACCTCCAGCCAGTGTAAGTGGAACAAGGATACAACC